CAAATACCTGCACCTCCTCACCTCAGAAGGAGGATGGGGAATCCCCAACATAGAAGCATATTAGATTGCCAACCAAATACACCATATAATCCCATATAAACTAGAAGATGAGACAAAACAATGGGTATACCTAGAGAGGGACACAATTGAAAATACCTGCACCACAGCGTACCCACTCCTCCCAAACAAACTCAAGAAAATTCCACAACACTTAACAGGTACACACAGACCATGCTCAAAGCATGGAAAACAGAAATAGGCAAACTATCCCCAACCCCATCCCCACTAATCCCCCTGGTGTCCCACCCATTATTCCACAATGCAGCACAAAACCTCCAGATAAAAACCTGGCAAACCAAAGGCTTATATCGCCTAATAGACTTTTATAAAAATAACAAACCTTTGTCAACACAAGAAATACAAGACAAACTAGAAGACACCCAAATGCCCTGGTTAACACAACACCAACTACATGCCCTCTTAAACAACCCAACAGTAAAATCAGCAGCAACTTGGCCCCTGACAACCTTCGAAAACCTCCTCCTAACAACAAAGGGAAACGGTAAAGGGATGCTATCCGCAATATACAAAATACTGCTCCAAAATCCCACAAACCCCCTAGATGCAATCAAAAAACAATGGGAGAATGGCATAGGCTATGAGATTAATCCCACTCAATGGACCAGAGTGTGGTCTAAACCCCCCTTTAAATCCATATCAGTGAAAAGAAAAGAACTCCCTCTGAAACTCACCTACAGGTGGTACCTAACACCAAGAAAACTAGCACTAATATGCCCAGGAACCCCACCAAAATGCTGGAGAGGGTGCACCTCCACAGGCACATACCTCCAGATGTGGTGGGAATGCCCCAAAATCCAACTATTCTGGACAACAGCCATACGAGAAATATGTAAAATAACTAAGCAAGTATTAGACATCACCCCAGAATTGGCCCTACTAAACATCTTCAAAGACAACAATGCCCATTTATACCACAAAGAACTCATAACCCAACTACTTTCAGCAACCAGAAACACCATAACCAGACACTGGAGAGACCTGTCAGGACTAAGCATGGACCAATGGTACCAAATAGTATGGGAAACAGCCCTACTAGAAAAAATAACCAATAAACTGAAACTGACACGGAGACAAACAGAAGAAGACGCCTTTACCCCATTATGGCTCCCCTTTATCACATACACAGCCCAACAAGACAATGACAATAATCCACCAACAGCATACAAATCAATATGGCTAACCTGATCCAAAACACCCACCCACCCAACTCACACACGAAAACAAAATTCACCACAGCCAACCACAAATGAACAACCACACCCTAGGCCAACCCTAACCTCTCCAACCACCAAAGGAACACAAGTGAACAGCACAAGCAACGCTGACACCAAACCCTACATACATTAAGCAAAATAGAAACATCGCCACCCGATCCCACCCTCAACCATCTTCCCCCCCTCCACCGCTTTTCTTCCTAATGTTTCATCAAATGAAACTGATTTGTAAAAATGTTACATGGAAAAAATACGAGAGACATTACACATACTTCTGTAAAACAAGAAAATCTTTAATAATAATAAAAATAAACATTTTCCAATCTTGAAAAAAAAGAAAAAGAAAAACAACCCAATAACAATCTCTCCCCCCCCCCCCCCCAAAAAAGAACCACATATTAAAAGGGCGTAGGATGTCAATCAGATCAACCAAAGACCTGGTTAAAAAGAAACGTTTTTGCCTTGCGCCTAAAGGTGTGTAATGAAGCAGCCAGATGAACTTCCCTGGGAGAGCATTCCACAGACGGGGAGCCACTGCAGAGAAGGCCTGTTCTCGTGTTGCCACCCTCCGGACCTCACAAGGAAGAGGCACACAAAGAAGGGCCTCAGAATATACCGTATTTTTCGCTCTATAGGACGCACTTTTTCCCCTTCAAAAATGAAGGGGAAATGTGTGTGCGTCCTATGGAGCGAAGACGCCATAGCCCCGCGACCCTCTCCCGGCTGGAGAGATGACGCGCAGCTATGGCAGGAGCCTCTATAGCCGCGCGTCACCTCTCCAGCCGGCAGAGCGCGTGCGGGGCTAAAGATGCCCCCCGCGACCCTCTCCCGGCTGGAGAGGTGACGCGCGGCTATGGCAGGAGCCTCTCCGTTGCGCCTTTCCGCTGCTCCCTGACCTGCTCTTTGGGGCTGGTGGTGGGCTTCCCCGCCAGCCCCAAAGAGCAGGTCGAAGGAACCTGAAGCCTGGAGAGCGAGAGGGGTCAGTGCACACCGACCCTCTCGATCTCCAGGCTTCCAAGGTAGCCGCCTGAACGCACCTTAAACGGCACCTTGTTTTAGAGCGGGAAAACAAGAGGGGGGGAAAGTTCTCCCCCTCTCTGCGCAGCGCCTCCTGCCGCTTCACTGAAGGGGCGCTGGGCAGAGAGGGGGAGATTTTTTTTTTCTTGTTCTCCCCCCTCTAAAACAAAGTGCGTCCTATTGTCCGGTGCGTCCTATGGTGCGAAAAACACGGTAATCTTGGTATCACTGGCAGAGGAATGGAGGGCGGGGGGAGCGCAGCGCCCCCGGCACCATCGGAGAGGGCGGTACCATCAGCATGCCACACACCCCACGGGTGACATACCACTCCCCCGGGACGCACGCCATGCCCCCCCGGGACACACGCCAGCCACGCCCTTGCCTGCTCTCCGCCGGAGCATTCAGCTTCCCCACTACTTGGTATCTGAGTAGGTTCATATAGAAAGCGGCAGTCCTTGAGGTATTACCAGTGCTTTTTTTCTTTAAAAATGTTTAGGAGTACTCTAATTTTCCTACTCATATTGAAATACTGCCCCTCAATGAGGCCAAATTTAGATTCACAAAATGTTTAGGTATGCATCCCCCTGCATCCCCCCAGAAAAAAGTCCTGGGTATTGCGGTATTATTATTATTATTATTATTATTATTATTATGGCTTTAAAGGTCCAAAGCAGCACTTTGAATTGGGCCTGGAAACTAATTTTTTTTAAATGTATTTTTTATTAAAGATTTCTTGGTTTACAAAATTATGTGCAATGTCTCTTTTTTCAAGTTACATTTTCTACAATCAGTTTCATTTGCTGAGACATTAGTGTTACAATAGGAAGAAAAGGGGGGAAGAGGTGGAGGGGGCCATGGTAGGTGGGGGTGGGGTCGGCTGGCGATGTTTCTATTTTACTTAATGTATGTGTGGGGTTTTGTGTCAGCGTCGCTTGTGCAGGTTCTCTTTGCTATTCGCTTGTCTTCTTTTGGTGGTGTGAGAGATTCACGTTGGCCTAGGGTGTGGTTGTTTGTTTGTGATTGGCTGTGGTGAATTTTGTTTTCGTGCGATTGGGGTGGGTGGGTGTTTTTGGATCAGGTTAACCATATTGATCTGTATGCTGCTGGTATATTCTTGTCGTTGTCTTGTTGGGCTGTGTAAAGGGGAGCCATACCGGGGTGAAGGCGTCTTCTTCTATTTGCCCCTGTGTCAGTTTCAGTTTAGGCCCGGAAACTAATTGCATTGCAGCTGGACCAGGAACGGTGTATTATGCTCAAACCATCTTGCCCCAGTGAGCAACCTGGCTTCTGAATTCTGCACTAGCTGGTTTCAGAACTGTCTTCAGAGGCAGTCCTACATATAATCTAACCTAGATGGGACGCGGGTGGCGCTGTGGTCTAAGCCCCTGAGCCTTGAGCTTACTGATCAGAAGGTCAACAGTTCGAATCCCTGCGACAGAGTGAGCTCCCATTGCTCGGTCCCTGCTCCTGCCAACCTAGCAGTTCAAAAGCATGTCCAAGTGCAAGTAGATAAATAGGTACCGCTCCGGTGGGAAGGTAAACTGCATTTCGTGCGCTGCTCTAGTTCGCCAGAAGCAGCTTAGTCATGCTGGACACATGACCCGGAAGCTGTCTGTGGACAAACACCGGCTCCCTTGGCCTATAGAGCACGATGAGCATGCAACCCGAGTCGTCTGCACCTGGACCTAACTGTCAGGAGTACCTTTACCTTAACCTTTAATCTAACCTAGAAGTTACCAGAGCATAGACCACAGTAGTTAGGGGCGTAGCTGGGCCACCAGTCAAAGCTGATGGAAGGCACTCCTGAGCCTCAAATGACAGCAAAGATTCCAGGAGGACCCCCAAACTAAACTTCAGAGGAAGTGTAACCCCATCAAGAGCAGGAGACCTTGATGGGCAGGCCTATCTGGTCTACGTATGAAGTCCATAGTTGTCAACTTTCAGATTTGAAAATAAGGGACCAGCAGCCTCACCTGTCCCGGGGACAGTCTACGGGATATCTAACAATCCGGGATAGCAGCGGGAAACGGTGCTGAAATAAGGGAATTTCCCGCCAAAAAAAGGGAAGGTTGACAGCTATGATGTACCGTAGTCTTCTTGAGAAGCTGAGACAAAGGGCCAGAATACAGCTCTTTCTAACTCTTATTTCATGCGATTTATTTGTGTGCGCGGGGGGAGGGGGCAGAAATTAAACTGGCAAGTTACTTAACTTTTATTTTTTCGCTTTCCATTTAGACAACATCGGACCGCCTTGCAAAATATCGGACCTGACGAAATCGCATCGCTGATAGGGAACTTGCGCGCTCCTCCTTACCCCGCCCGCCTCATTGCCAGAGGCTGCTGGACTACAACTCCCATCACCCCCCGCCGCTGCCCATACTGGCTGGGGCAATGGGAGTTGTAGTCCAGCAACACCTGCAAGGATGCAGCCACACCCCTTCCACACACCCCCCCCGAAGTTTGACTGAGCTCCTTGGAGGAAAGGCGGGATAAACATGCCGAATGACTTAAGGAGCCACATAGCCCCTTTCTTGCTTTCCCTTGGAATGGCCCGACTCTGTGGTCGAACACTCTCTACCTCCTCCCACCTCTATGGTTACCGGCGGGGCGTGGGGGGGAGATAACCCTTTTCCGCCACGTGACCTGGAAGCGGATGTACGATAGAGGAAGAGAAAGAAAGCAGGCACTCACGCTTCCGGGTCTGGTTTGCTTGCTGCCGGAGGAGAGGATGCGGAGCTGCGAGAGCAGCAAGAGAAGGAGAAGCGCGGATATCTCGTCCACCATGTGAAAGAGGAGCGCCCGACGCCCTACTCCGAGGCTCCTTCCCCCCTGGTCAGGTGAGGGGTTCTCCTGTCCATCAGGCCAGTGTTTATTTATTTTTGTGGGGGTGAGGATTCCTAAGAAGTGTAGGTAACGATGCTGTGGAAATAACACTAATTTTGGGGGGGAGTGCGGGGGGGAAGAGATGTCATGAGCATCTTTTTTTTTAATGGAGCCGTCTTGTTCAGAGGTAGTCTACCTCTGAAAAGCAATGTTGCTCGGGTGGGGTGCGAAGCAGTGGTGCAGAGTTTTCTCCTTGATGTCATTTTTATTAGTATTATCATTTCTGTGGTGCGTGCGTGTGTTTAGTCTGGCTAACGAGAAAGGGGTGTATCTATTAGCCCCCAGAGTTTAATGGATGCTCCCTGCCCAGAAGCAGTCTATCTCGAATGCCACAGTTCAGCAGCAGAACATGTGCCTGTGCATGTGGTAGAGCTCAGGTTCAATATTTGTTTTGCCTAGGTAAGGTGGTGGTAAGAACCTCCTGCCTGCCTGAGAACCTTGGACAGCTGCTGCCACATCAGAATAGACAATACTTTAGCTTACACAGAAGACTAAGAATTTGACTTGTATCATGTTACACATTTAGGAGGTGGGGAAAACCAACAGGGAAGAGTGTTCACCATCATGTCCTCCTTCATTTCCTTCATTTCCTTCATTTGCAAGAGGTGTGCAATAATTATTTTTAGTGCTCATGCACTTTGAATCAAGAGACTCATCCTTGAGACAGCAAAACTAGCTTCTGCAGAGGAGCTGCTTAAACAGTGTTGCATGCTATCTGATAGATTAACCTTTATCATGTAGCAATGAACTTTTTATCATGTGGTATGCAAGGCTGCTTAAGCAGTTCCTCTGAAGCAACTGGTTTTGTTGTGTCTAAAAACACAGTGAGTCCTTGTAAAATCTGATTCCTATGCACTTTTGAGGTTTTCTCCTTGAGAACTAATGCCTCTTCTCCCTCCCTCCCTCCCTCCCTCCCTCCCTCTCTTTTCTTTTTGCTTACTCTGGAAGCAGAAGCTGGACTAGATGAACCTCTTATCCAATCCTCTGGGGCTTCTATTTCATATTAAGCTGCTCCCCAGAAAGTGTGGAGTATTAGTAATGCTGTGGCTGCAAACCAACTTTCTTAGAAGTCCCAGCTAAGTTATTCTGAGTAATCATGTATGCATGAGATATCTCAGTTAAAAGGTGGACCTTAATGACCCTCTAAGGTAGGTCAGTATTATCTCCATATTGCAAGCAGGGGTTTGACTGAACTTGGGAGAACAGTGAAATATTTATAGCTGTCTGGCTTTTGGTAAGATTTGAACTGGAAAGCTTCAAGTTCACAGCTCAGTCTCTTACTCACTCCGCTGCTTTGTGTCAGCAGCAGATGGGAAGTTGTAGTAGAGGAAACAAGGTTGGCAAAGGCTGCTTTATATTAATTGGGGAGGTGATGAGAACTACATTTCCCTTCCCTGAGGAGGAGGAAGAGAGCAAAGCTCATGTGGATCCATGGTCCCATTTGATGTGTACGTTTGGGATGCAAGTGCTGGGTTTGTTTGGATTGCTAGTTTTTGATCCCCTTGCCTTCCTTACTCTTACATACACATCAAGTCTTCCTGGAATGCATCCCTTTTACTTTTCAAGAAATCATACAGTTTCAATTCTCCCCCCCCCCCCCCCGATTTCTCAACTAGTCTCTAGCATTGTTATGTGGCCTGCAATTCTTTCAAAAAGTCCAATGAAATGTTTCCAGTAAAACTCCTCTTTTTTGGCTGAAAGTATCATTTTACTAGTTCTTTTAAAAAATCACAGATCTCTCCCATAAGAAAAGCCCTGCCAGATCCCAAAAGGTCAAGCTAATTCACTGTTCTTCATCCCTGGGTCCCCAGATGAGGTTGGACTACAACTCCCATCATCCCCAGCTATTTTAGCCAATGGGAATTGTAGGATGATGGGAGTTGTTGTCCAACATATGGGGACCCGAAGCTGAAAAGCATTGGCTGTAATCCACCATCTTTCTTCCTGCAGTGGCCAACCAGATACTTCTGGAAGCCCTTAACCAGAGCATAAGATCAACAGCTCTACCCCAGCCTCTGTTCTTTAGAGACATACTGGCTTTGAATACGGAGTTTCTAAATAGGCATCCTGGCTTAGAGGGATTGATAGACCTCTGCTTTCCCATGCTTTCGGCTAATCCCTTTTTAAAGCCATTTAATGTAGTGACCAACAGCATGTCTTGTGACAGTGGGAAGAGTTCTGCTGTTAGTTGTCTTTTAATTTTACCAAAGCAAAACTCTAGAATTTGAGTTATTTATCTTGTTTTACTGTGCTGCCTTTTCTCTTGGCACTTTTATTTAATTTATTTATTTTTATTTATTTTTGCTTTAGAAAAGCCATAAGCACTTTCTCATGATTTAGCAAGTTGCTGTTGCTATGGCAACAGGTGTTTTCTCAACAGAGCCAAGTTCCTTTCTACCTCAGAGATGCTCTTAATGCATTCAGAGCTGCTTAGAGTTTGTCTGCCTGTGACATTAGAGTAGTCATTACTTGCTCTACCTCTGTTCCTTAAATCCCCTGTTTCTCATACATGTCTGCAATCTGAGACCTAGGTGTAGCATCACCATAAACGATGCCTTCTGTTGTGTGGCTGATGCTTATAGCAGTGAGTAATTTAAAAAATAGACCACATGGAAAAGAAATAGAGGAATGAAGCCTGATTACTTCTGATTACTAGTGGTTTTACTATTTATACCTGGGTTACCTGTTCGTGCTGTCTTCGAATTATGTTGGATAATGTTAGGAATGTTTTTAATGTTTGAAGTTTTATTCTGTTTAATACTCTGTTGGGAGCCGTCCAGAGTGGCTGGGGAAACCGAGCCAGATGGGTGGACTATAAATAATAATTAATAATCATGTAATTATTATTATTATTATTATCAAGCACCAACAATGTTATAAAATAAATAAAAAAGAAGAGTTTTGTAGTTTCTCTTTTTTATTTATACTATATCTGTATACTACAGTGGTACCTCGCAAGACGAATGCCTCGCAAGACAAAAAACTCGCTAGACGAAAGGGGTTTTTGTTTTTTGAGCTGCTTCGCAAGACGATTTTCCCTATGGGCTTGCTTTGCAAGACGGAAACGTCTTGCAAGTTTGTTTCCTTTTTCTTAACACTTTTAATACAGTTGCGACTTGACTTCGAGGAGCAACTCATAGAACGCGGTGTGGTAGCTTTTTTTGAGGTTTTTAAAGACTTTGGTGATTTTTGAAGCTTTTCCAAAACTTTCCCGACACTGTGCTTCGCAAGACGAAAAAAACCGCAAGACGACAAAACTCGCGGAACGAATTAATTTCGTCTTGCGAGGCACCACTGTATTTTATCTTGTATTTATTAAGGGATTGTTAGTTTAACTTCATAATACTTTTATACTGTTTTATTGTTGTTAGCCGCCCTGAGCCCGGCTTCGGCTGGGGAGGGCGGGATATAAATAAAATTTATTATTATTATTAATAATAATAAAGTTCCATTTTGTGATATAAGCCAATGTGATATTGACAGATAAAGCAGGGACAGGGAGCTGAAGCCAAACCCAGCTTCCAAAGGCTTCTCAGCACAGGTCCTGAACCTAAGCCCTGTTTCCTTTTATATAATTTATTGCTTCAGTGGGACAAATCTATTTCAGAATTCATTGGCTTGGATTCTTTTTTCCTTGCAAGTTTTTGTATTTGTTTCTGATTTAACACTTGGCAGATTTCTCTTGAGGTTGATAGACCTCAATTTAAAACTTATTCACCCAAAATCAAAAAGGTGCTAAACTGATATACTGTTGTTGTTGTTTCCCTTTTTTTAGTACTTACTCCTAAGATGTGAACTTTAGGTGTCATGACAAGTAATTGTCTTGCAGCTTCATGCTGCCAGCACCTGCCTTTTCTGTTTAGAAAATCCTGGAGGAAGTGCTGGCTGGCTGGAAACCTGAACAGGAACACTCATGGGAAGGGGCGGAAGATACTCTTAAACATTTTGTTGCAATGCCCATTTGTTACTTAACACTGATTTACAGAAACTACTAGGCTTATAAAACATGAACAGCATATTTATGTTCTCATAGAAACAGAGCTGGAAGGGATCTCAGAGGTCATCCAGTGCAACCCTCCTTCTCATGTGGAAAATCCCATTACACATCACTAATTTAAAAAAAGGCTACCATGCAGTCCATTAGAAGATGGAGGCAGATCCCAGGCAGTCTGTTAGATTGCCAAGTAGCTTATAAAGACAGGACATTTTTACTAACATTTAGTCAAAGTCCCCTTCCTTGTTATTTGAACCTGTTGAGTCCCTATCCTCTGGAGCAACAGCAAACAAACCTGCTCTGTCAACTGTGTCTGGAGACACTTGCAGTGACATCTCAGGTGTCAAATGGGAGAAGCTGCTCCAACTGCTCTTTGCTTCAGACAGCTACAGGGCTAGGGGACAAAGGTGCCCCTCACTCCTTCTCTTGCTAACAAGAACAAATAAGATAAGCTGTTTATAGTGTCATTCTTGGAAATGTGACAATAATTGACCAGTCAGTTGACTAGCAGGCTTTACCCTAATCCAACAATAGTGAGCGGGGTGCCTCTCCATTTTTTCTGGGCTATAGCACCCAACAGTGACAGGCAGCAAGGCCTATTGAAAGGAACGATGGGCACAGTAGTCTGTAACATTTGAAAGGCAATACACTGGGTACCCCTGTACTACTCTTGTCCTTTGTGCCACTCTGACAGCACAGGGCCACTGCAGGTCTTAGATCGTAGATTCTCAGAATCAGAGAAGATCTTTACTTGTTCTAAGATGTTAAACCAACCTTGAATCCTTATCTTAATTAGCCTCAGCTACTTGTATTCTGTGCAGATCCCATGCATTATACTGACTTTCTTAAAGTAAAGGTTGAAGGGTTTAATATGGATGGAAACAAGAATTGATATCTGCTTTTTTCTGCTATATATACTTAGAATGTTTCTAGTACCAGATTGTACAGCACCTGTAATTTGAGAGAGATGCAGATCAGGGCTGAGAAAACCCCAGCTCCCAAGTTCCCCTTGGAGTGCCAATAAAATGTGATGTAGACATTTAGAAATAGTGGATTTTCTCCCCATGCCCTAACTCCAGGCTGTCACCCGAGATCAGCCTTTCAAAGCCCAGTGCCCTCAAGAAAATTTGGGCTACAACTTCTATCACCTCTGACCTTTGGCTATGCCTAGCTATTGGAAGGAGATTGTAGTTCAAAACATCTGGAGGGGCAGTAGGTTGGCAAAGTCCGCCCTAGACCCTTCTGAGCATTTGTGTTACTATTGCTACCACTAAAGCTTCCATTTTATAGTCCTTTCATGGGTGCATTCTTGTGAGAATCTTTGGTGCATATTTATGCGTTTATTTGGGTTTCTAGCCTGCCCCATCCCAAAGTACTCAGAGCTCATAATATTTAAGTGGATCTGCCCTCTCGTAATGTTTGACTGCTAAAAGACAGTTGGAATGAAAATATTTTATGTGTACAAAAGCTTGCAGTACAGTGGTACTTCTGGTTATGAACTTAATTCATTCCAGAGGTCCGTTCTTAAGTTGAAACCATTCTTATCCTGAGGCGCACTTTCGCTAATGGCGCCTCCCACTGCACAACTTCTGCTCGCATCCTGGGGCAAAGTTTGCAACCGGGAGCAACTACTACTTCCGGTTTAGCAGAGCTTGTAACCAAAAGCATGCGTAACCAGAAGCGTTCGTAAACCAGAGGTCCCACTGTACTGAAAAGTGGAGATGGAGAAAGTCTGCTTCAAGTTTGCAAATAGCTGCAAACTTGCAAATAGCCATTCATCTGTGGCAGGTCGCAATTGGATCCAAATTTTGAAAACTCATAGAGAAAGTTGGTTCTTTCAGGTTTTCAGAATGGCAGAAATGGACATGAAAGGCTTGTAAAAAAGTGTGTGTGCGCGCGCGTGCGCGCACGCACACATGTGCTAATACATTTGGGGGGATTTATTTATTTGCAAAGTTGGGTCCACTTTCATAGTCTTGAAAACCAATGTTCATCTTTTGCAGCACACTGATGAAATGGAGCCTGGAACAAATTCTTTCAGAGTGGAGTTCCCTGACTTCTGTAGCACCGTTTTGCAGAAGCTGAACCAGCAACGCCAGCAAGGACAGCTCTGTGATGTTTCTATTGTTGTTCAGGGACATTTGTTCCGAGCCCACAAAGCTGTCTTGGCAGCCAGCTCCCCTTACTTCTGCGACCAAGTGCTCTTGAAAAACAGTCGACGGATTGTTCTGCCTGACGTCATGAACCCCAGAGTGTTTGAGAACATCCTTCTGTCAACTTACACTGGGCGCCTGGTGATGCCTGCGCCAGAGATTGTCAGCTACCTCACAGCGGCAAGCTTTCTTCAGATGTGGCACGTGGTAGACAAATGCACTGAGGTGCTAGAAGGAAACCCTTCCGTTCTTTGTCAAAAGTTGAATCGTGCCAGTGACCACCAGTCCCCCAGCAGCAGTAACTACAATGGCCTGGTGGAGAGCTTTGAGATAGGGTCTGTGGGGCAGGCAGACTTCCACAAAGTGCAGGATGGTGAAAATGAAGAGGAAAGCTCGAAAGATGAACTGTTGTCTCAGCTCACAGAACATGAGTATCTCCCCAGCAATTCTTCAACGGAACATGACCGTCTGAGCACAGGGATGACAAGCCAGGATGGAGAGGAAGGAGCAAGCGACAGTGCTGAGTATCAGTACGCCAGGCCCCTTTACAGCAAACCGAGCATCATGTCTCACAAGCGGTGGATCCATGTGAAGACAGAAAGGTTTGTGCAGGACTGCGAAGGGGTGGAGGTGCATGGCCCTTACGATGAGCAGCAGGTGTCTGAATCCATGAATGCCATTCAGGTGAGCCACTCTTTCCCGACGTCTGGCCCCGAAGACCTTCGTGTCAATGAAAAAAAGATGGAGACAGAGTTTGGTGAGCAAGCCAATGAAAGCAATTACGATGAGCAAGTGGACTTCTACGGCTCTTCCATGGAAGAGTTTTCTGGGGAAAGGGCCGATGGGACACTCAGCCTTCAGAGACAGGACGCTGGGGTTGCTGCAGGTTATGGAGATAGCATGGACGTGCCCTCGGGGATCAAGGAAGAAAATGCCCTGTCTGGGTTCTCCACAGCTGACAAACTTTACCCCTGCCAGTGTGGCAAAAGCTTTACCCACAAAAGCCAGAGGGACCGCCACATGGGCATGCACCTCGGCCTGCGGCCTTACGGTTGTGGCGTGTGTGGTAAGAAGTTCAAAATGAAGCACCACCTTGTTGGCCACATGAAAATTCACACTGGCATCAAGCCTTATGAGTGCAACATTTGCGGGAAAAGGTTCATGTGGAGGGACAGTTTTCATCGGCATGTAACATCTTGTACAAAGTCATACCAAGCCTGTAAGGTGGAGCAGAACACTACTGAGATGAATTGAAAACAGGTGCCAGGCAGTGGTGTGCGGAGAGTGTATGGGAAGGGAAAAGGCAGAGAGAACCAGATTACATAACTGCATCATAGAGTAACACAGAATGTATATGTTGCACAGAGTGTGCCATGTACTATGCTGCTGAGATTCTGGATGGTTGTTTTTTTAAAAAAATAATCCTATAGCACAAGTGGGATCACCTGTGGAGGCAAGCAGGGAATTCTGCCCGGGCTACAAGTAAGGAGGCAAGTTTGAGTGGTGGTACTTTAGTGTAATTATAATTATTGCTATTTATTATTCTTTGTGTTTTGGTAGCACTTGAGGAGAGGGGTTCCCTCTCATCTCATTAGTGTTCTCTGCTCTCAGTGAGTCTGCATATAGATAGCTGCACATCCTGAGCGCCTTGGTTGGATGACTGTCGCCTCATGTTCAGAAGTCCTTGTGATTTTGTTCAGCCAAATAGATATATGAGCAGTTACCTTTTTTGAACCAAAGGGGCAATTATAGATACTTTAACACAAGTTGCTAGACAACTTTCAGGGGCCGACAGCTTTAACAAGCGGCTGCTTTTTTAATCAGTCAAGCTTTGAGTTCCATTGACTGGCTCTGTTTATCTTGGCAGAGTGATTCTGCGTCATGCTTATTTTTTAATTCTTTTGTAAAGCACTTGGCTATTTTGTGATGGACACTTTATATAGAGACAGATTAAACTATAACCTCATCTCTCTCCAACTCCTCAACCCCTCTCCCTGTTGTGCCTCATACAGCTAGCCAGTCTGCACTTTTGGCTGCCACAATAGTGAGTATCATGTTTGCTCCCCTGTTGGAGATTAAAATGCTCTTTTTCTGGCACTTGAGATTCCAGGCAGACATCTGTCCAGTTTTCATTTTTTTCTGTTTTGGGGTATTTGCTTTGGGAAGTGTTGGTTAGGTACCAGGACTTCAGAGAACAAAATCCAATGTACTGAATTCTGTGTCGCGGTTTGCAATGAACACTTTTGGTACTGATTTCCTCACTTAACTCAGGTGGGGAGCCATGAGGGACTGAGGCTGGGGAAACAGCTCTAAAGGAACTTACTCTGCATCACTCGCTAAGGAAGCTGCTTGATGATTAAGAATCAAAGAATAGCTACTGCTGGATGCTCCCCAACGGTGCTGTGCAGACGTCTCCAAACCTGGAAGCAGCTTGTGGATTTCTGAACATGATTCTTATCCTCTGTGAAGGAAGAATTTTTAAACACTGGATACTTTTTTTTTGTAACCACAAGTAGTTTAAAATTTTTAAAACTAGAACTGCTGTTATATTCCTTCCTTCTCACTCCTTTGGTCACCCCAACTACAGGGTGAATGCACAAGATGGAAGAAACTTGGAACGGTCAAAGCATTTTTGCTGCTGTTTGATAGTAATTGGGGCGCAGAAATCCCCCATATTTGCTGTGGACAGAGGTTGCCATATATGTTGATTGGCAAATGAGGTGTTTCCTTAACAGAATACTCTGTTAAGGAGGCTTGCTAGTGCCAAGGCATGTCATTCCGCCCCCGCCCCGCCCCCAAACTTCAGCCTGAATAGAAAAAGAGGTGGGGAGATTGGTGGACCTTGTGCATATTCACGTAGGCAAACATTTCTGGGGTTATTACCCTCTTCCCTTAACTACAGAGTTTAAACAAACTTTTCATGTGATAAGCTGGGCCTGGAATATGAGTGTCTGGCACAAATATGGGTTTGGTTGTTTGGTAAGGTTGTAGTGCTGCAACTTCTCCTTTGGTGGAACTATTTAATGGCTTTTACTTACAAAAAAACATGTTAAAAGCTTTTCTAAATCAACACAAGATCAATTTTTGATACATCTTTCCCCCCCCCTCACTCATAGGCAATCCATTTATGATATTTTTGTTGCATGCAACAAGAAATAATCTGCCGTTTTCCCTGCTTAGAAGAGCTCAGCAGCACACCAGGGTGGAAATGACTGTCACTAACTTGAACCCTACCAAACAAGTTAACCCAACAGGGATCTTCTTGCTAACACTGTAACCTGCTAAATGTATAGAAGCACTTTGTATTTAAAAACAAAACAAAAACCATTTATAAATGTTTTTTTTAGAACTTCCAAGATAGATATATATATTCCCTCTGGTTTGTTTTCTTATTCATGTTGTCCGTTCAATTTTTTCCTTGTCTTCAATCTTGAAATTTTATATTGATAAGAAGCTTTTGATTTATATGAGCACAGGGTCTGGGGTTTGTGTAAGAAGAACTGATCCTAAGGGTCTGCTTTTAGTTTTGTCTTCTTTTTTTAAAAAAAATCCTTATTGCCTTAGAATCTCCAGGAAGCCATTTTATTTGCAAACTTCTACAACAGGTGTGGGGAAACTTGGACTGCCCAGTTGCTGCTGAACTACAGCTCCATCATCCCTGTCCATTGGCCATGGTTGCTGGCTGATTGGAGTTGTAGCTCAAATGTTCCCTGCTCCTGTTCTTTAGGCTCTGGGAAAGAGGGCCTGTACTTCTTACTGCTCCCCACAGCCTTTCTCAGCTTTCCTTGCGCTGTGACCTCACTCAAACGTTTCCTCTGTGCTGCCAATCTAGCCATAGCAAATGGAAGGAAGGCTCAACCTGCCCCATTCTGACTGCCAACATTTTCTACCTGCCCTGCTATTGTGCTCTTAACTGCTTCTTGATGTGACACATTTAAGCAGGCAAAGCTTTTCCTGCAATGGAGAACTGGGAGTGGGGAAACCTCACCTGTTTAAATGTTGCATGTTAAGCAGCTACAAGAGTCATTGGAGCAGAGGCCTGACAACCCTACTCCAAACCAGAGTTCCTTCAGGCCTGCCACAAATGCCCTTTTGCTTAATCCACTGGGGAGTTCTTCTGTACAGGCACCATAGATGGGAAGCTGTGCAAGAATGGTTCTCCTTTTGCTTCATAAGGGCTTGTGCATTTAGACTTCTTGGCTGGATTATCTCCCTCTATTAGCTTGATGCCTTCTTTGGACAGTACATACAGAGGTCAATTGAGTTTAAGTTTTTGAATAACTTATGACTACAGAGCTTTGAAATGTAGGTAAGATGGTAAGGGGTTTCCTACTGGAGTGTAAGATATACAAGAACCTTTCACTGGCCCAGTTCTCATGTCATGGTAACCCAGTGGCACCTGCTTCGCTTCTCCCCTTGGCTTAGTGGTCTGTCAACCTGTCTTGATTTGCTCCAACCAAGAGTTTGATTGGTAAACCAACAACAAACCTAGTTTCACTTTGTGGTTTGTTTTGGAGCAAAACAAATCACGTTCCGCTGCTCAGTCATAATGTTAAGCCCAGAGATTGTGGTTTCTTGCTCTTGGCTTGTGCTAATGGAGGAGGAGTAAATCAGCAGCTATAGGTTAATTATGGTTCACCATGATGTGTGAATACTGCCATTTTCACTTTCAGTGTTAAATACATTGGGGGGGGGGGTATTATCTCCAGGAACTTGGACTGCAATCCTGGGCCAGTTCAGAAAATGGGCGTGATGGTGTTAAGTTCCTGATGGCGGCAGTTCCAAACTGACTGGCTTACACATAGTTGACTGGTCATTATTCTTTGGCCCTTTCTATTGGGTTGTGTGGGAAATTCCACCACAAGTAGCTACTGGGAAAGGTTAGGCCCAAAGCTTGGAATTTGTACCCCTCCCAACAGTTCTGTTCCTAGGCCCATAATTTTGTGCATAAGAGAGATGAAAGAGCAATATAATTTACCACCATGCTATGCTAAGTTCCCTTTATTAATAAGGGAAGTGCTAACTAATGATGCCTTGCCAACAAATCTGTAAAAATTTTATGCTACTACCATCCTTGTCATATTTGGGGTACTTTATGTGACTTACATTCAAAAATGAAACACGACTTTGAAATTGTATAGAATGCTTTGGTATCAGGGACATGCTTCACTTTTAGAGCAACCTTCCTCAACCTGGTGCTCTCAAAATGTATTGGACTACAACTCTAGTCAGCGCCAGACAACATGGAAGCGCACCAGGGTAAGGATGGAAAATGGGGAGAAAAAGCCCTTGGATACATTTGAAGTAAAGCCCCATCTGCACCATAGATTTAAAACAACATCATACCACTTTAAACAGTTATGGCTTCCTCCAAAGAATTCTGGGAACTGTAGTTGATTGCAGGTGCTGAGAGTTATTAGAAGACCCCTTATTCCCTTCATAAAATTCCTGGAATTCTATGGGAAGTGGTATTGATTGTTAACCTAGAATTCTTTAGGGGAAGCCAGGACTGTTTAAAGTGGTATGATACTGGTTTTGCTTTATAGTGCAGATGGGAGTTGAGTCTTGAAAAGGGCAACTAGGATAGTATATCACTTTATTTCATTATAGATTTTGGTGGTCCAGAAGCACACAGTGCAAGTAGATAAATAGGTACCGCTCCGGCAGGAAGTTTCCGTGCGCTGCTCTGGTTTCGCCAGAAGCGGCTTGGTCATGCTGGCCACATGACCTGGAAAAACTGTCCGTGGACAAACGTTGGCTCCTTCGGCGGAGATGAGTGCTGCAACCCCAGAGTCCTCTGCGACTGAACTTAACTGTCAGGGGTCTCTTTACCTTTACTATATTCATGCTGATTTGTGAAGCTAAAACTGCTGGGTTTGGGAACTCTGTTTTTCCTGATCCTTAAAGGATTTTAAGAGGTATTAACCACAGACCCTGAGTGCTTAACGGGTGATTTGTCAACACTTTGCTAACACAGCATGCTTCACAAGTTGAAAAGAGTGTAGATTTACTGTAAAGACTGCTTCTGGCATTCCCCACCCCTTCAAAGTGGCAAATCTTTGTGTTGAATGTTTTAGGGCAGATGCTATTTCTAAATATAAGAGTCTATTTTAAAAAAAAAATTGTTTTTATCTGGTAGTGGAATGTTCATACATTCTGTAAGCATACACATTTTAATTCAAATATTTCTATTTAATTTGGATAGTTAAAATCATTAGGACTAGCAGCTGGAGCCCTGAAGGCAAAGAACTGAAAAATGAATTGCATATTAACATTTCTTTTTAAAGCAAGGTCATTGTCATACTTCTTTGCTTGAAAGCTGCTTCCTGCATCAGCCACTGCTGCTTTTCTTCAACTTTCCCTTCTGGGCTCCACTATATTTCTTAAATAAATGTAACTGTTCATATGCGAGTGAGGTGAACCTTTCTTGTTCCTCTAAAAAAATTCCCCCTCAAAAGCATTGTCACTTGTAATATTACAGTTCATATCCTGTTGATCTTCTGTGAGTTGTTACACCTATATTGCAAAGGATGGATAATTTGATATCTCTTTTAATATTGCTGTCCTAATAATGTACAGCATGGTTTTATGTGACATTACTGTTTCATTGTTTTCTTCTTATAGAAGAGTCTGTTGGTTTTTTTGTATAACATGTTTTAATAAATGTTATCTGTCTTTTCCCCCCCTGGATTTTTACATTTATTTATCAAAAATATCATTGCACTTGATAATACACATTATAGGTCTTGAAAACTTTATTTTGGCTTAATGGACTTGCTGCAGGATGGAAGTCTGTAAAAGCTTATGCTAGACTTGTAAATACGCCAACAAATGTTACTATCCTGCCACCACCTCACTCCAGAAAAATACCAACCCTGATTTCCATGCTGGATGGAACTGAAGAACTGCATTGCAAAATTAGGAGAAGTGCGAATTTGAAAGGTGACCTGCATTTTCAATTGCTTGTTTCAAAAAATGCAAGTTAGGTAGGTCTGTCTTTAAGGGCAGACAGAATTGAATTTCACCCTGATTTCTGCTCTTAGATTACTAAAAAAAAAAAGTTGACCAGTTGGACTGGCAGAGGAAGAATGGATCACTTGGCCCCCTCTCCATCAAACTCCATTGTATTTCCATGCCAATCATGGAAGAGGGGACATTCCTTCCTCTGGCTAACACAGGAGCCAAATGGGCTGGCAGAGGAGGAATGGGCCAATGCACCCTTCATCCACCAGCCTGGATACTCGCCTACATGGAATTCCTCTTCACCTATGGCTATCAAGTGAGTTCTTAAGTAAAAAAACTGAGTGGAAAGAAAGTTACAACTTGTAAGATGCTTTGTGTGTTTGTTATAACAAGCTAACATGACTACCACTCTGGAACACCTCTGATTAGGAAGGACCTTAAAATGGAAATTGAAGCCCGGGCTTGTGCTAAATTTATCAGAATGGGTGCTTTGTTGTATTTTTGTGTTACGTACAGAGCCTGGTGAGAAAAGCAGGAAAAGAGAAGCAATAGATGAGCTTTTGTCTGCTTACGCACCATGCATTTAAAGCACAAACTTACATTAAAAAAAACACCTGGGAAGTGTAGTTTGAGGCTGCTGAAAATTGTAGATCTTTGAGGGGTAAACTACAGTTTCCAGGATTCTTTGGGGAGGGTGCTGTTATGACATTTGCTTACGTTCAACGTTGCACTATGGTGAATTTTCCATCAGTGCAAGGTTTCTCCTTGTGCAATTGAATGTTACCTCCCTCTTTGCCTCCTGCATGCCCACTAAATCTGCTCTGGGGGTTCCCCAAACACACTGGAACAATTTGGGAGATGGTGCAGGGCACAAGGTGGCAGAAGTGTTGGGAGAAAGGTGGCAGATAACTGGTTTCTGATGTGCACAAAAATAATGTGATACCATTGTGGTGAACAACATGAAGACTAGCCTCAAGGAAGGATGTCCCGTTCCACGCATCAATGTTCATATGAGTACAGGGAAAAATACAAGGATAAGTAACTTAACACTGTAGTCACAACAAACGGAATTTAATCTCCCCATTTTGTCAAGGTATTCATATTTGGAAGTTTCTTTCCAAAACATTAAAAAGATATATCCAGTCTCAACAAATTTGCCCTCTATACAGCTGTCATAACTGACATTCCGTGCTCTGGACCAAGAAGAATGTTTGCTTTCCAAACAAAGTGGGTGAACTTCAACTTAAATCAGGTCACTTTGCTAAATCCACAGTAAATTCAATATTCATGCATAAGAACCTTCTTGCTCTACACAGTTTTGAAATGGTGAACATGTTGATTCAGTGCACTTTCCAAGTTTTTTCACAGAGGAGATATTGTGTGCTGTATATATATATATATATATATATATATATATATATATATATATATGATCTGTTGTGCATGAATAGTTCAAGTCTAGCATGTAGAAAACCTGTAGAAAAAGCTAGAATAGGGATTCAATGTAAATTATACACATTTAAACTTTTAAAACAAAAGAAACCCCTCTCTCTTAGTACCATGTCAGTGTTTTGACCTAGCTGTTGATATAACCAATTCCTGAAGCAAAATTAAGATTAGGCTGTTCATGGTAGGATTAATTGTACTATAATCATGTGGCATTATATTGCTTGCAGAATATGGCCATAAATACTTTTCAAATCACAGAAGCATCCTACAAGGTCTATTGAGATGAGGTCTTAGCTAACATCACCTAACCTTTTGGTTTGCCTTTCTGGCCTTTGCTGATTTGCTCAGCTGGTGTGATGTGTTTAGAAACATTACTTTTCTTCTTACTGAAAATATCTGCATGATTAATTCGAAGCTGTGTGAAATCTTTGCTTTACGCTTCATAATCAGGCTTGCTAGTGATGTACCTGAGACACTTTGGAAATTCTACCACGTTGAACAGTTGTGAAAGTTATTTATACTGTATAGTTCACATTTCCTAAAGCAGAGGAATTTCTGGAGCATAGCACAACTTTTTTACCCTACATGCCAGTTTTAATTGGAAAGCAGAATTACTTTATTACCTTATTCCAACAAATACTAAAAAGCTCACACCATAGAAACCCACAGTGTAAATACCCACATAAATACTGATTTTTAAGTATACACCAAGCCAAAATGAATTGTGATCTTACTAACCTCCATGTCCCTGGAGATACCAGTCACTGAGAGTTCATGATTATAAGAATCTAATGCTCAGCTTTAATCAGTTTATAAACTTTGGACCCCCAAAATGGAAACCATTTAAATTAGCTTATTTTTGCAGAACAGGAAGACAAATACAGATTAGAAATGTTAAATCTGCAACACATGCTTGTTGTGGAAAACCCCAAGAAGTGTGATTTTTTAAAAACTTTGTACAGGAGGCTAGGTTCTACATACCCTCCTTCTTCCAGACAAGCAATATTCACTATCAGTTAAATGACATATTCCCAGCCAGGCAAAAATATTTGGAATGCAAAGCAGAGCTAGTGAGGGATGTGACCTGGAGAGAGAAGATGCGGACTGCGACATTTCAAACCAGTGTTAGAATCCACATTTTTCAGGTTTTCCCCTGTGTGCAGACTAACACCTTGTGATTATTCTCTTATATATGCACCCCCTTATTGGGTCAATAGGCCACATGGCAGTATAAGCTCACACAGTGCTCTCCTATGATCATGTCCCACCCACAAGGTTGGTAGTGGCCCCACACATTAGTAATGTATTTACAGGAGGGCCATCTCAACCACCAATGCTTGTTTACTACATTAAAAAAGAAATACTTAAAACACATTCTGATTTAATCATTTTGCTTTGAGTTTGTGGGCAGCTACTTTCAGTTTTCTTCATTTTTATAGTTCCATTTTTTTTATATAATAGCAATGTGTGTGAACGAAGCCCTGTTTTATTGAGTGCAACATTATCGAAGGAAAAAGCACAGCATCTTAAATGCCACTTTATGATCATTTCAAACTTTACACATTATAACAAAGCAAAAGTCCATTTTCACCGATTCTCCTCCTGAGGGAAGCTTGAAGATAAGGGGGGGAGAGCACAGTGAAGTAAGGATTGATTTCGCCACAAAAACTTCAGGAGTGTAGAAATTCTGCATTACAAGGCAAATATTAATAATGTCATCCACTACTCTCAAGAAAGGCTGTTATTCCACCAAACAGAATACCCCCATACTCAATGTCAAGTTATTCAAAAAATAGAAGGTTGATGCTTTATTCAGTAGTTAACATTGAGAAAAACCATTTCACATTATGTTTATATCTTCAACTGATGCAGCCAAGATCCTTCAGGTTATCTAAAAACGCTCATTGGAAAATGCAGATTGGTTTAAGTGCCAATGAGTTGCAGTCTGCAAATTTGGTTGGAGGCCTTCGCAAATGTTTGGTGACAATTGCAAACGACAGCCAGGCAAATAGGAATGATACAGTAGCCCACCGCTTTGGGATCAGCTCTTGTACAGGCATAAAGGAACAAGAACATTTGTAAATAAGGGATTAAAAAGATAATAGCCAAAAGGGTACGGACAGCCAGGCGTATTTTTAAGCAGCGCGCTCAGGTAGTTTCTTCACTCAGTTTTTCCAAGTCCAACACAGGTGCCAACTTGGACAAAGAGCTCCATTTAGAAGCCTTGTTAATAATATAGGGTTGTGTCCAATGTTAATCTTACTCGGAGTAGACCAATTGAAAATAATTAATTAAATGAAATAAAATAACATAACATAATGGAGATAAAGCTTTTTGTCCCCCTCAGTCCTGTTCGGCGCCCTTCCCCCCCCCCAAAGGAAATAAAAAGAGATGGCAGGAACCTCTCCAGGTATAGCGGGTGTCAGAACAGCCAGCGGGGGGGGCGGCGCAGAAAGATGAGAGCGCATGCGCGCCCTTCTATCGCCACCCCTCAGCCCGTTGTTGTGAGGCGCCGGAGAAAGAGCGGTTGCCGAGAAGCGGGCGTGGCCGTCGCGAGGGTGGGCGTGGCTGCGCAGGTCCGCCCCCGGCCCCACATGCCTCCTTGTCTGCCTCCCAACCGCTCCTCCCATTGCCTGTGGCGCTCCGGTAGCGGAAGTGCCTCTCCTTCAGAGTGGAGGATTCGCTTCCGGGCGCTGCTGGCCGAGGGAACTGAGGGGGGAGCAGCGTCGGCGGCGTCGGCCGGGGGGAAGGTGGCACTCGGGCCAGGACCGAGCTCCCTCCGGCGGACCCGCCATGTGAGGAGAACTCCCAACGCCCCCTCAGGTGAGAAATGCGGGGGAGGGGAGGAGTGCTGGGGTTTACGGTTCTTCCAGCTCCCATATTGGGCACGCCGAAGGCATCAAAGGACGGTGTTCGCAGCAGCACCACCCCTCCGCCCCCGTTAGGCTGTGGGGCTGCGAAGGTGTAAGACTCCTGTATAGCTGCTTCCCTATTAGATGCAAAACGATGTGGGGATTAATGGATTATTTATTTATTTATTTATTTATTTATTTTACCGCTCTTCACCTGAGGATCACAGGGTGGTTTAAAATATAAAAAGAAAAATGCATAACAAATTAACAATCAAAAACAATGACGGCCCTTTTGTAGGGGTTGATTGAATCCAGGTTAGTTCTTTTGGGCGTGGGGCTTTGTTCGTTACTCTTGCAAACATATCCTGCTTTTCTTCTTTGTGTCTTAGCCTTAAACTGCGTAAAAATGGAAATCTATTGTAATTTGATGCACACACATTTCTTTTCTGCACAGGCAACGTGCTTGGTTTTTCTCCATCCCAAGTACAACAACAACCCTGTGAAGCAGACTAACTTGAGTGTGGTGTGTGACCCCAAGGTACCCAGTAATCTTCATGACTGACTGCTAGTTTATACATGGGTGTACTTGGCATCAGATCTGACACTGAACCCCAGCACCACATTGACCACGGGTAGGCAAACTAAGGCCCAGGGGCCGGATGCGACCCAATCGCCTTCTCAATCCGGCCCCCAGACGGTTCGGGAATCAGCATGTTTTTACATGAGTAGAACGTGTGCTTTTATTTAAAATGCATCTCTGGGTTATTTGTGGGGCATAGGAATTCGTTCATATTTTCCCCCAAAATATAGTCTGGCCCCCAACAAGGTCTGAGGGACAGTGGACCAGTCCCCTGCTGAAAAAGTTTGCTGACCCCTGACATTGACTCTGCAGGTTGGGCACTGGTTGTCTGTTGAGTATTTTGAGTTTCCTTCAAGAAGAAGCAACAGTGTTCTATAAGTGATAGATGAAACGGTAGATGTAGGGAGCCTTTGGCACTCTGGTTGCTGTGGAACTACAACTCCTCCCAGCCCTAGCTAGGATTGCTAGTGGCCATGGGATGCTGGGAGTTGTAGTTCTAGAGGGCCACACCTGATTTATGAAGTACCATCAGTGTTCATATGGATCCTTATATAAAAGTGTAGTTCCCTCTCCCAAGAGGCTTACAATCGAAATCTTGACAGGACAGGAAGGCAGCTGAGTGGTGCCAAGGTAGCAAGGGACATATGTGAGCTGATACAGTTATGCATTAATATATTTTGTTCCAGTTTAGTCTGGGGAATTGTGATTTAGTTGAAAGATTCATGGAAGAGTGGGCTTTGGGAAGGAGTCTGAAGAAATAGGGGAAGGTGGCATCATATAGGTGATCTGGATAGTGTTTGCCTGTCTGCAGTCTTTGCCACCTGGCCTGGAGGCTGTTGCTGCTCCACATTACTCCAAATTATTTATAACTTGAGTGGTCGTGACTGACCCAAGGTGAGCTTCATGGCCAAGAGGGGATTTGAACCCTTGTTTCTCAGGTACAATACTGACAACTGCACTACACTTGTATCATGGCTCCTCAGTAGCACAGGAAAGGTGCATGTGGCTCCCCTCCTTAGATGCGCTCCAGTGCAGGTGATGGAAATCCCAGGCAGGTGTAAGTCCCTCCCAGGTTACCTAATTGGTTTCACCTCCCACTTTTTCTACAGATTCTTCCTCAATACCAGTTTCTCTGAGCGTTTTTCAACTGAATCAGATAGCTGGTGGAAAGTGGCACACAAATCATGGGGAAAAAGTTCCTTCTCCCCACACCCATTTGAGTACAGTATCTATGACCTGGTATTTGAAAACAATTAGTGCTGAATCTTTGCTAATTAAAATCTGCCTCAGAATATGAATACCATCATTTGATGGAGAGGAATAGATTCTGTATGCCCTATAATTCTGTTATGTTTGAGTAGAGGTGAAGTGTAGTAATGATTATCTCATCAACAAGTTCTGTGGGCATCATTCTCTAGGTGTTGCACTGGGTTAATAACTTTAAAAATGACCATATTAACTCCTCTCTACCCCTAGAACATAGTCAACATTCCAAATTAGCTGTGCCTTTGTGTATAAGTACCTGTGCCTAAGGTGTGGTTCGTTGTTCTTGAGTTTCCAAGCCTGTGGGTGAAGTGTACATTTGCAACTACAAAACTCAACTCTTCTGTTAGTAGAGCTTCCTCCCCAATAAGACTGGAGGTTGGGCAGGGTTTTTTTTTTCTTTTTTTTCCCCCCCAAACACATGGTAAATGTAAATCCCTGGACAGGCCCAAGAAATGAGCAAGTGAGTTTGAAAGGCAGCTGGCAGCAGTGCAATTGTGCTCTTGTTGTCACTGACCTCACATGTGCCTACCAATATCTATCTTGTGCTAAATCCACACCTGCATCATGTTCTACCTTTCTGCAAAAACATTTAGCTTTTCATTTTGTGTACTTGGTACAATTTTGGTCTGGGAAGTGGGAGTGGGGGATGTTGGGTTAAAAACCAAAACCCTGTTATAAATAACACATCTTTGTATTTACTTCTGTTGGTTATTTTCACAAAGTGTCCCAAGATTGCATTCCTTGTTTTATAGTAAGCTAGCATATATGGTTTATAGCAGTGGTGTCCAGATTTGATGAAGTGGAGGGCCATGAGGGCCGACCAAGGTTTGAAGTTGTTGAGCTTTTTTTGGGATGGAAGATTTACCCCAGGAAATGAACTGCCACGTGAGCAATGGACTTCGGACATGTCTGGTTTATAGTGTTACTTTTAACTATATATTTATAGTCCATTAGTCCATAAATTATATATTTAACTGGCCAACCTGCACAAACCTATTGGTGATATGTGGCATAAAAATATGGGATGAGGACATTTTTTCAATTTTCCAATGCATCACTGTTTGTGGTTCTCTGGAGGTGAATCTTCCTTGCAAGGCATGACAAAGCAAGTGACTGTTTGTGAGTTTGATTTATCATCTCTATGTGCTGACCTCATTGGGCCTCTCCGGTTTATAGACTTTTTTTTTTTAGAAGTCCTGTTTATTGATTTGTAAAATGTGAACATAGTTAAATAAAACGAGAGTCCGTACGTTCAAGGCTGCTTTATCTTCTCTGTATATTTATTTGCTCTTATTGCTCACTGCAAGACCAAAAAGCACAGCTCGAAGGCCCCCTTCTGCTCCGAAACCACATGACTTTTTGTGGAGGTATGATAAACATACCTGTCCAATGTATGCTGTGTAAGAAAGTACAGTGAGAGGCTGCCTTTTTCTAAATCCAATGGTTCATGTAGAATCAACTACACCAACACAGGATAAACAGGAGGCAAGTAGAAAAGGTGCCATCAAAGCACCTTAAACAACAATTTCACATGCAATGGCATAGTTGAGGAGCAGAGCAGGCACTTTCCCTTAACCACAGAGCTGGTCATCTTTCTGAGTGAGGTTCTCAGTACATGTGACTGCACAGAGGAATAACTATAGAGAGAGACTGATTTATCAATGACCCCTTTTTGAGATGGATGGTTTTTTGCCTTTGTGTGTGCCTGGCTTTTTGCGTGGCTTACAAGGATGGCTATCTGCATAGTGGAGAGGAAGGACTTGTGCCACTCTTCCACCATGCAGTTCAGAAGCTGTTGCTTGCAAAAAAAATTTAAAAAAATGCAAACCTCTAATATTTATGTTCTTGGGAGATAAAGACTGCTGCTACTTTAAAGTTAGAAACATTTAGCTTTGCACTTGGGTTTCTATAAATGCTTTGTATTTAGAAGATTCCAGAATCAACCTCTACCTTCACAGGTAGTCTGGGTAGCAGGGCTGGGGAAAACTTCTGCCTGAATCTTGGAGGAGTTACTCTATCTGTAGTAAATAGTATGGATTAATGGTTAATGGGTTTTTTCTGCATAAGGTAGCACTATATAGTCAACCAGTCCAGGAACAAGAAATCAAAATATAGTTTTCACACTTCCTTCTTTACCCAGAGAAACTGGCTCTTTCTGCTTGTAATTAGGCAGCCCTCATCTTAGGTCAGTCTTGCCCAACCTGGTAGCTTCTAGACATTTTGGACTAAAGCTTCCATCAGCCCCAGCCAGCATGTTCAGTGGTTAGGAGTGATGGAAGTTTTAGTCCAGCAGCATACGGAGGGGGCACCAGGTTGTGGAAGTTTGCTTTAAGTATGATTAATTATGATAAATCTAAAGTTTTAGTTTTTACTCAGAGATGATGCAAACATTGCTGGCAAATCAATGGAAAACCAATTGAACAGGTTAAATTTTACAAATATCTGAGAATAGCATTTCAAGCTACCAGCTCTTGGAAAACACAAGTGTTGTATGCGACTGTAGATGCACAACAGAGCTATAATTCACTCATCTCTTTCTTTTATGTCAAGGTAGGCCAGCATGCCCCCTTATCAATTCAAGTGTTCAGTTTTAAGATATTACCACAAATGCTGTATGGAGCACAAGTATGAACGTTTAACTGGATTGAAGCTTTATAATCTGTCTAAACAAAATTTTTGGAAAGTATTCTTGGCCTTTCAAGATGTGTGTCCAATGTACTTTTATGATTGGGGGCTGGACAAATTTCTATTGAATCTCAGGTCTTGATATATAAGCTAAAATTTTGGTTAAAACTGCTGTTCATGCCTAAAGACTCCTGCAGCCAATCGGAAGCCCCGTTGGATGTTTGGCTTCCAAAAATAGTTCACAAACCAGAACAGTCACTTCTAGGTTTGCAGCGTTCAGGAGCCCAAACATTTGAGAACTAAGCTGTTCGAAAACCAAGGTATGAGTTTATAGGTGAAGAGTGTCTCTTGGCTGCTCAAAAACTAGTGTTGAATATTTAGAATCAAGGCAAAGTTTCTGTTATGTCTATAACTCATAACAGAAGCCCTTTCATTTGGCATTGCTCAGAGTTGGAATGCTGTATCCAGCATTTCTTCCTCCTCAATCTACAGTGAAATTGCTGTGGATAAATTTATGTTTAATTGGTTCTGTTTAAGAAAATATTGGAAAGCTATTTGTACAATTTTTCTACATTAGCCTTATTCCCCAGTGTCATTTTCTGTCAAAGATGTTTGTTGGTACTTTTTTAAAAAATATATGTTAAGTTGGGGCCCCTAGAAGGTAGGACAGGGTGATATATCAATATAGCATCCAAAACCAGTTTAATGATATTGGTTGCATAATTTTTGACCTGGCAATATATCGCAAATTGTGAAATGTGTGCGCTAAGCAAAAATCACAATACGGAAAAAACTGAAGTGAGACAATGCATCTACATAGCTCCATCCTTATTTCAGACATTGTGATATATCAGTATATTGTGATGTTTAACTGGTGATATATTGCAGTGTTGAAAATCAGATATCGCCCAGCCCTAGAAGGTAGGGTATGGACCATCAAATTATCTCTTTCTTGATGGCATCCTTGCAAAAAAAGGGGGGTAAACCGGGTGTGCATCAGTCCAGTTGAGCAGGTTTTGCTTCCAGGCAAGGTGGAGCTCATGAGTTCTGGCAGAATTGATCTGGGATGAGATCCTAAGTATGCACTCATGTGCTGTGTATCTTAAGATAATTTGGTGGATGGCCTTGGATATGCTGTGTCTCAAGTACTTGCTGTTCATCATACAAAGAGTATACATGCAACTCTGACATTTAGTACAGAATTGTGATTACTTTGATGGGTAGGTTTCTAGTTCTCTTGATGGTGAGGATTTGTGCAGAAACTGGCTTTGAGTTGGTCATAATTAAGTATAACAGAGTGTGGGGCAGACAGATCTGATGTTCAGGGCACAGTTCATGGAGAACTTCTGTGGCAAAAGCATTACTGAAATGAAAGGGAGCTGTACAACAGCACGCTGCACTACTTGATTTATTTTTAATACTGTACATATTTATGGTACAGTGGTGCCCCGCAAGACGAATGCCTCGCAAGACGGAAAACTCGCTAGACGAAAGAGTTTTCCGTTTTGGAGGTGCCTCGCAAAACGAATCTGCTATGGGCTTGCTTCGCAAGACGAAAATGTCTTGCGAGTTCCTGGGTTTTTTTTTCCTTTTCCCCCTCTTTTTCTAAGTCGCTAAGCCGCTTATCTGCTTATCCGATAAGCTGATAAGCTGCTAAAAGCCGCTAATAGCGCTAATCCGCTAATCCGTCAATGGGCTTGCTTCGCAAGACGAAAAAACCGCTAGACGAAGAGACTCCCAGAACGGATTCTTTTCGTCTTGCGAGGCACCACTGTACTTTGTAAATGTGTCAAGGTCCATGTAATAGAGTTATTGTTCCTTGCATGGATATATACCTGTCCCATATAGCTGTCACTTCTGTAAATTAACTCATCAAGACAAGAACAGATTCCTACCCCCCACAAAAAGGTTGCATATTGATTTTATTCATACAGAATGAGCAAACTTGCATAACTTATTCTAACTGCACAATTTGCATTTTCAAGGCCCAAATCGGGATTTGGCTCTTTTATAGCCATTTCAGCATAACAGTTCAGCAATTTTGCTATTACAGTAAATGCAAATATATATTTAATTCATCTGTTGTGAAACTATTGTTATGCCTTTGGGATCATGTACAGTGGTACCTCTGGATACGAACTTAATTCGTTCCGGGAGTCAGTTCTTACCCCCGAAACATTTGCATCCAGAGGCGTGCTGTTCTGCGCAGGTGCTGGTGGTGGTAGCTCGCTTCTGCGCAGGTGGCGGAAAACTTTCCTTTACTTCCGGGTTTGCCGCATGTGTAGCCCAAAGCATTCCCAAAGGGGGCGGTTCGTATCCAGACGTAGCACCGTACATGCCTTTAATTCCTAAGCAACCAGATGGCTCTGACAATGCACAGCTTTGAGACATCATTAATATGCAAGAAGATGCATATGCATTCATCATATAAATCTATTTGAATTGGCTTTTAGAGCTCTCTCTGAGTGTTGTGGAATATATATGATTAGTTTTTGTGTGCAGTGTAGACCATATACAGAACTGTGCTTTTTTATATATATAAAAAAGAAGTAAATAATGTTTTCTCTGTTTGGAAAAAAACTAAATCACAAGAAGGAAGGAATTGTATTGGGGGAAGGAGAATTGTGCTGCTTTGTTCTTTCCCGAGAAGGCCTCATTTGGGTGGAAATAATTGAATTTTCCCATTTAATAAAAACCGAATATTGAAATCTACTTCTTAACAGTAAAGTTGGCTTGACTATATTGTCTGTGCAGCTCAGATACTGAACTGTGGAGGGAAAGTCTTCTGAAGTTTGGTCAAGTTGAAAAGATGGCAGCATTTTACTTCATCTGTCCTCTATTTGCCATTTTCTGTAGATTTTAAATTATTTCAAAATAAAAAAGGCTTTTGTGTCTTCCGATATCTGAGAACAGATGAACAAGGAAACATTAATGTGATTAATTTGGCAGAAAAGATAACTCTAATGCTTAATACTGTATACTTATGATTTTTTTGTATTGAAACTTGACTGTTAATACAGCAACTTATATTAGATAATTCCTTTTATATCTCCTTTATTTTAAAAGACAGTTTATTTATCTCATTGTTATATTTCTCTACTACCTCTCATGCAAGGTGATCACAGTAGTATATGTGGCCTTCCTATATAAGCTCCCATCCAGGTACCAGTCTAACCCAAAAATGGAATTATATCAGGTACTTGCAGATAATATTCTGTGCTGGCTGTTGGTGATCCCATGCCTATTGGTTTGGAAGCAAAATGGAGCCTGAAATATTTTCACCTAGGAGGAAAGGCTGCAACTTTGGGGACTTTTTAGTTTAGAAAAAATATGAGTAAGAGGTGAAATGATAGAAGTTTATAAAACTATTTATGTAAAGAAAAAGTGGATAGAAAAGTTTTCTCTCCCTCATAACACTAGAACTTGTGGACAAGCAGTGAAGCTGAATGTTAGAAGATTCAAGACAGATAAAAGAAAGCAATTCATGTAGCTCCTAGGTAAACTGTGGAACTTGCTCCCATAGGAGGCAGTGATGACCACCAGCATGGATAGCTTTAAAAGAGAATTGGACACATTCATGGAGGAAAGGGTTATCAATGGCTACTCTGCCTCCACAATTGGAGGCAGAAATGCTTCTGAATACCAGATGCTGGAAACCACAGGAAGGGAGAACGCTCTTGTGTTTGCGTCCTGCTTGCAGGTTTCCCACAGGCGTCTAGTCCCATGAGAACAGGAAGCTGGACTACATGGGCCATTGGTCTGATGCAGCAGGCTCTTCTTATGTTCTTATTGAGTCATAAATAAAAAGAGAGGTGTATTTAAAAAGAGAAGGGGGTGCAAGGGCTTATGTTCAATGACTTACAGACCTGTGGAATATTGGGAAGGGGAGAACACAAGAGCTAAGAGCATGCATAGACAAACTAAGACCCAGGTGCCAGATCCGGCCAATCACCTTCTAAATCCGGCCCGTGGACAGTCCGGGAATCAGTGTGTTTTTACATGAGTAGAACGTGTAATTTTATTTAAGATGCATCTCTGGGTTATTTGTGGGGCCTGCCTGGTGTTTTTACATGAGTAGAACGTGTGCTTTTATTTAAAATGCATCTCTGGGTTATTTGTGGGGCATAGGGATTCGTTCATTCCCCCACCCCCACAGATATAGTCCGGCCCCCCACAAGGTCTGAGGGACAGTGGACCGACCCATGCCTGAAAAAGTTTGCTGACCCCTGGCTAAGGGGGTATGACTGGCCTGCTTGAATTGCTAACAATGTATAGTGTATAGTGTACTAGAAGATCATTTATGGTTAGGGATGTGTGCTGTGAGGTTAAAAAACATCTATTTGTTCTTTGAGGTGGTTTCCAGAACACCACTTCTTTTCCATTTGTTATACAGCAATAAGGTGCTTGGGATCAAGGCTGGCAGCCAGCACAGTGTGTAGAAAAGGTTTCAGGGTGGTAGGAAATAAAGGTTTCCTCTCCCTACCCCTCCCACATGAGACCTGAACAGTTTTCTGGAAAAATCAGATATGCCCGAGACCAAAGGTTCATTGAAGACTGGGGAAAGTTTGTAGAGTATCTGAAAAATGTATGCGATATACAAACAACGCTAGTGGGGTTTCGAGAGGCGGTCCCTGCTCCTGCCAACCTAGCAGTTCGAAAGCACGTCAAAGTGCAAGTAGATAAATAGGTACCGTTCCAGCGGGAAGGTAAATGGCATTTCCGTGCGCTGCTCTGGTTCGCCAGAAGCGGCTTAGTCATGCTGGCCACATGACCCAGAAGCTGTACACCGGCTCCCTCGGCCAATAAAGCGAGATGAGCGCCGCAACCCCAGAGTCGGCTATGACTGGACCTAATGGTCAGGGGTCCCTTTACCTTTAATGTGCATTAATAGCTTGCAATAAAGCAAATAACTTTAGTTTGGCAAAAGTTGTTGTTTTTCTTTCACCTAGCAGGTTTTGAAAGGAAAACACTTGAGATAGGCTATCTCTAAACCACGAAAGGAAGGAACCTCAGTGTATTGCAAGATCATCTGTAACCCATTGCATCTGTAATGTTGCATGCCATACAAGTTTGCTTCAGCAATACTTGGGATCAACAGTGCTGCTTAAAGCATTTGTTCAGATTGTGTTTCCTTTCCTTGCCTGTCCAGCTCTGCACTCAGTGTACTCTTTCAAGGCTTGATTCCCAATCAACTAGGAGGAGAGAGTCCTTAAGATTTCTGATACGAACAAGTGTTAGTAGCTTTGGGTCACTGAAACTGCTAATTGCAAAATTATGTAGAGAAAACGTTCACTAGCAAACTACCTACTCACAAACTTGTCAGTTTAGTACTACTATATGTAACACTACACAAGTCACATCCCACGTTACTTTGAATTTAACATTTCAGATGTATGTAAAAGGGAAAGTCTTATTGCTGCATGTAAAAACTATTGTTTGCTACTGCTTGTATTTTCGGTCTCAACAATGTATAGATTGTATGCAGTGTAAGTTGCTGTGCATGTCAATGGACTGCTTTCAATCTTTAAAGCACCAGGCATTTTTAAGTTCTGATTTATAAGTACTTCTTTTTGTGGCTTTTGCAGGTTACACCATACACCAGAAGACATGGACAGCAGCAGTTTAATCCAGTTTGATGTTCCGGAGTACAGCAGCACCGTACTGAGCCAATTGAATGAGCTCCGCCTGCAGGGAAAGCTTTGTGATATCATTGTGCATATTCAGGGTCAGCCGTTTAGAGCTCACAAAGCTGTCCTAGCTGCCAGTTCTCCATATTTCCGTGACCATTCTGCATTAAGTACCATGAGCGGCCTCTCAATATCAGTTATTAAAAATCCCAGTGTCTTTGAACAGTTGCTTTCTTTTTGTTACACTGGAAGGATGTCTTTGCAACTGAAGGATGTTGTTAGCTTTCTAACTGCAGCTAGTTTTCTGCAGATGCAGTGTGTCATTGATAAGTGCACACAGATACTTGAAAGTATCCATTCAAAGATTAGTGTCGGTGAAGTTGACTCTGTCACTGTTGGTGCTGAAGATGCTCCGGAAAACCACAACGGTGTTAAAGATGACAGTTATTTTGCCAATCCAGTGGAAATCTCTCCTCCCTATTGCTCTCAGGTGCGGCAGTCTACTTCAGGCAGTGATTTAAGAATGGAAACAACTTCCAACAAATCTTTCCGTAACCGTCTACAAGAAGAAGGGCACTCAGACCGTGGTAGTAGCGGGAGCATTTCAGAATATGAGATTCAGATTGAAGGTGATAATGACCAAGGGGACTTGGTAGTCAGAGAGAGCCAGGCTGCTGAGGTGAAAGTTAAAATGGAAAAATCTGACCGGCCAAGTTGCTCAGATAGCTCTTCTCTTGGTGATGATGGATACCACACTGAAATGGTGGATGGCGAGCAAGTAGTGGCTGTTAACATTGGCTCCTACAGTTCTGTATTGCACAATGCCTACTCCTTATATTCCCACGGCTCATCCCAATCTGCTAATGCACCTGACACCTTTGGAAGCCTAAGAAACTCAAGCTCTTCAAGATCCATGCTAGGTTCTCTTAGAGGCCGCGGCCGTCAAAAACGGATCTCTACTAGCTACTTGCATAGTGATGTTTCAGCACAAGGAGCTGATGGAGAATCTGCAGCGAATCACCCAGGTTATGAAAACAGCCCACGGGAAAGGAATTCAAGAGGTCACTGGTATGCATACAGTGAAAGATTAATCTGTATATACTGTGGGAAGTCTTTCAACCAGAAAGGGAGTCTTGATAGGCACATGAGGCTGCACATGGGAATAACCCCCTTTGTGTGCAAATATTGTGGGAAGAAGTACACGCGCAAGGACCAACTCGAGTACCATATCCGTGGCCACACAGATGACAAACCTTTCCGCTGTGAGGTCTGTGGAAAATGTTTCCCTTTCCAGGGAACTTTAAACCAGCACCTGCGAAAGAATCATCCTGGTGTAGCAGAAGTAAGAAGCAGAGTTGAGTCTCCAGAAAGAACAGAAGCCTATATCGAACAGAGAGATGATGATGCTTCAGCCTCTGAAACGCTGGATTATAGCATGGATATACAGACATCTGATTAAAATTTACTGCGTCCCTCAGTGCAACTCAAACAAAGCACATTGATCAACACATTTCCTTCTCGTTTCTTTGATAAGTTTTGTAACAGGTATAACAGCATTGTCATTTTCCTGATTTTGCAAGTCTTCTGGTTCCTGTTCCTGGACAGAAGGCTACTGACTTTTTTTCTTTTCTTTTTTTTTGGAAGGAAGTAGGGTTAGCTTTACTCCTAAAAATGTTTATAAAGAGCATAATATTTTGCAAACAATACATGAAGAAGGAGGGAGGCTGGGGCTTCAACAGTGAAAGATACTAAAAACAAGCAGATACGGCCGAATAGTATAGCCTCTCCTTTTGTGCTTTGTGCAGCCTAATCCTATGTAGGTATACTTGGATGCAAGCCCTACTGAATTCAATAGGACTTGCTTCCAGTAGTGTGCTAGGATGGCAGCCTTAACAAACATGTTATGTAGGAGCATAAGGTATACCTCCCAGAGTCCCATCTATGTGTCATACTAAGTTGTGGGTTTGGGTGGGTGTTTATTTGTTGTTGTTTGAATAACTATTTTGATAGCTTTGAATTTTATATAATATATATTATTATATATAAACATATATACGATGTTCACTTTTTCTCTTTTGGTTGGGGTGAATGTAGAAGTATCTTAAATGGAAAGGAAAAAAACCTCTCTATAAAAGGCTTTCAACTTTTAATCTTCTCTTTAGGGTTTTTTCCTGCTTTTTCATGAAGCTTTGCTTTTCCCCCCATGTTCATATATTGTGTCCAAAAGTGAGCAATGCTTTGAAATAACTTTGCTCAATAGCATGCATAAACCAAATGCCATAATTGTATTAACTTTACAATGGGGATTGTTTGGGTTTTTTGTCTAGAATATAAACTAGACAACCTGTGGTGCTGCCCCTTTTTTATATAGAAATGTGTTGTTATACTAGCCAACCCAAAAGTAGCTTTGTGGTTTTAAATGTTTTTACTATCCTCAGAATCTACCTTCATTTCGTACTGTAGAAAGCATACCAGGTAAATCAGTCTTACTTTAATCACTCTGATTATATATAGTTGGTTTAAAGAAGGCTAAGCAGGATGTTGCAGTCATTTCTGCAATATTTCTGTACAGTGTTCTAGTGAATCACTTCCACAGAGCTGTTTTCAGGTGCGCCATAACATTTACCATTTTCAAGTGAAATTAAAGCACTTGTATTTTTACTTTTTGTAACAATGCCATGCGGGATTTATGAGCAATATATCTTATTGTATTAGAGAAGTTCTTTTGGCTTCTCCATAATTTAAACAGCTGCTCAGTATTTTATTTTTCATAAAGAGCCAATGACAAACACATTTACACATCCTTTTAGAAATTATTATTTTTTCTCCTTCAGACGTTTGGTATCTTTCTAAAGTGGTGCTAACTTTTTTCTATTACATCCATAATAGATATAAAAAAATGTGAAACCTTACTATGGTGGAATCACAGATTTTTCCAGTTATTTATCTGCCTGAAAACACCTCACAAAAGTGTGAGCTGGCAAATAATTGCTGTATGAAAACTCTTTATCAAGTAAATAGAATACAGATGTTTGTGAATAATATTTTTAGTACGTATATATACTTGGATATATTTATGCTTGGCAGAATGAGAAACTTCTTGGTAGATATATTCATCAGGATAGAAAGCTGTTAGTGACAGAAGCTGCATGACAAGAGAGACCCCTACCCCCCGCCCTCCACCTACCTGTCTCCTCTCCTGGTTCTGCTTCAGTTTCTGCCTTATATTCCCTAAGCTAGTGCTGCTGTAGCTTTAAGGTTTCCTGGCAGAGCAGTACAGAGGCATTAAAATTATGCTGGAACAAGCCTGGGCAGTGAGGCACAGTGAGATGCTTACTTGGCTGGTAGCCATCAAAAAGGATCCTTCTGCAGGTACTGTATATGGAATTATTGGAACCCGTTTTCTCTTTATTAGAGTTTTAAATCTTCACCCACTTGTAGGAGCATTCTGTTCCCTCTTAAAAGAAATTGGATGTTTGCTTCTTTCCCCACTGAGTAAAATAGGGAGCGCTGCACAAAAATTTGTTGACACCTCTCCCAGATAGGATATTCAGAATGTGTGGATTTCTTGCTGCCTTCAAGATTTTGTGTGTTTGTAATTTAATGTGTTGACTTTCGAATCTGAGCCTCTGTTCTTAATTCTTGTATGATTCCCTAAATTTCTCACAACTGTGAATTTTAATCATATAAAAGTGTATGGGTTTTCTTAATAGGAAGTCATAATCCTTCAAAATTCTCATTCTTCAGGAGCTACTTCTATTTTTCACTTATATTCTGTGATTTAAAACACTGAGAAAATAGCCGTGGTTATACTATGGGTGGCTGATAGATACAGTGTTTGGAGCTTTTGAAGATCTGTATAAAGTGTTCCATAAAAAGTACTTTAGCTGGAGAGCAAGTGATTTATACAATTTGTAACCAGCACCCCATATCAGCTTTCATTTTCCAAATCACTTAAAAAGAATGAAGCTTGGATGCTTGCAGTGGTTTTGAGGGCTTACAGCTTTGTTTGAGATTTTAAAAGAATAGACTTCTGCAGTATTTTTAGAATGGACTTTTCTTTACTGTTTATCAAAGCCAGTAATAAGGATTAATGTTAACAATAAATCAGGTTTGTTCTCTAGATGCAGTTTTAGTTAGACAAAATGATCATCCTTTTCCTACTATAGCTGCCTAAGAGATTCTTTCCCAGGGAAACACTAACTTCCCTCCTTTTCCCTTTCTACTATTAGTATAAACAAGGGCTGGAGCCCCAGAAAAGCCAATTTCAGTGCACATTCCATATGTGCACACAGGCCTTTCCTGCTTTCTGACTTCCTACTACAGCCCCCACCCCACCCCCATCCACTTCTGAGGATCAGGAGGCTAGAGCGGTGTAAAATGAAATGGGAGGGATGCAGCTGGGCAGGTAGAATGGAAGTGGTGACAGACCCATCCCAAGCATGCAGAGAAATGCTCTTCCAAGGCCTCTGGATTTCCAGCCTGCTTCAGGGAGGGTACATGTCTGTCCATTCATTCTTATAACACATTAAGATACAAATCAATTTTATTCTACCTTTTGATATGCTTGCATTTGAGACCATCAAACAAAAGTCCAGACATGCAGAGTTAAAAATGTAACCCTTTACAGTGAACCTGTGCTGTGGTGCCTTTTAAGCCACTTGGGTTTACGCCATAGTAGTATTAGTCAAGGAAAGAGGGGAAAGGCAGTTAATTTTGTATTTCCCTGACTTTTGTCTCTGTGTCAATCTTAAAAGTTGTTTTAAATATAGTTTTTGAATCTGTAAACATGGTTGAACTGGTTTGAGTTTACCAAAGAGTGACTTAACATAATTTTGGATATTTTTGATTGTACAGCTTTCAGGTTCAAATGTTGTGGTGGAACTGTTAAAAACCTAGGAGTTATCAATCTCCTGACTTTCGAGAGATTTTTGAGTTCCATATACTCATTCATGTTGATGGCCAAATTCACATAATGCTAAATCATGGTTTAGTGCTGTGCGCATGAGCCGCAGCAAGTCCAAACAAAGCCTTGGGCACCTATACTTCTCCCTCTGATTTCCATGCAGCTGAAAAGACTTATGCAGCATTTAGCTTCACTTTCACAGAATCACTGGTGGTGATTTAAAATAAGCTCTGGTCAGTTTCTAAAGAAGGCAACTTCACACCATAGAAAGTAGGGACTGCACTGCCCATTTTGCACAAAGCTCTAAGCCACTGTTCAGTGTAGCATAGGAACAAGGCCGGTATGTTTTTCCTCTTCCTGCTGCCTATTGGGGTTCAAAATTATCAAGCCATAATATAGTACTGTAAAGATCAAGAGCTTCACTGGACATGTAGGCAGCTCTAGAGATCTAATCTGGAGTAGTTAACTTGCGTATCTTCCATTTGTTTCCCTGAATTTGAAATGTGCCTAAAGGCCAGTTCACAGAAGACACAAGCCACCTTGAACACCCATTTGGTGAAAAGGTGGGATATAAATCTAGCACACAAATACAGTGGTACCTCGGGTTAAGAACTTAATTCATTCCAGAGGTCCGTTCTTAACCTGAAACTGTTCTTAACCTGAAGCACCACTTTAGCTAATGGGGCCTTCTGCTGCCACCGCGCCGCCGGCGCACAATTTCAGTTCTCATCCTGAAGCAAAGTTCTTAACCCAAGGTACTATTTCTGGGTTAGCAGAGTCTGTAACCTGAAGCGTCTGTAACCCGAGGTACCACTGTAAATGGTGTTCTCATACACTCTGTAGGTGAATTTGTGTAAACAATGCAATATTCATACAAGGCAATTATAGGAGGTGCAGAACTGCAGACGTGCAGTTTTCTATTTTAGTGGTAGTCCCATGTCCCATTTTCACCCCACCCCACATGCAGCATCTATCCTAAGTTGATGCATCATCACATTATGCATTCCCCTCCACATCATCAATGGGTGAAGATACAGCACAACATTACACACTGTGTGTACACATTTCTGAAGGAATTTGACATAGGAATACTGTTTTAGCATTCTACCCACACTCAGCAGTACCTCCGGAGATTGTAGCAGCTGGCAAAATGCTGTTTGATTGGAGGAGCTGCTGGCTTCCTGTAGCCTCCCAGTTCCCTGTCTCAGTTGTCTACATTAGTGCACAGTGTCTGTAAAATGGCTGGGGATTGCCTCTGTGTAGGGCAGAAAGTTTTGTGTTGAAGCAGCTTTTGTCTTCCTTGGATTTTGCCGTAGATGTGCTGCAACACACAAGAGACTAGCAGACAAAGCTTCAAGTCAGGCAGCAGCATCTAAATCGTGCCTTGTCACATTATGGTTCCATGGTAATGGGGTGCCATCTTTTTATCCTTTGAAATTCATATCTTATGTCCACCAGGATGAAAAGCATGCAGTGAATTATTTTAGGTGAATTCTGAAAATACTGTGCAGTACTGATTGCTGTACAGTTTTGATTAGTGTGCAACTGTTAGTGTATTTCATTTAAAATGAACACAAAAGCCAAGAAAACCAGTAAGATTAAATATTGGGTTGAAAATATGTGAAATCATGCAGGCTGGTTCATAATTGAGTCTCTCAAACTACCTTTTTAGCTACATAGACAATGTGAAGAATAATAAAAACAGTGACAGTGTCATTTTTTTCTCCTCTAGATGTTTTAACCTATTTACAAACTGTGAAAAACAAAATTAAATTTTATACTTTTTGCTAATATTTGTGGTTTTAAGCAGCTGTTATTTTTTTCTTAACTGGTTTATCTTCCATATAATTTCTATTGAAGTTGTAAATAAGACTCAGAAAATAGCTTTGTAAATACGTGAGATTTTTTTTTTTTTAAAGCAACGCAGCGCCTCACAGTTGGTTCTGTATTCAAGTGTGAATGCTTTTAATGGCAGAAAGGATACTGTCTTTCACTGTTGGCAGAATTTACTGTTTAAGTTGAAATCAGGGATGCTCATCTTAAGGGGAGACATGTGGAATTTCAGTAGCCTCTAGCCAGCCCTTTATTTATGCTTTGCAGCATAATAAGTTACCAGATTTGTCCATGTTTTGCTTATTTAGAGTTGTTGCAGACCTAACCTCTTTTTAGCCACAGTTCAGAGGTCAGGAGCAAAATCTCACCACACCACACCACCTTGATCCTGGCCAAGAGCAATGTTTGAATTGATGTTAATTATGAATAAGACTATAACCAGGTTTCCATCTGGTTCTTAACCTGGCTAGTTCAGCGTGGTTAAAGCTAGTCAAGGCTTTTAATCATAGTTAAGTGGGAGGGGATAATGTGCACTCCTCTCAAGAGCAAAATCCAGCAGTCCACACATACACACAATTTCTTTTAACCATGGATAAATGTTCTTTTTACATATGCATCACCCCACAATGGCACAGACACCATGCATGTAGGAAAGAGCCAATTACCTACATGCAGGGTTGAGATTAAAGTGCACATAAACCACCTCTGGGATTGAGCACTCCTAGCCTAAATTGGATTATTTACAAGTCTCTTTTAAGGTTCCCAGAATAACTAAATATATTCTGAAAGTCTTTCATTTATTTCTGGTCAGAATTAAGTTGTTTTGATGTAACTGTTATGGGTTAACATAAGATTAGCATGAATTTTTAAACAAGGGCTGGGAGAAGAGGGTGTGACAGAGCTTTATCTTGACTGAAATCTATCTTATTTGAAATGTATGTTTTTAGTTTACTGTGACTTCTGTTTTATTTTTGTCATCTGAAAGGGTTTCATGTTGAAGCCACTGAAAAGGGACTCAAATATGCAACACCTAATCTATTTTCTAAGGGAATTTTACCCTTGAATGGTGCTTTTAGACTGGTCAGGGTTATTTATTAAATTTTTATATATTTTAAAGTATTTGGGAATTGTGTAAATCCTTTATATATATAATATATAGTATATATATATATATGAATGAGTCTATTTAGTTCCATGAATTGTAAGCAACAGTAATACTCAGCAACTGAACCCAAAGTTCAGTGAAGTCATTCAGAATGTTCAGAGTTTGGCAGTCATGCATCTCTTTTTTCAGTTAAATACCCTTAAAGGACTTAAAACTATACAGCCTGTTGCGCTCTCAGACATCCTTAAAATGGTGCATTAAATCAGTTATGCAAGCTTACATAATAAATGCTAAATGGAAATTGGGTCTGAGAGAGTTGTTCTGTGTCCCTACTTGGAGATATGGAGCAAAGTGTCAGTAACATGGCTGTGGTTATAACCTTTATAAATATCTGCTTTTAAGACACAGGACACAGCTGTCCTACTGTCAGCATGCTGCAGTGGTTTTCAAAATTTTCAAAGGTTTACTCAGAGTAGATCCATTGGAATGAATGGGCCCCAGTTAACCCAAATGACTAACATTGAATACAACCCTGTGCTCTGGAGAACCCTTGCATTCCCTAGAAGTTTGGGGCTCTTCCATGGGAAAATGCTTGCCATTCCTAATACTGCAGCCAGCAGGGGAGTACTGCTTGCACGCTACACTGAACTTTCAGTTCATGCAGGACGTAAGGCCCAACATGCAGTTTGGAGAGCACTTAGATTGAACATGAGAATACATCCCAGAAGAGCTTTGCAGCCACCAAGCATGGTCCCCCCCTTCCCCCCCTTTACCCTAGAAGCCTCAAGTACACACAACAGAAGCAGGTACAAAACAGTGGCTCAGTGGGGTGGACAGATATTTAACATAAAGGTGTAGGGTGCCTCTGAACAAATACTAAGCCAGTGGTGAGGAACTGCTAGCCAGTGGGTCTAATTTAGCCCACAAGGCCAATTATCCACCTGATGTCATAAGCTAAGAAATTTAATTTTGGTACCAGAACTAAGCTCCAGTCCTTGCAAACCAAAATCCACTCCTGCTTCCTTCCCCTCACCAGTTTTGTTTGAGTAGCTGTGAGAGCTCTTTGGTGCTGTCAAAGAGCTAGGAATAAGAAACCCTTGCTGGTCTACTGCAAGCCACCCAGTAAGTTCTGATCTGCCTTCCATTGTTCCAGAACACGCCTTAGAATCCAGCAGTCCCCTAACAGATCAGTCCAGTGCAGGAAATAATCCCTGAAGAGTCAAAAGAGTGAAAACCACTGGGCATACTGGGAGATTAGTCTTTGGACTTTGCTGAAGGCCTGTTTACACATCTTTCAATTTAGAGGAGAAACTCATGGCTGATTTGCATGATCTAGCTACACTTGTTTTATCAGAAAATTGTACTATTAAGTAAACATCTACCATTTATAGATTTTGTTTTTCCTCATAAATATTTGAACACTTTGAATGACTAACCTCAATGTCAATACCTTGCAATATTAAACCGGTAACCTCACAAACTCCACACTTCATCACCATATGAAGTAAATGAAGCTAGCTAAAGCGGATGCTGTTAAAAGCAACTAACTTGCCATTAAGGATTATTTTATAGCATGAAATATTTTAGAATATTTATTCAAATGATTATTTTAATCTTGTACTCGGTTTTTTGTTTTGTTTCTAGATTTTGTGACATGAATATTTCAGTGCTGCTTTGTTTTGTTCTGATGGATTTGTTTCTTGCTTGTAAATTGCCTTTTTTATGGTATAAATAAAGTCAATGGGAATTGCTGTTTATAAATTAAAATGCTTCTGAAGCACACATTCTGTCTTTGAATTCTGTTTTTTTTTTCAAAAAAATTGGAAGACTATCAATGGGGTTTTATCTTCTCCTTGTGACTGGCTAAAATCGTTATGAATCCAGACCAAATTTGGGTTTTCCTTGCCCAAATGATGTCACTACTGTCCAAAACTGCCTCCTTTTGTCCATATTTCCCTTGTAAAACAAACTTCATAACTCTATGAGGTAGGTCAGTATTAGAATTTTACAGATAATACTAATTACAGGTGCTTAATTACTCACGCACCAGCACATATTAGTGCTACACTTGGAACTTTTCCATTCCGTAATATTGTGCCATTTTTGTTCCAACACAGGTGGAGACTTGCCAGAACTTGTTAAAATGTGAAAAAAGACCTGATCTGTTTTGGGTTCTTTCTAGTGTAGCCTAGCAGTGTGCAGTATGAGGTTTACTACTAAATCACAGTCTTTGATTTTTCAGGAGACTAACCCCTACGTACATTTGTATTAATAAAGTCTTAATCACCCTGCCCCCCTTAAAGCCTGTGTATGTGGTGTTCCTTTGGGAAACCCCAGCTAGGGCAAACCCTTTACAGATCTCTCCAACATTGCCATTTTTGTGTAATGATCCTGTGTGTACCTTCACCTACTATGCTAGGGGAGGAGAACCTGTGGCCCTCCATATGGTGTTGAGCTTCAGCTCTCATCAGCACATATTAGTGTTACACTTGGAACTTTCCATTCCCAAATATTATGTTCTTTCTTTGTATAAATACAAACAAAATAAATCCTTCCTTACACTCTTCTCCACAGACTGGCTTCTGAGATGGGGACAAGCAACTTGCCTGGCCTGGGCCTCCAGGGCTTGTTGCTCATCTATTATTTTTTTTCTTGTTTAGGCAAAGTAATGGATGCTTCCCCCTCACACTCTAGGCAGCATTGGATTGTCCTCCATAGTGGCAGGAGCAGTATAATGAGAACTGCCACCCCAGAGGCTTTAATTTTCAGCCCTTACAGTGGTGGCATTGGCTAGGGAGGATTCCTAAAGATGTGTCCTGGTCAGCAATAGTCAACGTACAGGATGCCCATTATCACCTTTGTTTCTGAATTTCTGTTTAAAACCCCTAGCCTGTATTATTAAACAACATGATGAGATTCACAGAGCAGTCCATAACTCAGCTGAATATAAATTAGTTTTATTTTCAAATGATATACTCTTACTTATTACGAAACCTCATACTACTATTCCAACACTGATGCAAACAATAAATACATTTGGTCAAATTTCTGGATATTCTGTTAATTTGGCAAAGTCAGAATTGGTCCCTATAATAGGGTTGCCATATTCTAAAAGGCAAAAAAAGAGGACACATTTGCCACCTTCTAGGTCAGTATTGTCTACACTGACCGGCTGCAGCTGTCCAGGGTTTCAGACAGGAGCCCTTTTCCCAGCCCCACCTGGAGATGGGGGCTTGCATTCAGAGCAGATACTCTGCCACTGAGCTATGGCCCTAAAACAAGATGGGATGAGCAGGGAGAGGTTTAAAGAGATGGAAAGACCCTGGATGAGGCTTTCACAGCAAGTCATTAGGCAGAGGCTGGGCAGTGTAGGGTAGGGGGTCGAACACTATTTGGAGGGAGGGGGGAGAAAGGGACGCAGCCCGTGGTGGTGGGGGATGGGGGAAGACCTCGGTGGGAGGAGGGAAAGCAGAGAAAAGGCAGAGAATGGAAGAGGGATCTCACCAGGAGAGAGGGAAGGGAAGGAAGAGGCGAGAGGAGTGCTGGGGGGGGGGGCGTCCAGACAGGAGGCAGAAGGCAAAGGACTGAAAAAGCTACGCAATGGCGAGAGGCGGCGGGGGGCGGGGGGAATGAAACAGCAGAGAAAAGGAGAGGGGGGGAGCGAACAGAAATCGTCAGGGGGAAAACGTCGGGAAGCGCAGCAGAGATGTGGGTAAATCAATAACTCCCAGTTAGAGAAAAGGAGGGTCTCCCTGAGCCAAAGACAGCCTTATTTTATGGAGGGCGCCCCCAAAAGGGGAGAGAAGGGTGGTTGTGCGGGGTGGGGAGGGATCGTTGCCTGGAAAAAGAGAGCGTGAGAGGAGGGATGCTGAGGAGGCGCGCTGGGGAAAGGCGCAGAGGAAGCCAGAGAGAGAGGCTGCTATTGATTTTGTCCTGGGGGGCTTCGATCGGGTGCCGAGAGGTGGCTGCCTAACTCTCCGTCCCCCTCCCTCCTGATCTTTACCTCCCTTTCCCGCACGAGGATTCACAATCTCCCCAGCACGCACGCGCGCACCCCAACGGGTTTTGCAAATAACCACACACTGCTGCAGCTGTCTTCTCCCCTCCATGCTGGAGCGTCTGCTCTCCGAGATTCCCTACTTACCTGGCCACACAGTGCCTTCCCCCTTTTGCCAGCAGCCCCCTTACTCCCACCCCATCCCAACCCGACCCGACCAGACCAGACCAGACCTAACGACAGCGCCTCTCTAACCTCCATGGCAACCACCACCAGCCCCGTCGCGCGGGCTGTCACTCAAATCCATGGCGGAGCAAGGCGGGAGGGAGCGGACTACCGGCTGCAGCACCTCCAAACCCGGTCCGCATCTTCACGCTCTCCCGCCCAAGCGCTTGAAACTGGCGCGAGAAAAGAGACCCAAGTGCTCCCCACAGTCGAGCAGCCAATCAGAAGTCGCGGTGACGATATTCGCCCTCCTTATTCCGCTTTCAGGGTCGAAGGGAAAGAGCAATGAGAATAGCAGAGCAGAGCAGAGACTGCGGCGCCTTGCCGCTGGGTTCTAGCGCCCCGCCGCCGCCACCACCTACAAGGCTTGACCCAGCAAAAAACCTGGACATTTTGGGAAATTATAAAAATCTGCCCCCCCCCCGAAAAAAATGTGGAACAATTTGCTGGGTGTGTCCGGGGAAAAACCGGACATACGGCAAGCCTACAAGTAACGGTGGGAAGCAGACACTCCAGTATCTTTCCATGGATCGATGCTCTTTGAGGAAGAAGCACTCAAATAAATCCTTACTGGATCTAAAGACAAAAGAATAGTTTTCTTCACCGAAAGAGAAGAATGGTGCAGCCCACAGAGTCTCCGAAATCAGTGCCCTTTAGTGGTAAAGCATCTCTATCTTCCATAGCGACATAGTGATTCACCGATTGGATCCCAATTTCCTTGCCAATGTGCTGTCAAAGTTCTACCTTCAGCAAGAAGTAATCTTGTCCACCTTCTGCCCAAAGACATCACACAATGGTCGCTGGTCTCTGAAGCTTTTGAGTTTGGGGGGGGGGAACCCCCTAACCCTAGAAATTAGAAAATGGTGGGATTTTGATTATTTTGGATATGAATGAAATTACATGCCTGCAGGACTGGGTCAGACGAGGAATCCCTGGACTGGCTTATGCAAACCAGCCTGGCCAAGCAGAGGTGTTAACATGACAAAAGGTGTGGATGGAGCATCCAAGAGGAATCTTGGGCCTGAGTGAAGAGAGATTGCCAAGGTGATGGTGTATGAGAGAGAGGTCACAGGAAAAGGATCTTTAGTATGCTGGGAAGAGAAGGGGAGATCCATCCTTCAGCATTCTCCCTGGGAAAGATGCCTTTAGTGCTGCACTGCTGTGGGGAAAAGCCCCTCTTGAAATTACTATGCGGTAAGATTTCGACTCCCTCCAGCAGACTGCAGGTGTAAATATGTGAATAAATCATATTTCTTAAAGCTATGACAGTCTCCACCACATCTTCAATTCTCCAAAGGAGAACAAACTCTGGTTGAGCACCTGGATCCCCTGGAAACTTGCTACCGATTGGCAGAGTGTGGGGGTGGTGCCCAACTTTTGTAACAGTATATATTGCCTGTATAAAGGACGTACAACAAACTTCTCTTTGTCCCATTTTATCCCTCCTCCGTGAGGCAGAGGGTAACACCAACTACTCTTTCCAGAAGCTTAAGGGTGTGTCCTATGAGGCACAGAAACTGCCTCTTCCCAAACATCTGACTGCCCATTCCATGAGAGCAGCCACAACTTCAGCTGCTTTTTCTACAAATGCCTCCTTAGAAATATGCAGAGTAGTGACCGGGCCATCCCCCAGCACATTCAATAGGCACTATAAGATGAATCCCTTATAGAAAGCTTTCCGACAATAAAAACTTGTAGCTGGGACCCACACTAGTTGGGTAAACTTTTGTACGTCCAAACCCAGTGATGCTACACTGCAGAAGCACCAACTTGCACCAAGGATTGGGGGTGTGGGGGTGATGCCACGTGTGTGTTACAATGCGCAACGTTGCGTTGCGATATCGGGAAGAGCCAGGGGCAAAGCTGAATGCAGCGCCAGCGCAGCTTCAATGACCAACAGCTCCAACTCTCTGGCGCTCAGCCTCCTCTTGCAGCTGCTACCATGGGGGGAGGCGTCCCCCCAAAGAAAATATTGGGGAGGACCAAATGAGTTTGGCCTCTAGGTAGCTACCTGGAAGCCAAACCCTGCTGCACTGTCAAGCGAAGTTGTAGCATTGCACCTTCCTGAAGGGTAGGTTTACTTGTCCAGTTTAGCATCACTGGTGCCACACCCTTAACAGGCTGTCCAACAGGTCGATCACGATCTACTGGTAGATCTCCGCGAGGTTTTGGTAGATCGCGGTTTATCTCTGGCTCCCTTTCCTTAGCGTTGATAAAACTGACTCCTGCCACGCCCCCTCACCCCGCCCTCCATTGTTGTATGAGCTCCGGAAGGGAAGACAGAGCTTTCTCTGTGCTGCTGTTTTGATCCATAGCGATCTTTTTTGTGAGGGACTTTACCCCTTCGTCCCTTGCCTTTAACCCCCCCAACGGGACTTCTCCCCCCCAAAAAAGCATTTTTAACCCCTAAAAACGGGGCTTTTCTCCTCCCTAAAAAAAGCTCAAAAGCTTTGAGCTGAACCCCCCAAAAAGGGGGTAGATCACTGCCAGTTTTTAATTCTGAAAGTAGATTGCAGTTTCTTGAGAGTTGGCCACCCCACAACACCTCTTCCCACCTCTGTTTGCATGGTTGGCTTTGAGTTAAAGGATTGTTGTCGGAAATATGTTAATACTATTTTGAGTTTCAGTTCTGGACTGTTTATGCTCAGTGAGTATGCAAAACTGTAGAAGGGCCAACCTATTCCTTGTAAAAACTACTCCTGCCTTCATTCACCAGAGGCGCAGGTAAGCCCAACCCAGTGATGCTACCCTTCAGTACAATGGTACTTTTTCTCTTTACCATGCATGCATAACTTCATCAACGTCTGTCTACTTCAAAGTGTAAAACCCAAAATTTGTCCAGGGCTAGGTAACCTCAAATGTGGCCTTCCTAGAGCTGTGTTGCTCAGTGAGGGTGGGTATGATGTGTTGAAAGCTATTCCTGTAGCAAATGGGTGGATGCTTGGCTCCAGTGAAAAAAATGTATTTCAACAAGCCTCAAACCAAATATAGCAGCAACAAACTAATGCAGCTGTGGTTCAGGAATACTTAATATTTATACATGTATTTGAGCATGAAAATCAAGCTCAGTGCCCATCCCGTTCCCTTGAAATACTGCACCTGAACAGACCCAAGAGAAGATGGTTCATCAATTGAACTGTGTTTTTTCCTTACCACTAGAGGGTGCAGAAAGACCTTTCTAAGGAATTATTTCATTTTAGTCCAGTGACATTGAAGTGTACATCAGGAACCTGTAATCTGTACCTTAGTATGATTGTGACAGATTTATAGAGATGCTGAGCGCCATTTTGAAAATGGGAATAGGCCATAGTCAGAAGCTGAGAAAATCAAAGTAAGGTTAAACTTAAAAAAACGACAACCCCTAATGCAGTTTGTTTCACTTTATAACTCAATTATATGCCAGAGGGTAAAGGTAAAGGACCCCTGGACGGTTAAGTCCAGTCAAAGATGACTATGGGGTGCAGTGCTCATCTTGCTTTCAGGTCAAGGGAGCTGCCATTTTTCCACAGACAAATTTCAAGGTCATGTGACCAGCATGACTAAATCGCTTATGGCGTAACGGGACACCATAACGGAAACCAGAGAACATGGAAACACAGTTTACCTTCCTGCCACAGCAGTACCTATTTATCTACAGTGGTACCTCGCAAGACGAATGCGAATACTCAAAATCAGTAGCATACTATCTCTCCTTTTAGCCACAGCTACCCCCTGCAATAAAAGGGACACAGGAGGTGCTGTGGGTTAAACCACAGAGCCAGAGCCTAGGGCTTGCCGATCAGAAGGTCGGCGGTTCAAATCCCCGCGACGGGGTGAGCTCCCGTTGCTCGGTCTCTGCTTCCCACCTAGCAGTTCAAAAGCACAAAGTGCAAGTAGATAAACAGGTACCGCTCCGGCGGGAAGGTAAACAGCATTTCAGTGTGCTGCTCTGGTTTGCCAGAAGTGGCTTAGTCATGCTGGCTACATGACCCAGAAGCTGTACGCCGGCTCCCTCGGCCAATAAAGCGAGTTGAGCACCTCAACCCCAGAGTCGTCTGCGACTGGACCTAATGGTCAGGGGTCCCTTTACCCCCTGCAATGACTGGTGAACTGAGCTTTATCACCTTTTAAACCATTTCCTGTTCTTTAGCAAACACACATCAACTGTAGGCACCATTTTTATGTGCTAAGCAGTTTTGAAAGAAATGTGATTACTCTCATAACACTGTTCTCATAACATAATAAAGAGCCTTTAAACTGGTTGCTAAAATGGGAGAGGTACTAACTGAGTTTTCTGAGGCAAGGATGTGTTCAGATTCAGGTCCAGCTCTGTCAGCATCTGAGGTGTTTAGTTTATAAATGACACAGAATTTTGGTGTGCCTATTTTAGGTTAGGACAACTTGATTAACAGCTAATTTATTGAGATGGCAATTTTGAAGAAGGGGTGATTTGGTGGTAGGCCCAGCTTCTTCCATCCTTCCTACCCAGGGGATTGCTGGAACCTCATTCCAGACTTCTAAGTACTCTTGCCAGTGGGTTATTAGTTCTGGGGTCCAACTACAACTTGGTCAAATTTGTGTCTTACAGTTGCTGATGCCTAATATAGAACTAATGTTTGACCCTCCCATGTATTTATTTATTTTTGCAAACCGATACCTGGGCTGGACCCATTATATGTCAATCTCCTGTGTTCTGGAGGTTTATTGCAAGACTATAAATCAGGTGGTCTTCTTATCTCCCTTCCCCTTTGGCCAGACTTGCCCTGCAGGGGTGTCCAAACTTTTTTCAAAGAGGGCCAGATTTGATGAAGGCTGACCGTTGTGAGCTTTTTTTTTTTTTTTTAAGATTGAAGTTGTTAAGCTTTTTTAAGGATTTAACCCCAAGGTTGTTGAGCTTTTTTGAGGATTGAAGTTGCTGAACTTTTTTGGGGATTTTACCCCAGGACATATACTGCCCCGGGGGCCAGGCTGGATTAGGCTGCCAAAATGGACTTTCAACATTCCTGCCTTAAGGCAAAGTTGGGGGAACTAAAGTCCTTCAGATGATGTTGAACATTGGGCTGTGCTGCCTGGGACTGATAGGACATGAAGTCCAACAACATCTGGAGAACCACAAGTTCCCTACCCCTGCTGTTTGATAAAGCTAGCAACAACACAGTCAGTTGACCTGTCAGTCTTTTTATTATAAATTGGGAGGTTTTTGAAGTTTTCTTTAAGTTTTGGCCCCCTTTGTTTCTGACATGACCCTGCCCCCCGCTTCTGAATTGAAGTGGGCCCTGACCATGAAGCTTCAGGTGGCTGTTTTACAAATAGGTAAAGGTACCCCTGCCCGTACGGGCCAGTCTTGACAGACTCTAGGGTTGTGCGCTCATCTCACTCTAGAGGCCGGGAGCCAGCGCTGTCCGCAGACACTTCCGGGTCATGTGGCCAGCGTGACGAAGCTGCTCTGGCGAGCCAGCGCAGCACACAGAAACGCCGCTTACCTTCCCGCTAGTAAGCGGTCCCTATTTATCTACTTGCACCCGGGCGTGCTTTCAAACTGCTAGGTTGGCAGGCGCTGGGACCGAGCAACGGGAGTGCACCCCGCCGCGGGGATTCGAACCGCCGACCATGCGATTGGCAAGTCCTAGGCGCTGAGGTTTTACCCAATGTTTTTGTTTTTGTTTTTTACAAATGGATTACCATTAATTGATGCAGTTTCTGACTTTCTCATGCTTTCAAACTCTTCTCTGAAGAACCTGGAGTTCCCCAAGGTCAATAATAGCAGCCAAAGTTCTTTGAAAGATCTCTTGCTCAGTGCTACTGATCTTCCCCTCCAGGACAACAGGACTATTGGATGTTTTCTTGGACACTCTCTCCATTCCTCTGGGGCAACTGTGAAGCCTAAGAGGCCTTGCTAGTGAAGTGTGCACCCTAGAATATACCCCAGGATCCATAGTAATATGCAGGGTTTCTGTAGTAGACAAATTAATGTGGAAAGCATTCTCTGAAGGTAATAGATTTGTTTAAAACATTGTTCTGACATGGAGACAGAAAACAGAAGAATATAGTCGCTTTGATTGGTGGTTGATTCCCAGTGTCCTTGGTATAGGCTTTCAGAAAGTGAAAGAGTGTCCTGTAACAAGGTGGAAACCTCTGGATGCAACGCAACAGCTTTCAAAGACAAAACAACCAATTATTTAACTAGAAATTAATAGTATGATGGTGAGTATGATCCCATGACAAGCTGAAGAATGCCATCAATGCTCAGGTACGTGGTAAAGCCCCAGGAAAGAAAGGAATCCCAACAGAAGTTCTGAAAGCCAGCTTCAGTTCTTCCCACATGACACACCCCTACTGTGTCCTCTTGCAGTGTTGAGAACAAGGATCCATGCCACAAGACATATGTGACTCCAAAATCATGAGCCTTTAAAAGAACAAAGGTGACCACCAAGACTGCAACAACTACTGTGGGATCTCCTCGCTGAGTACTGTGGGAAAAGCTTTCACTCTTGATGTTCTCAATAGAGTACAGGCACTTGCTGACAGGGTCTACCTCAAGTCACAATGCTGCTTTAGAGCTCAGAGGTCAACAATAGACATGATTTTCTCACTGCGCCAGCTGCAGGAGAAATGCCAAGAGCAGAGATGCCTCTTGTACATTGCCTTCATAGACCTGACGAAGGCCTTTGACCTCGTCAGCCAAAAAGGATTATACACTGAACAAGATAGAGTGCTAGGATCCTATCCAAGATAGGATGCCACAGGATGATTGTGTCCTTCCATGACAACATGTGTGGCACTGTCCAATATGATGGCTCATCCTCAGACGCCTTGCCTACAGATAGCAGTGTGAAACAGGGCTGTATTCTCACCAACAGTCTTTGGCATATTCTTCTCTCTGTTGCTCTCACATGCCTTCAGCTCAACTGAAGGTGGTGTGCACATCCGTACAAGGAGTGACAAGTGTCTGTCTTTGCACCAAGACAAAAGTGTGGTGAATCGTTATCCAAGAGATGCTGTTAGCCTTGATAGCACAATCTAAGGAACCTCTACAGAGACTCATCAGCTGTTTTGCCCAAGCCTGCAGGGAGTTCAGCCTTACCATCAGCCTAACAAAGATCAACATATTGGATCAGGATGTCACCAGCACTCCATGCATCAGCATTAGTGACCGCATGCTCAAAGTGGTAGACAATTTTGTCTACCTGGAGTCCACCATAACCACAAACTCTCAATTGATGCTAAGCTGGACAAGTGTATTGGCAGGGCAGCTACGGCAATGACTCACTTCTCCAAAATGGTATGGGAGAATGGAATGCTAACAACCAATACCATCATCATAAACTTTATTGCACTAGCCAAAGGCCATGGCATCATTCACAAAGGGAACAAAAAGAAAAGCAACAATAACCATAAAAACCATAAAAACATCAGGCACTGCAAATACAATAAACCACTGTCACGTCTCCTAGAAATTATTTGTTGCATACAATAGAATAGCAGGGGGTTCTCAGGTAGAATGTGCCAGCTTAAATGTCCGAATCACCTTTGCAATTGACCACTATTTTATCTAGTTCTTTTCTCCTGATCTTCATAGCTGCCAACGCATATAGTGCTACTTGATAAGTTACAAAGTCATCGGTATCACTCAGCAGCCATTTCACCCTTTGCACCCTGTTCGAGTGTGTTCCGTTCGTAAGCAGGGGTTTATATAAATCAGTCTCTTGGTTCTATATATAGTGGGCATTGCAATAAATAGTGGTTTAGGTCCTCTTTGCAAGGTTGCCCACACAGACAAAGCCTCTCCTTGTACTGTTCTTTGCCATACCGACCATCCACCACCACCAAGGGCATCAATTGGAATCGTAATTCTGTAAAGGCGATTCTCAGTACGGCAAGTGGGAGCTTTTTCAGATAACTAGCTCGGATGTGCTCCGTTTTGATAAGTCGGAACCATGGTGAACTTTTGGTAGAGGCAATCATGGTTAAATCCCTTTCTGCATTGGACCTGAAGAGGCAATCTCTTAAGTGCCTCTTATCCATCATCATGATCATCTGAAGATCTTGTAATTGATATTGGGTCAAGAGGGGTTGGATGACATCCTTCCAACATTTGGTCTGTTCCTGTTCTGTGTGGGACATAGCGGGGAATCTCTCCTCCAAAGAGAGATTGGAGTCTTTTCACATAGTTTAGACACAGATAGTCAGTTCTAGCCTGTATTGTTGTCACGTCTGCTTCCACGCGGAGAAGAGCAGCTGGGGTCCCATTGGGGAGCAAAAGCACTTTCCTGAGGAATTTGTTCTGCACTGTTTCTTATATATATATATATTGATTTTAACATATAAATCATAAAATGTACCACAAAACTTATCACTTATACAATCTTTTTAGACTTCCATCAGCACCTCTGATGATCCACCATTTTAACCACTTCTTATGCATTTCTCAATTTTATATTGCCTTTACATCTCTTAACAAATCATCCTTCCCCTTCTCCATTTTTGCAATACTTCCAATAATACTCCTCACAAAACTTCTTGCAAACCTACAAATGTTGTCTGATCTTCACAAATACTTTTCAAGTAGTCCATAAATTTACTCCAGTCTTCCGTGAATTTATGGTCCCACCGGTTTCGAATCCTTCCTGTTAGTTTATCTACTTCTGCATAGTCCATTAACTTGTTCTGCACTATTTCTAAGGCTTTGTTAGCATTTGGATCCATGCCCCATATCGCTACTCTGTGGAGCATTTGGGTAATACCACGTTGAAGGTCTACCAGGCTTGTGTGTTGAGCACACTGCTTTATGGAAGTGAGTTGTGGGCAACTTACAACCGCCAGAAGCTATGCCTCAATGCCTTCCACAGGCACTACGTCAGGAGGATTTGGGGTATCACATGGCAGGACAGAATTCCAGACAAAGATGTGCTCTCTCAAGCTTGCATTCCAAGATTGTTTGCACTTGTGTCTCAGTGACATCTACACTAGCTTGGTCACGTCCACAGAATGGAAGATGGCAAGATTCCCATGGAATATTTACGGGAAGCTGGCTTCTGGTACCAGGCCAATTAGCAGACCAATTCTGCATTACAAAGATATCTGCAAATGTGACCTGAAGGCTGGCAACATCAACCTTGCTGTGTGGGAATCTCTTACAGACAACTGCAGTGCCTGGAGACAGGCAGTCAAGTCATGTATCCCTAGCAGTGACCAGAAGAAAAATAACCGCTGGGAGGAGTGCAGAGAAAAGAAATGACATTGTGCACCTGTTATTTTATCCTGATTAAATATTTGGGCAATTTGATGATATTGTAACCATGTGGTGCAGTATTGGTTCGCCTCCTCATACGATCTTAATTTTAATTGACCCTGTTCCTCTTTTAGAAGTTGCTGATATGTGGCAAGTCTACCTGCCGTGTTTACTTCTAATGGTGATACCCACTATGGGGTTTTTGGTTCTAACAGCCTATGATGTCTCACCCAGACCTTGCACAGAGATTTCCTATTTATATGTCTTAGAAATTCTTTATGTACCACCACTTTATTGTAAATTAGATAGGCACACCGGCCATATCTATTATTCCAGCCCTCTAAGTCTAGAATGTCCTTAATCCAGCTAAAGAATGCGGCATCATAATATATTCTCAGGTCTGGAAGCCCAACCCTCCCCGCCCCCCCGCTCCTTCATGTCTGTTAGTAATTTGTATTTAATCCGCAGCTTGCCAGATAAATTTTGTCAAATCCTATTCCCATTTTTAAAACATTCTTCTTTACCCATTATGGGGTTATTGTTGTTTTTTAAGCTTTTTTAAGCTTTGTTTGGACTGGTAACCTTTCCAGCTTTTGAGACACTGGAGATACTGAAATAATCGGATACATTTTTTGAACTTGAAAAACCAGCAACTACTTTCTTTAGATATCTGTTGTTAGCAAATAAGTTTGACACCCAGATTCTAAGAAATGACTGAGATAAAGAACTGGACCTTTCATTATTACCTAGACAGTAATGAAAGCCTCAATACCATTTGTATTGATGGATCTTATATGACAACTTATACAACAGAAAATAATATTCAAAATTTATTGGCCTCCACTAAGTTTGTATAAAAAGGACTATCCAATGTAGTCCTCCAACGCTTTGCTGGAGATGTAATAAGCATAATGCCTCTTTGAAACATATGTTCCTGCAGCGCTCTATACTCAATAGGTATTGAGAGAAAGTGCTGGACTGTATAAATATTATTACAGTGGTACCTCTGGTTACAAACACTTCAGGTTACAGACGCTTCAGGTTACAGATTCCGCTAACCCAGAAATAGTACCTCAGGTTAAGAACTTTGCTTCAGGATGAGAACAGAAATCATGCTCCAGCGGCGCGGCAGCAGCAGGAGGCCCCATTAGCTAAAGTGGTACCTCAGGTTAAGAACAGTTTCAGGTTAAGAATGGACCTCCAGAACGAATTAAGTTCTTAACCCGAGGTACCACTGTATTTGGAAAAACTTAAAATTTTCAGAGGAAAACATACTTTTGAACCATATACCTATCGTTTGGAAGCAGACAACGAAAATAGATTCTATGTGCCCTAACTGTGGCTAAGTGACTGGCATTGATGAACTGGAAGAATATATAAAGGTAAAGGGACCCCTGACCGTTAGGTCCAGTCGTGACTGACTCTGGGGTTGTGGCGCTCATCTTGCTTTATTGGCCAAGGGAGCCAGCGTACAGCTTCCAGGTCATGTGGCCAGCATGACTAAGCCGCTTCCGGCGAACCAGAGCAGCACATGGAAACGCCGTTCACCTTCCTGCTGGAGCGGTACCTATTTATCTACTTGCACTTTGACATGCTTTCGAACTGCTAGCTTGGCAGGAGCAGGGACCGAGCAACAGGAGCTCACCCCGTCACGGGGATTCAAACTGCCGACCTTCTGATCAGCAAGTCCTAGGCTCTGTGGTTTAACCCACAGGAATATATATCATCTCTTTTAATCAGTGTACAGTGGTATCTCAGGTTAAGAACTGAATCTGTTCTTAACCTGAAACTGTTCTTAACATGAAGCACCACTTTAGCTAATGGGGCCTCCCACTGCCGCCGCGCTGCCACTGCACAATTTCTGTTCTCATCCTGAAGCAAAGTTCTTAACCCGAGGTAATATTTCTGGGTTAGCGGAGTCTGTAACCTGAAGCGTATGTAACCTGAGGTACCACTATATTGATGATATGACAACACTTGCAACATATGGATTGCTTATAGATGTAGACTTTGTTTGGATAAATATACTGACATTTGGAATGAGTTTATACAAAATATAATAGGTTATATATATTTTGACAATACAGTTGTATCTTGGATCTCAAACTCCTTGGCTCCCAAACCATTGAAACCCGGAAGTGAGTGTTCCGGTTTTGAAGGATTTTTGGAAGCCAAATGTCAAGCACAGTTCCAATGGATGGCAAGAGCTTCCTGCAGCCAATCAGAAGGCACACTTTGGTTTCCAAACATTTTGGAAGTCGAATGGACTTCTGAAACTGTAATTTATATCTATCTAATAATGTATGGAAATGTAACTAATTATGTTTACCATATTACACTATATCTTTTTTTCTTATTGAATTTTTTGCACTTTTTCTTTCTCCCTCTTTTTTCTTTCATCACTTACTTTATCTTTTGTAACTGAAATTATTTCAATAAAATATTAATAAAAAGTTCAGGCTGCATTATTAAAGTTCATTGGGCAAGAAACCTGCTTCCCGCATAGATTAGACTTTTTCCGTAAGTGATGTGTATAGGCATTATAAAATATAGGATAACAGTTGTTTGACACAATGTAGTATATAACCTGTATAACATCAGATTGTTCAGCAAGTAGTTGATGTTGTCTAATCTCCCCGCACACAAATCAGGGTGAATCTCCATAAATAGGTTACCTGGAAGCAATATTAGACAGAAATCCTAAAGAACATTTTCTCTGAAAGAAACCTAGGGACTGTACCCTTTACAGAGCTAGAACTACCAGCAGCCTCAACACACTACAGTTTCCATCATTTTTCTTTGGGGGAGGGCACAGGGAGAATATGTTTTAAATGTATGGTGTGTACACAGCCCAAGACTGAAAGTGGAGCCCTGATGTGGAAAGGTGTGTTGGCTGGGACTACTTGAGTGACTACATACAGCAGTATGGATCACAGGTGTGTAAAAGGAACTGGGGCTCAATCTGGAATAATTGCAACTGTAGATCTTCTACTTCAAATTATAAAGACTCTGGTCTGTGGGCTAATCCTTGGTTCCCATCAAGCCCATGTACTGGACTGTATAGCCTAACACAGTGGTGGCGAACCTATGGCACAAGTGCCAGAGGGGGCACTCAGAGCCCTCTCTGTGGGCACGCGTGCCATCGCCCCAGCACAGAGCCAGCAGAAGGCGAGGGTGGCCTGTCAGCTCAAACTGGGCAGCTGAGCAGCCGCCTTCCTCCTCCTCCAATGCCCAATGGGAGATGTCAGGTAGGGTGCGTCATGCAGGAGCCGGCAGGGGAGGATGGCATTGCTGGCGAGCCTCAAGAAGCCACTTTGTTCCAGTGCTGGATAGCCAGGCAGGGCCACCTCCGCCTCATCCTCGTCACCCCTTATCCGGCACCGAGCCTCCAGGCCCCACCGGCCTTGCTGCACTATTATCACCTCCCACTTGCTGGTGTACTTCTTCACTGAGCTCAACCACAGCCAAGGGCAGCGGGTGAGGGCGTGCCCGGGGCCACGCTGAACACCCAGCGTAGGGGCCGGCCGGGGCCGGGTGAGGGAGCAGGGCTAGCACATGGGGCAGCCCCTGGGACCCTTTCAGGAAATGGCGGCTTGATGGGGGGGCACTGCTCTGCACATGCTCAGAGGGCCACGCTGAGACCGCTTGCTTGCTCGGGCTGGAGCTTAAAAGCAGGGAATTGCCATCTGCACGGTTGACGCAGAGATCTTGTTAAAATGAATCCTTAAAGTGTGGAATTCTCTGCCAAATAATTTTAAGTCAAGGAAGCACTTGGGATTGCTTTCCTCACTTTGTTTGGATCATATGCTTGTGAGCAGTTGAAAGCTCTGTTATTGTGTTTTTCTTTTAAGACTAAAGATGTTAATGTATGAGTTGTTTTTTCTAAACTAAAACCTCAGTATTCAGGTTAAATTGCCGGGTTGGCACTTTGCAATAAATAAGTGGGTTTTGGGTTGCAGTTTGGGCACTTGGTCTCTAAAAGGTTTGCCATCACTGGCCTAACACAACAAGAAGTTGTGTTATTGGGAAGGGCTGCAGCTCAGTGATGGAGGCCATGCTTTGCATGCAAAAGGTCCCAGCCTCAATCCCTGGGGAACTATTGCCAGACAGTGTTGACAATACAGTACTGAGCTTATATGGAGCAATTGTTTGACTTGATATAAGGCAGGTTCCTAACTCAGGATCCCGGTCATTATATTGAGGGAAGATCCATATCTCAGTGGTAAAGCACCTGCTTTGCACAGAGAAGTTCCTAGGTTCAGATTCTTGGCATCTCCAGGTATGGCTAGTAAAAGACTCCTGGTTATTGGTTTATGTTTTGTTAAGTATTTTGTCTTATCATTTTGTCTTCTTTTTTATGGGAACCACCTTGTGATCTTCGGACGAACAGCCGTATACAAATTCAACAACAACAAACTGGAGAGCAGCTGACAGTGAAAACAAACACTGCTAGATGAGACTAATGGTCCATTTGTGATCTACATCAGGACCTGCTGCCCCTGTGGATCCAGTTGCCTCACCTTTCCTCATTGAGGGGGGAAGCCTGCCTGTTCATCAGGGCACCCGCCAAGCTTCCTCCCTGCTCCCCTTTTGCACTCAGTTTCCTGGCTTTCCGACTCCTTTTCTCAGCAGGGCCAACTGCCACCTGTCAACAGACACACCGACCTCGCGCGCTCGCCCCGCCCCTAAAAAAACAACAAAAAAACCTCTCAAGGAGGCTGCGGCTCCTACGCATTCGGTCTTCGTTTGCATTTCCCCACCCGCCGCGAATGCGACTGGCGGCGGCGCGGCCGCGGCCCGAGCTAGGATTGGCGGTTAGGCTTGCCAATCCTCCCGTCGTAAACACCGCCCTCCCGAGTTGGCATCCCTCTGGGCGCCCTCCGGCTTTCTTGTCTCCCTCGCAGCAGCCTCCCCCCCCCCGCCCCCATTCCCTTCTCCGGCTCTCGTCACCCCGCCTTCCCTCCCTCCCTCCCTCCCTCGCCCGGCCGCGTTTGGCCTTGTCGGCGTCAGCGGCAGCTGTCGCTGCGGCGTAGGAAGCGAAGCGGTCTGGCGGCGGCTGTGGTGGGGACTCTCCAAAGCCAGTCGGCTCGGCCCGTTCGCTCTTCCTCCCCGTCTTCGTCAAGGGGGCCCCTGGTGGCCTCGAGGAGAAACCACGGGCGTTCTGGGCCGGTGGGGGCGGCGGCAGGTGGGGGCCACTGCTGCTGCCGCCGCGAGCCCCGCCCCTCCAGCAGGTAAGGCGCACAGACGAGCACCCCCGCTTCACCTCTTTGCCCACTAGACACGTCGCTATTTCAGGACTGAAAGCGCTACCCCCCCTCCAAGCTCTTATAAGCCGGCACGCCCCCCTCCCACCGCATCTTGACAGGTGAGGATAAATTTACACCCACCCCCATTTCACTCCACCAAAGGTGTGGGAGCCTCTTTCTAGCTCCCTCTTTCTCCGCCGAAACCCCCCCCCCAGCCGCCGCCGCCCCGCCTTCATTACAGCCAAGAGAAAGATTTAAAGCTCATTTTTCTAGTCTAGTGGACACATTTACATTTCTCAAATGGCACCTACTTCCCGTTTAAGGTGGTGGTGGGGGGTGGCGGTGGCGGATGCAAATAGTTTATTGCTCATATAGGCCAAGTCCATACATGCAGAACAGGTGCATACGCATTTCACGCTCTGTATGTTATAGGAATAAGCTTTTGCACCTGTTTGAAATTGGGTTTCTATAGGCCAGGGTATACTTGCAGACAGATGTATACACTCATGCACATGTTTATGTTGTAGGGATAAGCTTTCGTATCTGTACACAGTTACATCTGTGTTAAAAAATGCTATGCATTTATAGTATTATATAAAATCTTGTAGTATTTTGCACATGCCTCAAGGAAGCTAGCCATGTTACATATTTTTACGTCATAAAGCAATGTGTGTGGGTTTTTTTGTTGGCTGTCTTGAGGGTTATGTGAAAGGCAAGTTAATATGATTTTTAAAATTTATATACATGGACTTTTGTATAGAAACGTTATTAGTTCTGAGCGTGAGATTATATACAATCTTGCGCCTTTTGTATAAATGTCACACAATAACAAAAATTGCATGCATAGAAAATTATTTTATATCCTTGTAAAAATGTATTAAAATTAATAGTATCTGCATGTGGGCGGTATGTACACACACACACACACACACACACACAGACACACAAACTATTACAGTTGTATGTGTTTACATGTATGGAATTGTTGTACAGGAGTTGGTTGGAAAGGAAAGGGAAATTATAACAGTGACTCTTTCATTGACCTATATTCCCTCTCATGAAAATTATAAGTGCAGTTCTGCTACATCAGAGTGCAGCATCCTACCTCATGTAGTACCTGTTGGTTGCTTCCAGAAGGCCAGCAAGTTGGATTTCAAGGCATCCCTTGCCCTTTGACTTTCCCTACTAGTGCCCCCTTGCAGCATCTTTTATCTCATGGAATACTGCCCCTGACCATGGAGGTTCCATCAAGCCCTACATGTGGTGATTGGCTTTGACTTCTGCCTTCCTCCATGAATCTGTATAATTTCCCTTTTAATACCATGTTGATAATGATAATATAAACCTTTAGTGTGTTCAGGTTCATCAGATGTTTTCTCAAACTGCATGATAGGGTGAGGCAGTACACATACAGGCATCCCCCCACTTGTGCATGATTGACTTGCACGTGATCATATATACGTGCAGCGCCAAGAAAAGTTTTAATAGTTTAATTCATACTGAAAATGGAGAGAGCGAGCTGGAGAGCCCTTGTGGCTCATAAGGAGACCCTCCCTAGAGCCCAAGGAGGATGTCTAGAGAGGGCAGAAAAGAGACTGGAGGTGCAACAGTTCTTTGTTTAGGCTGCTTAGCCTCCCCCCTAACAGCTGATGCATGTGGTAGTGCAGCAGCAGATTCTTTTCCGCATGTCCTCCAGTCTCCTGCTGACCCCAGTGCTTCAATTCCAGTTGTGGATATTTTTGGTACAGGGTTGTATTTTTTTTTGGAGAGTAGTATTTTGGAGAGAGAGTGGCTTCATAGTATTGCCTTCTGCTACTGTTTTTTAAATCCACTGCTTGCTTCCATTTGTCAACTCTTTAAAGATTGTCTAAGGCAGGGGTGTCAAACTCAAATTCATCGGGGGCTGCATCAGCAGTTTGGTCACCCTCAAAGGGCCGGTTGTATCGGCCTAAAATATTTGAGCAGGCTGAGACCCCTGATGGGCTTTGACATTTAAATGGTGTGTGTGTGGCATGTGATAAATTATGTGACGTTCGAGCTGGTCTTTGACCAGTAATAAATTATGATGATGATGATGATGGTGATGTGAGGTGGGGCCTACCTGCCCCCCCTCAATATTTTATTCAGGCTGACACCCCTGTTATGAAAGATTACTAAAGTCTGCCCCTGTGGTGATGTATCATAACATTGTGCAGGCCCAGTCTGAGGGCACCTTTACCGGACTGCGTCCTGTGGCTGGGGCTTGTCTGCGCCTTCTCTTCCTTCTCCGCCTGTTGCTGCCTCCTCCCTGTGCCAGGCGCTGGTGGGGGGGGGGGGGAGATGTGCTGGTTGCACCCCAGTTTCTGACGGGGGCCAATGCTGCTTGTTCCTCCCTCTGCTTTTCAACACTGCAATATATCGCTACCGTATCACAACATCACTATCACAATGTTGAAAAGTTGGTATCGTCTGCTTTTAGGGGCTGAGGGGCTTACTCAGTACAGACAGGGGCACTCCTAGGAATTTATTGGATTTCAAATCCCTGGATTTCAAATCCCATTGAGGGGGGGCAGGGGTGGACTTTGGTAATATGGCACCCACCCTGAGTGAGGACAAAATTTGGTGCCCCCTCCAATAGAATAAATAGGCATCGTTATCATTATTTTGTGCTCCCTTGGCTCGGGGCGGGTGAGGCACCTGCACGGCCCCAAATCTGGCGCTGGTGGAGGAAGCACATTTCCACGATGGGCCGAGCTGCCCCTGTGGATCCTGCTGCCTGAGGCAGCCACCTCCCCTTGCCCTCCGTGGCAAGCCGAGGCCGAGGGGGACGTTCGCTTGCCCAGGCGCCGGGCTCCCATCCACTTGCTCCAGAGCGCCCGCTGCAGCCCTGCTGCCAGCAGCCATCGGGGAAGGCGGCCGGCCGGGCTCCGGGGCTCGGTGGGGCCCGCCGGCAGAGGGCGGGGCTGCGCCTTGCCTGGGCATGAAAGCCCTGCTGGCACGTTGTTTCCCACGCCGTGCATCCGTGCCGCGCTCCCGCCTCCATCTCGGCTCGCTCCCTCCCATCCTCCACCTCCGTGCCTCGCCTGCCAGATTCGTATCCCTGCCCGGCAGCGGCGGCGGTGGCGCAGCGGAGGCCGAGCATGGCGCCAGCAGCGGCTGCTGGGGGGTGCGGAGGAGCGTCCAGCTGGGCAGCTCCGCTCAGCTTGCTGCTCCTCGTGCTGGGCGCCTCCTGGGCGGCACGCCCACCGGACCGGAGCGGCCGCCAGAGACGTGGCATGCCGCGGGACGAGGCGGGCGGCCTGCGGGGTCATGCCGGTGGGGGACCTCCGGAGGCGGCCTCTCTGCTCACCACCTCCTTCGTGCTGAAAGGCGACGTGGTGCACAACCAGGCAATGGTGCACTGGACGGGCGAGAACAGCAACGAGAACGGTGGCTACACGGGCCACATGACAAGGTCTGGCGGGCCAGATTCGGCCCGCAGGCCTTGTGTTTGACACCCGTGGTCTAAGGCAAAAAACCCCACTCTGTTTCCTATTTAGTAATAAATAACTGACACTTAGCCAGTGCCTTGACATTTGTCACGGTTCTCTGGGTGCCACATGACCCAGAAAGCTGTCTGTGGACAAACACCAGCTCTCTCGGCCTGAAAGGTGAGACGAGCGCTGCACCCCATAGTCATCTTTGACTGGACTTAACCGTCCAGGGGTCCTTTACCATACCTTTCCTAATAGCACCTGAGATGATTAGCTCAAAGCAAGGCTAATCCTGAAATGCTCATTAAGTTGTCATGGCAGTGCCCCCTACTACTTGTGCCAACCTTATATCTTATATGTCTTCCCAATGACAGGGGGGAAACAGACTTTTATCTCACATATAGAGCCCATTCCCATCCACCTAACAGAATCATATAAATTCTCCTTTTAGGCTGAGGATTCTCACTAGTTATTTTACTGGAGCCATGGTAATAAATTGTGTTTTATGTCAAGTGGACATCCAGTATCTCTAGAATATATTATTTGAGGTTGTTGCAACCTCTGTCATATATAGCCTACTGTTCTGATGCATCCCTTTCAGAGGTGCAAGGGCTCAGTTCTGCCTGCTAGCTGTGTGATTTGAATGTTTGTTCTCTGTAGCTACTCAGCATCATAAGGTAAAGGTAAAGGGGACCCCTGACCATTAGGTCCAGTCATGGCCGACTCTGGGGTTGCAGTGCTCATCTTGCTTTACTGGCCAAGGGAGCCGGCATACAGCTTCCGGGTCACGTGGCCAGCATGACTAAGCCGCTTCTGGCGAACCAGAGCAGCGCATGGAAACGCCGTTTACCTTCCCGCCAGAGCGCTACCTATTCATCTACTTGCACTTTGACGTGCTTTCAAACTGCTAGGTTGGCAGGAGCTGGGACCGAGCAATGGGAGCTCACCCCGTCGCAGGGATTCGAACTGCCGACCTTCTGATCGGCAAGTCCTAGGCTCTGTGGTTTAACCCACAGCATCATAGCAAAAAGCAAATTGTCATATATTTAATGTAATCACAAACCAGTGTGTGCCGTATCCCATGTGCTGACATGTGAGGGCTTCTTGCTTGCCTTTGTGATTGCCATGTTTCTTTACCCAATATTGCCACCCACCCCACCCCAGTACACCTGTCTCTAGCCCCCTCTGTTACATTTTCATTAGTCTATAGAACATGTATATAATTTTGCTGAAGGTAGACTGGCAGAGGAACAATGACTGTGTTTGCTATTGATGAATGTTAATGTGTAACTGGGGCAATTTCATTCTTGAAATAAGTACTTTGGGACAAAGTGGAATGACAGTGATGGCTATTTTGCAGCTTTTTGAGCACAAATGTGTTTGTGTAACATGTATGTAAATAAATTGACAGTGACCATTGTGGCTGCAAGCATAAACATAAATTTGTCAGGGCATTCTTCCATTCTTCTATATGTTCATCTGATATATAAGTTGGAAATATCTCCTATGAGGTTACTGAAATGGAAATCTTTAAGATTGTCAAAATGATAAATATTTGCTGTAAATGTAACTTTGTTGTGTTATTGTTTCTTCTTACAATAAGTATTACTTTCCATTGCTTCTGATGTGGTATGACATGGTATGTTCAAGAAAATTGAGAGCAGCAAGTTCAGAAGGCAGAGATGTACGGAGCCTGTGTACAGTACTAATTAGTAGTATCCACAGCCTTCCTTACTCTTAACTTGCACTTCTTTGTGGCAGTAACATTGTTGATCTTTAACCTTTGTTTGTTTTATTCCGATTCTCATTAGAATGACCAACAACATTTTGGGTTGTCCCGGACCAGATCCAGTCATTCTTGTAGGAATTTTATTTTCTAGATCCATTTCAATTGGGGTTATACCCAGATTTTGGCATGGAAACTGCTTTATTCACCCTGTATGATGACCTCTGTTGGGAGAGAGTGGGGGGAGGATGTGTCCCTGTTAATTCTTCTCGACCTCTCAGCAGCTTTGGATACCATCAACCATGCTATCCTTCTGGAGTGGCTCTCCGAGTTAGGGGTGGGTGACACTGCCTTGCGGTTATTTCAGTCCTACTTGGATGGTTGTTCCTAAAGGGTGCTGCTTGGTTTTTCAGTCCTGTGGAGCCTTCATTGTGGGTGCTACTCCTCCTCATCTAGCCAGTCTCTGACAGTGGGGTTCCACAGGGCTCTTGATTCTATCCTCTGTGCTGTTCAATATCTGCATGATACCACTGAGTGGGGTTAACCCAAGTTATAGAGTACATTGTCAGCAGTATGATAATGACAAACAGATATATTTCTTTACATTTGCAGGTGGGGCAGTGGGTGTGCTAGACAATTTCCTTGCCTCAATAATTGATGAGATGAGAGCCAACAAACTGAAACTCAATTCAGATAAGACTGAGGCATTGTTAGTGGGTGGTTGCCTAGACCTGAAGGGTGGAAGGTTGCCTGCTCTTGATGAGGTTACTCCCTCTAAAGCAGTGGTGGCCAAACTTGGCCCTCCAGCTGTTTTGAGACTACAATTTCCATCATCCCTGGCCACTGGTCCTGTTAGCTAGGGATGATGGGAGTTGTAGTCCAAAAACAGCTGGAGGGCCAAGTTTGGCCACCACTGCTCTAAAGGAATGGGTATGCAACTTGAGGGTATTCTGGAATCTTTGCTGTCATTTGAGGCTCAGGAGTGCCTTCCATCAGCTTTGACTGGTGGTCCAGCTATGCCACTATCTGGACAGAGACAGCCTAACTACTGTGGTCTATGCTCTGGTAACCTCTAGGTTAGATTAAAGGTTAAGGTAAAGATACCCCTGACTGTTAGGTCCAGTCGCAGACGACTCTGGGATTGCATGCTCATCTCGCTCTATAGGCAGAGGGAGCCGGTGTTTGTCCACAGACAGCTTCTGGACCATGTGGCCAGCATGACTAAGCCGCTTCTGGTGAACCAGAGCAGCGCATGGAAATGCTGTTTACCTTCCTGCCAGAGCAGTACCTATTTATCTACTTGCACTTTGACATGCTTTCGAACTGCTAGGTGGGCAGGAGCTGGGACTGAACAACAGGAGCGCACCCTGTCGCAGGGATTCAAACCGCCGACCCTCTGATCAGCAAGCCCTAGGCTCAGTGGTTTAGACCACAGCGCCACCTGCTTCCCATCTAGGTTAGATTACTGCAGCACATTATATGTAGGACTGCCTCTGAAGACAGTTCTGAAACTTCAGCTAGTGCAGAATTCAGAAGCCAGGTTGCTCACCAGGGAAAGACGCTTTGAGCATATTACACTGATCCTCATCCGACTGCACTGGCTACCAGTTAGTTTCTGGTCCCAATTCAAAGTGCTGGTTTTGACCTATAAAGCCTTAAACTGGTCAGGACGACAATACCTCCAGGGCCACCTCTCTCCATTTGAACCTACCTGGACCCTGAGATAATCTTTTGAGGCCCTTCTTTGTGTGCCTCGTCCTCCTTTGTATGCCCAGAGGCTGGCAACACGAAAATGGGATTTTTTCTCTTTTTTTTGCAGTGGATCCCCATTTGTGGAACGCTCTCCCTAGGGAGGTTTGGCTGGTGCATTCCTTATACACCCTTTGGTGCCAGATGAAAACGTTCTTCTTTAACCAGGCTGATTGACATAAAATTATGAGGGTCGGGGAGGGTGGTGACATGCTGTGGGGATGCTTTTAACCAGCTGGATTGGATACTGAGATCTGGGGTACAGATTTATATCAGCAAACTAAGTGTAATGCTTGGTCTGTTTTGAGTGCATTTATAAGTGGACATAAAGGTGGCATCTAACTCTTCAGTGCTGTAAAGATCCAAGCTTTTTATTGGTGCTGATGTAATTAGCATTAAGTGTAAAAAAAAGCACAAAGCTTCAAGTAATATTCATCTTACATATTGAAATGCTTGTATGTTAATCTTAATACTCTAGATGCTATTGATTCATGATTAGCATATGTACTTTGTGCCAAGCCTAAATCTCCATTGTTTGATGTGAAAATAGTTCATTTTTCTTTAGTTTGTAAATAAAAATAGTTATATTTTAAAATGTTAAAAGTATCTCACATAAATTTATAGTAATCTTTACAACAACTGCAATAGATAGGTCAATAGGATACTAATATATTTTCTGCAGTTGTAAACAGCCAGTACAGTGTGCCCTTTTCTAAGTAGTTTATATGTAGGTTTAATTAAGCAGGTTTCACTTTTCCTCTAGTTAATTTCACTTTCTGCTTCCTGGTTTAAATAAATGTTATGAATGTTAAAAAGTAACTTGCTGAGTTAAATGTGTTATGATTTTGATAAAGGCGCACTTTATACATTAGAAACTGTGAAATCAAATTTAGAAATATCATAACTAGAGCTAGAAATACCATAAATAGACCCTGGAAGGACCTATCAGGAGTGAACATAGACCAAAACATAGGGGAAACTGCCCTACTAGAAAAGCTAAGCAACAAATTCAACTAGCACGGGGACAAGCTTTGGAGGATGCCTTCACCCCAATGTGGTTCCCCTTTATTACAGTAACCTATCCCCTCCAACAGCATACAGTGGTACCTCTGGATGCGAACGGGATCCGTTCCGGAGCCCCATTCGCATCCTGAAGCAAACGTAAGATGCGACTGCATGTCTGCGTGGGTCGCTTTTTGCCGCTTCCGCGCATGCGCGTGACATTATTTTGAGTGTCTGCGCATGCATGAGTGGCAAAACCCGGAAGTAACATGCTCTGTTACTTCTGAGTCGCTGTGGAGCGTAACCCGAAAATATTTAAGCTGAAGCGTATTCATCCCGAGGTATGACTATACAGATCAATATGGGTAATTTGACCCAACAACCTAGCCTGCCTTCGTCACATAAAGAAGCCACACCACAATCAACTAAACACAACCAACCAAGCTCGGGAACTCGTAACCTCTCACAATATCAATAAAAATGAATAAATACACAACTAAAGGACCTACCCATGTGATGCTGACACAACCCCCCCCACACTAAGAATAGGCATTAGAACCAAAGAACAATATCCCCATCTCTCTCCCCCTCCCCTTCCCTGCAACTGTAAGATTATGACAAAAATGTATTTCACCAAACGTAAACAATCAGTGAAAAAGGCTATGAATTGAAAGTGGAGACAACGGATGCACAGTTCCCTCTTTATCTGTTTGCTTTGTAACACAAAAAACTAACAAAAACTACCGGTAATTAAAAAACAACACTGGATTGTTGAAATATTTTGGGGCAATTAACTGGGAAATTTTTCAGTGCAAACTCCATTGTGAGTGGCATTGTATTCGTGAATCCCTTTGTGTTCTACCAGTGGATTGTGCCATTGCCAGCTTTATATGCCACATTCATTCACACGCCTCTGAGGAAGAAATTATAACCAGTGCTTATATCTGGGGGGACATGGGTACACATACCCCTAAACATTTTCTGAATCTAAGTTTGGCCTCATTGAGGGGCAGTATTTCAATGATTAGGAAAATGAGAGTACCCCTAAACATTTTTTTAAAAGAAAAAAGCACTGATTATAACCATACTTGGACAAATGCCTTTGGTGCATCTAGAACTGGTAATAATGACAAGACTAAAGTACAATACTAATGATATGACTCAAAACTTCATTTTGTTGATAAAATCTTTCTTGTTCAAAAACAGTATATAATGATAAAATGAAACAAAAGCCCAAATGATCAGTATTGTAGAAAGTTATGGTTTTACCTAGTGTATAACTTTCTGCACGGATGCGGGTGGCGCTGTGGGTTAAACCACAGAGCCTAGGACTTGCTGATCAGAAGGTTGGCGGTTCGAATCCCCGTGACAGGGTGAGCTCCCGTTGCTCGGTCCCTGCTCCTGCCAACCTAGCAGCTCAAAAGCACGTCCAAGTGCAAGTAGATAAATGGGTACCGCTCCGGCGGGAAGGTAAACGGCGTTTCCGTGTGCTGCTCTGGTTCGCCAGAAGCGGCTTAGTCATGCTGCCCACATGACCCGGAAGCTGTACGCCGGCTCCCTTGGCCAATAAAGCGAGATGAGCGCCTCAACCCCAGAGTCGGTCACAACTGGACCTAATTGTCAGGGAACTGACATCGGTGCGAGAGGCGAAGGGGAGGCTTCTAGATGATGCTGGCGAATGACCCAGCAGCAGGGGGAGAAACAGCTCAGTAGAAGGGGAAGCAAATCAGCGCAACACCAGGGATAAAGGGGGGCAGATGGGGGAATTGGAGAGAGGGCTCCAGGACTCTTCACTGGACCTCAGTGAGGAGGGCACAGGTCCTCCGCTACCCACGCCCTCCCTGCGCAGAAGACTCCTGCGCAGTGAGAGGAGGAGGAGGCTGGGTGTCAAACAACTTTTATGTTGGAAGAGGCTCAAGAAACGCCCACTGACGGATTCTGCCAGCGACTGAGGCAGCCACGATGAGAAAGGGCTGTGCAGTCAGAAAGGTTTAACAAGGCAAATTAGCCTAGAGAGGCACCAGTTTACGCACGAGTAACTCATACTCACTACACTAATGGTCAGGGGTCCCTTTACCTTTACCTTTAACTTTCTGCACACTGTCACTCAGTTCTGGACAACTGAGTACTTGAACTTTAAAAGCCCACTGAAAATGTGTGCTTGAACTTTTATGATTAATATGAATAGGTGGAGGATGGTGCTAGATTCTCTGCAGAGTTGTTGACCTGCCCCTGCTTTCTCTCATTTGTTGCAGTCTGAATGGAATAGATTTTATGCCCTGTCTTTCAACAGGTTTGATGCTTTTGTTAATTACAATAACAAATTAATTAGTAGGTGTTTTGTTGAATAACTAAATTATCTTCTTCACAGTTTTTAAATTCATTGTTAGTTTCGAAAAGGTGATCATCTTTGGAGAGCCTGAAATTATACCCAGGTATCAGTAGGAGATGCTCTGCTGTGTTTCTAGGTTTGTCCCTTGCTAAGAAATATCACCATGGTGAAATTTAAAAAGATGAGCTGCCACCAGTACTGTGGCATTCTTGGTTTTTTGGAATATTTGACAATACTCAAATAATATATTTGATTGTTCAGCTGACTTCTCTGTGGTTTTCAATGCCATTGATCATGTTACTCTTGTGGATAGGTTCTGGGATGGGGATTAGAGTACTGCATTGCAGCTCTTTTAATTTAATCCATGTGTGGTAGTAAGAGTTCTGAAACAGTGCCTGTACACAATAATCAACTGGAGTGAGGGACAATAAATAGAGACTCAGTCCATGCAAGATAGATGTACTGTCGGCAGATGGTTCATCTGCCTTCTTAAGTAATATCTAATATGCTTTGGATGTAGTTGTACTGTCCCTAAAGGAACTGGTTTGTATTTTGTGGGTGATCTTAGATCAAGCACTGTTACCTGAGGCCCAAGTGGACTTTATGGCTCAGAGTATCTTTTGTCTACCCACTGTGACCCCTGTCTGGTTGGAAATTACCTTGCAGTAATGCATTATGCATGAGGCTACCTTTGAGGAAAGCTCCAGAAACTTCAAAATAAGTCAAAATAGGGCAACTATGTTTTTAATACGTAAATATGATTTTTTCATGCCACTGTTTCATCATTTTCACTGCCTTCCAGTCTGTTTCTAGGTACAATTCTAAGTTATGGTGGTTGTTTTTTTATTGTCATGTTTCATACAGAATGGTTATTGATATAAGCATATACAAAATGCAATAAGAAAAGTGTGTGTAACAAATAATAAATAGAAAAAATAAAGAGGGGAGGGGAAAACCAGGAAACAACTGAGAGTGCAATGCCGTATACAACTATTACATATAAGAAGAAAAAGGTCAGTCCATATTGTTCCAAATAAAGCCTTTCCACATAATTATTTGTAGAGCGGGGGGTTTAGTGGGCCATTCAGTTAACATAGAAGAAAAAAACTTATACCATATTGAAAAAAAGTGGTCTATTTTTGAAGAACCAGTACGGACCCTCCATTTGTGTGTCAAATTTTCTGACAGTGCAATGTCCCATACTTTCCCTAGTCTCCTCTCATGAAGGAGGTGAATTGGATTTCCGGTGGGAAGCCACTGTCATTCTGGCTGTGGCAAGAAGCATAAACACAAGAGATTTATGCATGATGGGTGTGTTGGTACCATGCTCCAAATATAGGAACACCAGGCTAGGTCTACGGACAGTACCTGATCGGTGATGGTGGAAATATGTAAAAAAAATCCAGAGAATCTGAGTCCACAGAATTTCTGAACTATATAGCAACCCAACCACATTATGGATAGATGGAGTCGGGTCCAATGCCACTATTTTCAGTGTGGCTTCCTGTATTCTATAGAAATCATTTTAAGTGGGACTTTAGACTACAGTGCTTGCTATACTTGTTGCACTAACCCAGGCAGTTCTAAAGTCCGTCTCGGGGGCCTAATCCTGCCCGCCGGTCGGTTAATCTGGCCCCTGTGGCAGTTTATTTCCTGGGGTAAAATCCTAAAAAACCTCAACAACTCCAATCCTAAAAAAAGGTCAGTTGGCCCCCACGGCCCTTCACTTCATCAAATCTGGCCCTCTTTGAAAAAAGTTTTCACACCACTGCTCTAGCCAAAGACCCAGATCACTCTCCCATAATGACCGTAGCCCCTAAGAAGAGCATGATTCTGTGTTAATTATAATGCAACATATATAGAAAGCCATGCCCTAGTTACTTGAGGTTTCTTTAAGACAAAGTGATTACCGGTCCTTTTTCCTCAGCAAGAATGGAGCAAAGGAGGAGACCTGTGTTAATTGGAGCTAGTTGGGCAGGGTATCTTTTAGTTTTTCCTTTAATGAAGTTGCTGAAATAGGATGACCATTTAGGCATAATATCTTTGATGCTACAGTTGCAATCGAAATTATTCAACCCCCATTGCAAATCAGGTTTATTATCAAAATTTACAGACTTTCACTTGTTTTCAGTGAGCAAATCAAACAAAAGCAATTGAAAAAGCTCAACATAACGGATGCTTCAAGTGATTTTCCCAAATCTGGTTGAAATTGCAACTTATACTGGCTTTTCCAGTCTCACTATTATTCAGCCCCTCCATGGCAAGCATATTTAGTGCTTAGTAGTGCAGCCTTTTGCTGTTATGACCTGCTGCAAACAAGATGCATAGCCAGAAAGCGGCTTCTAGCAGTGTTCCTGAGGAATCTTAGCCCATTTCTCATGAGCAATAGCCTCCAGTTCAGTAATATTCTGGGTTTGCGTGCTGCAACCGCCTTCGTCAAATCCCTCCAAAGATTTTCTATGATGTTTAAGTCAGAACCTCCCAGGACTTTTTCTGCAATCAAGGCTTGGTGGAATTGGAGGTGTGCTTGGGATCATTGTCCTGTTGGAAGTTCCAATGATGCCCAAGCTTCAGCTTCCTCACAGACGGCATTATGTTTCCTCCTAGGATTTCCTGATACTTCAATGAATCCATCCTGCCTTCCACACACTGCAAGTTTCCAGTGCCAGTGGATGCAAAGCAGCCCTAGAGCATTACTGAGCCACCAACATGCTTCACTGTAGGCAGAGTGTTCTTTTCAACCTATGCTTCATTCTTCTTCCTCCAGACATAGCGCTGACCGTTGGGACTAAAAAGCTCCAATTTTGTTTCATCGCTTCACAGAATCATAGAATCTTAGAGTTGGAAGGGACCCAAGGGTCATCTAGTCCAACCCCCTGCAATGCAGGAATCTCAGCTAAAGTATCCATGACAGATGACTGTCCAACCGCTGTTTAAAAACCTCCAAAGAACTAGAGTCCACCACCTCTCGTGGGAGTCTGTCCCACTGTTGAACAGAATCCCAAAACTTCTGTGGCTTACTTATATGATTTTGGACATACTGGAGCTGACTTATTGTGCGTTTGGGTCAGTAGTGGTGTACGTCTTGGAGTTCTGGCATGGAAACCTTCTGTGTTTGGTACATGCCTTACTGTGCTCAGTGAAACCTCAGTGCCAGCTGCCAACAAATCTTACTGCAGCTCTTCTATAGTCACTCGATAATTTTTCCCATCCCGCCTTCTCAGAAATCTGGTTGCTGCTGCAGATAGCTTCCTTTTTCTGCCCCATCCAGGTAGTGTAACCACCCTTCCTTTAACTTTGAACTTTGACACTCAGCAAACTTTGACATGCACCTCATAGGGTTGGCATATGTCTTCTTTTTTCTGTGACATGTCCTCTTTTTCATAGGTATGTAAAATAAGAGTTGTCATAGTGATCCATAGTTAAAAGTAAAGGTAAGGTAAAGGGACCCCTGACCATTAGGTCCAGTTGTGACCGACTCTGGGGTTGCGGCGCTCATCTTGCTTTATTGGCCGAGGGAGCTGGCGTACAGCTTCCAGGTCATGTAGCCAGCATGACTAAGCCGCTTCTGGCGTACCAGAGCAGTGCATGGAAATGCCATTTACCTTCCCGCCGGAGCGGTACCTATTTATCTACTTAAATAGAGCCAGTGTGGTGTTGGAGAGCCAATGTGGTGTAGTGGTTAAGAGCCATAGACTTGTAATCTGGGGAACTGGGTTCATGTCTCCACTCCTCCACATGCAGCTGCTGGGTGACCTTGGGCCAGTCACACTTCTCTGAAGTCTCTCAGCCTCACTCACCTCACAGAGTGTTTGTTGTGAGGGAGGAAGGGAAAGGAGATTGTTAGCCGCTTTGAGACTCCTTCGGGTAGTGATAAAGCGGGATATCAAATCCAAACTCTTCTTCTTCTTATCTACTTGCACTTTGACGTGCTTTCGAACTGCTAGGTTGGTGCTTGTCTCTTGGTTTCTTGTTCTCTGTGTGCCTGTTCAATGTCAGTGAGAGCAAGGCAGGGGTCTATCTTCAAATTGTCAAACCAACTTAAAATAAAAGCAATCATACCTCCCCCTCTCCTCATTTTTCGGAATCCCACATAGTTTAATCCCCCCCCCCCCTTATCTCTATCCAATTGAGCTGCAAACTTTAAATCTAAATCTTCAATTGCAATTTTATGTGCTTGCAGCTTGTTGGGGGTGCTTAATCTGGTTAAGATTACCAGGTAACATTGCAATCTTGTTTTCAAGAGAATGCAGAGCAGCTGCCCAGTCTAAATCCTGTCTTTATGAATAAACACTTCTGAGTCTTTTTCACAGCTCTGAGTAATTGGTAGCTTCCTGCCATTCAAGCTTTAATTTCCTTTTCAGGCCACACAAGCCCTGCAGCATTACCTTTCAGGAGGTGTACTTAGAAAAGTGAGGAATAGTGATTTTGCAGTCCTTCAGAGTGATTTCACTCCCAAGGGTGCTGAAGGCTTGAAATCAACCCATCATTTGACTCTGCAGCAAGCCATGCCCCAAGTGATGGTTTAAAGCCCAAAATGACTTGGGGCTAGGTTACTTGAAGAATTGATATATTCTCCCAGACCTTGAGATCTTCATCACAGGCCCTTTTCCAAGTTTCTCTACCATGTAAAATGGGATGAATAGCCACGGGGCAGGGGTGGATGTTTGTGGCGGTACCCTGTTTATCAAATGCCTTTCTCCAAAAAGTTTGTCTGACACCTACATTATGAATCTGTACAGGTAGGTACATCCATTGTTACTGGCAACGGGAAATACATGTACCTAGTAATACATGTACCTAGTATTGAGATTCACCAAAGAGGGAATATTTTGTTTTGCTGTCCGTTATTCAGTGTTCATAGGCACACAAGTAAGTTAGAACAAGGAGGTTGTTAACTCTGTTTATCTACACTACTATAAAAGCTCCAGCGATGCTGTTCATGAAAGCGGTAACTTTTTCAGTTTCTCACTGTTGATAAGAATTAGCATATAGGGATCCTCTTTGTTGCCTTTGCTGTCTTCAGATGGAAACCTCAGTGGTTGTGATGGTGGGCACAGTAAGGACATTACAGTTCCGTCCCACCCCAGTTCACCAGGAGTCACAAGTCTGCATCTTGTCCACACTCAGGACACATGCGCACCAGCTTGGATAAGGAGGTTGCCTGCTCACTATTCTATATATTCTATATTCAGCAATAAAATTCACACAACAATTAAGGGAGTTTCACATAAAATTTAATACATGCTTAAGAGAAAAGGAGCTGGGCTCTCTAAAGAGAATTTTCTTTAAAGAGAATAGGATCCTTCCAACTTCTCCATCTCTTTTTACCAGTATTAGAAATTCCCCAGGTGCCAGGTGTGTTTTGCAACTGGTGTGGATCCAACTGCGACTACGTGGGGATTTCTGGGTGCTTGGTTGGCGACTGACATCTGACTGGCTGTTCCAACTTTCTTAAACAGGTACACAGAGGAACATATTTATTGCATTTATATCCCACCTTTTTCTCCAAGGAGCACATACCGTATTTTTCGCCCTATAGGACACACTTTTCCCCCTCCAAAAATGAAGGGGAAATGTGTGTGCGTCCTATGGGGCGAATGCAGGCTTCAGGAAGCTATCCGCAAGCCTTGGGAGCCTGGCGCGACTTCCCGCCGGGCTCCCAAGGCTTGCGGACAGCAGCCTGCAGCCCAAAACCCGGGGACTGCAGCGGAGTGCACTTCGGGCAGCTCTCCGCAAGCCCTGGGAGCCCAGCGTGACTTCCCGCCGGGCTCCCAAGGCTTGCGGATAGCAGCCTGCAGCCCGAAACCCGGGGAGCGCAGTGGAGCGCGCCCCGGGCTTCGGGCAGATATCCGCAAGCCTGGAGAGACCACGGGAGTTCCCGCCAGGCTCCCAAGGCTTGCAGATAGCAGCCTGTTCTGGGGGCTGGGGTCGGGGGAAGCTTGGGCTTCCCCTGCCCCAGCCCTGTGCCTGGGGGAAAAATAACTTTCCCCCCTTTATTCCCCCCCCAAAAAAACTAGGTGCGCCCTATGGGCCGGTGCGCCCTATAGGGCGAAAAATACGGTAGTTTACTCCCCTCCTCATTTAATCCCCACAAAGAACCTGTGAGGTAGGTTAAGAGGCTGTAATTGGCCCAAGTAAGCTTCATGATTTAGTGGGGATTTGAACCTTCATCTCCCAGGTCCTAGTCTGACACTCTAACCACTATACCACACTGGCTTCCTAGAGTACTTCTGCTATGGGGCAGCTATATAAATTAAGTAGGTAAATAAATATGGAGAAAGCAAATGTCTCTTTGAGAAGGCTCTGAAATATTTTCCTTGAAGCTTGAATTTGTTTTAATTTGGATTGTTTTATTTGATGTTTTAATGTATTGTAATCCACTTGGAGATTTTTTTTCTTTAAAATATAAAGTGGTATAGAACTGAAATGAATAATGATGATGATTATAGGAATAATAAATCCTACCACTTAAAAAAAAAGGCACCTAGACATTCTGTTTTGGTGACTGTAACCTAGGTTTAAGGTGCCATTTGGTGATTAGCTTATATATCTCAATTTCTAACACTTGCCTATTACCACGGATGCCTCACTACTTGCTGTGTCTCTGTTACCACTTGTGCACACATGAGTTTCTGTTGGGGGTGTGTGCGTGCGCATGAAGGAACACCAATTAACCAATAGGCATTGACAATGTCATGAACACGGGGATGACTGATGGAATAAAGGGTCTAGGTAAAACAAAAGACGTCCTTTGTGAGGCATGTAGGCGAGCAATTAATTGCCCAAGGCAAGTTTTTTTAATCATTTATTTCCATCCAACCATTCTAGATTGGCAAACCTTACAATACAAACTTCTCAAGTTGACTCACAGTATCACATAAATCAACTAATATTTAATAATAATAAGCAGAAACACTGCAGCAATTAAAAGCCTTAGTTAACCTATCAAAAGTTATTAAAAGTCTGAGAAGCCGAAACGGTTTGTACTTGATGCCTAAAAGCTGTTTGATTCAGCATCAGGTAAGCAGATAAGACAAGGGAGTTCTGCAGATGTAATTGGTTCATGCCCTGTTCTTCATTAACCAATTACATCATCCCACTAGGTTTGTATGAGGAAATACAGAATTGTACTTGAGCAAGCTGTAATGCTCTGTGGTAGATGTTGTATGATTTATAATTGTAATTTTATTGGTTTAATTGTATTTTTTCACATCGTATTTTCTTGTATTACAATGCACATTCCATAATATTTAAATTACAATACAATAAAATACCATGTAAGAAATAAAAAGCAACTAAAATACAATTAAGAATCAATACGAATATTTAACAAGGGTCATCTGAATGAGTGTTCATGATCCACAGTTTAGGAACTTGCTTCTTATAATCTGTTTGCCTGATGACATTGCAACATTTTGGAAGATTTTAGTTGTCACACTTTATTAGAACTGAAATATGCAGTTCAAATTCTCAGGTTCCAGCATAAAAAAAATATAAGTATATTGATGATCTGATGCCTGGAATATTTACATCACTGATAACATTAGCCTACCATACAGCTGGACATGGACAAGTGTTGGTTGATATCAGAATAAATATTACTATTTTTAGCAGGGTGTATTCATAGTGTTGTGGGACGCGGGTGGCGCTGTGGGTTAAACCCCAGAGCCTAGGACTTGCCACTCAGAAGGTCGGCGGTTTGAATCCCCAAGACAGGGTAAGCTCCTGTTGCTGGGTCCCTTCTCCTGCCAACCTAGCAGTTCGAAAGCACATCAAAGGGCAAGTAGATAAATAGGTACTGCTCCGGCGGGAAGGTAAACGGCGTTTCCATGCGCTGCTCTGGTTCACCAGAAGCGGCTTAGTCATGCTGGCCCCATGACCCGGAAGCTGTATGCCTGCTCCCTTGGCCAATAAAGCAAGATGAGTGCCGCAACCCCAGAGTTGGTCACGACTGGACCTAATGGTCAGGGGTCCCTTTACCTTTACCATACAGCTAGATGTACTGGTAATATTCATACAGCATATTCTTGTCTCAAATAAAGTGCAAATAAAACAAATAAAATACAATCACACCTTACACAGGGGTTTGGTTCCACATATGCACGAAAATCACACATACTCAAACCCTTGGAGCCATGCTGTAGCTAGTGGGGGGAGAGAATCCTCAGTACTCCTATAGCTGCGCACAAAGCTCTTTTTAAAAGCTCTTTTTGTGCCTGGTATCCAAAGCATGATAAAAGGCACGCTGGCTCTGGAAGGCCAGGGATACTTGTGTGAGATCTCACAGGAGTGCTGATGGCCCCACAAGATCTCATGAGAGCCTTCCAGAGTAGGTGCTGAGAGCCTTGCCCTCAAGCAAGGTGGAGAACTTAAAAGCTCTTTCCATGCTGGGCAACCACAAGTCAACCAGGTAAAAAAATGAGCTTTTAAGCTCTCCAGCCTGCTTGGATTTAACTTGTGCAATTTCAACAAACCTGCCTTCAACGGCATATGGTTGAAATCAGTCAAGTGAAATGCACATAAGATGTGATCATACTGTATAACAATGTTAATCATTTTTGTAACTTTACAGAGATTTTTAAATGTTGGCACGATCAACATTTAGGCAATAGTTCTTAACAGTATGCAATTATTCACCCTATCAGAAGTCATGTGAGGCTACCACCCTTGCTGAAGCTAAGCAGGTCTGGGTCTGGTGACTTCCAGGGAAATCCTGTATTTTCCCATCTATAGGACGCCCCCATGTATTTTTGGGGACTCAGATTTAAGAAAATGGGGCGAGATGACCCAATGTATAAGACGCCCCCTATTTTTTGACATTTTAAAGGGGGAAAACCTAGTCTTATACACGGGAAAATATGGTGCATGTAGGCTGACTAAAGAAAGATGAGGTGTAAATGAAATGAAGCAAATAAACAAGTTTAAGGAATGCAACATTCAGTTTCAGCACTTATTCAAAATAATGACACTAGCAGCAGAAACCATATGCTCTAATTCAGCTAATTAGGCAAGCTATTTCTTTAGTACATTAAACATTTGGATGCCTTTAAAATTTTGTTTTGATAAGCTTTATGAAAGTTAACATTAAGGTGTGCCTTACATTTCTAAAAAACAAAAACAAAAACACCAAACAGTAATGAGTTGTTATTGGCATTCTTAGCAGTATTACTCACCTTCATTGTAAACATTGTGAACCATTTTCTTCAAGCTAATTCCAACAGAACTCCTCTCTTGACTTCCGGGGGAGGCGCCTCCAGCAATGGCAGAATTCCTCTGACCGGGAGGAATTTGCTCCCTGGAAATCTGGGTCTGGCCGCCACGGCGAAGGCGGAGACCCGTTAAAATCACAGGCGGAAGAAGCCTGTGAACGTGGGATTCGGCGGGCACCTTTTGCACCTCCCCCACTCGCGGGGAACCCCGATTTTGGGGCTCTGGAGTGACGTGGGGTGAGCGGCGCGGTGCATCGAATCATCTGCTTCTTCCACGGAGTGAAGCCGCATAGCTGTTGCCGGAGAGCGCTGACCTTTTCCTGTGGACAATTTGAATTTAAAGGAATTACCCGTGAGTAGAGCTGAAATGGAAGAATTGGATCTCTAAAAGTTTAATTTGGTATCGTAACGGGGAGGTTCAAAACAGGAAGTCCGCCTTCCCTTTTTGTAAATAGACTGAGGCAATGAAGTTGCAAGCTGGAGTCCTGGAAGGTCTTTTGTAAAAGATCAAATTTCCAACTGTAAAAAACATTAAACCCCCTCTTGGAGGCAGGAGAAGAGAGGGGGAAGTTGCGGATTGAGTATGCCTGCGGGAGAGAGCGAAGAGGTTTAAAACACCGCCGCTCTGACCCTGGAAACAGGCTGCTAGTAAGACTGACGTGTTTGTTTGTTTTTTTGGAATGTTTATTGACAGCGTTTAGAACGTTCATTGACAGCTACTTAAATAAGAGAAATACATTGTTTCTACTGTTTCTGGTTGTTTTTAAAAAAGGAGGAAAGTAACTGAAAATTGAAACTAACTTCGGATTATTGAAACTGTGTTTAAAAGAGGACATATTGACCGATACAAATACAATCTGTTTTCCCCTAGTGGAAGCTTTTGAAATTGGTTACTTTATAGGAGCTGGGCTAGGGGAATTTCCAGCTGCAAGATAAAAAAAGTGTGAGACTTTGGAATTGACCTTGAATCTCTTAAGTGTTGTGGCAAATGGAAAGGAAAAAACAGATGGGATGTTGACAGAGGAGGCCTTAGTGGCTGCATTATTGAAAATAAACGATTCGCTGGAACAACTCCATAAGAAAACAGATGCGATAAATGTGAAATTGGATGTTGCAAATATTGAAACTGATTTAATTGTAGAAAGTTTAAATAATTTGGGACAAAAGGTGAATACCAATTCAGAAACCACCCTGAAACTGATACAGGAATCTACTCTGAAACGGCAAACTGCAGATGAAGCTGAATCTGAATCTAAAGTAATACAACTGGATAGGAGAGTCCCATCCATACAAAGACAACTTGATGAACATAAGCTGACATTCGTTATGATTGAACTTAAAGAAGAACGCATGAATTTGAGGACCAGAGCCCTATCTGAATTGGAAAAGGAAAGCCTGACAGAGTTTCAGGAGGCGACAGGACTAACATTGGTTGAGAAAGAGAGGTATTTGGGGGTTAGTATGACTGCCAAAAATGTGAATCTACTCAAGGACAACTGTGAAGGATGTTGGACCGAAGAGAAGGGGGATTTGGAAATATGGACAAATCAGAAGTTGTTACTGTTGGGCAGAGTTATAGTGGTGGGGATGAGGGCTGCTGTGTTGCTGGGGATGTTGCTTTTGTTTCAAACATTGCAAGCTCTGGATGGGATGGAGGGTCTCAGGAGGTGGCAGAGGTATGCTCCTAAAGTTGTTTGGCAGGGCAGGAAGCCTCGAGTCAAACTTAAGATATTCATGGATGCTAAAGAAGGAGGTGGACCTGCCCTGCCAGACCTTTAAACTTCGTTGTGAACCATCTGCTTTTTGCTGGTTGAGAGAATGGTTGCTTCTTGAAAACACTGAAATATTGGACAATGGCAGATGAAGTTGATGGACTATAGGGAATTGGCGGAAATGACTGGCAAGATCCGAGACCAGGGTGAAGAGTTGGTGGAAGAAGATTGGAAAAAGTTTAAAGACTATTTATAGAAATATTGTAAAATTAAGGAATGTTAGAAAAATGTTGGAATGCAATTACATGGCTTTAGTAGAATATAAGGAATTAAGTATAAATAGATTAATAGAAAATTAAAGGAAAAGTATGGTAAGAATGTGTTAAGATAATTATAGAACAGAAAACAGAATAAGATGGAAAGGAATTGCTGAAACAAATAATAGAAGTGGAATACAAAAAGGGAGGTGGGAGGAAGTCGCTGGAAATAAGTGAATGAAATATAAGATATTGAATGAAATTTGATTTATTTTATTGTTGTTGCATTGTTTTGTTAGTTTAATGTATTGTATTGTATTGTATTGTATTGTATGTGTTTTTTCTTTTCTTTTAGTGTTTAAATTTTTTGGAAAAGTAATAAATATTATTTAAAAAAAAACAGAACTCCTCTCTTGCACAGTTCTTGGCTCTGATAGTAGGGATTATGCTAGTCTGTTCATTTAATATAATGCAATATGTGTTAATCATTTCAAAAAATAAGTTTCTTTTTTCTAAACTAAAAAGCCCTTTAAAGTAAGGTTACCAGACATCCCCGTTTCCCGGGGACAGTCTCCAGATTTACAAATCAGTCCCCTGACAAAATCCTATCATTCCTATTGAAGTTGAAAAGTACCCCCAGATTCATTGAAAAAAATCTGGTAACCTTAGGGAAGGCACTTCAAATCATCGACCATGTTGCTTGCTGTTTTCTGTACCATTTTTGGATATGGGCCATTCTGAACTGTACACAATATTCCAAATGCAACTAACTTTGCTGTAGATTTAGATAGTTACGATATTGACTGTCTTAATTTTCAATCCCTTTCTTAATCATCCCTTAATCATCCCATTTACTTCTATCACTGCCAGTGCATTCTGAGTTGATGTTTTCATTGAGTTATCCACTGTGATCTCTTTCCAGAGAACTCATATGCTTCATAGAATTACTTCAGTAATGCTCTGTGATTTAGGCAAGTATTCTTCCCATATTCTGTATTTGAAAACCATACTGCGATCATAGTGGTCTAGCTAAGGCCATCTAGTGAGTTTATGGCTGATGAGATTTGAATCAGGGACTTCTTGACTCACCCTGCTAGCTACTCTATATTATACCAGCTGATCATATAATAACCTTGACAGTGCTGCTGCTTAAACATTTCCTCTTGTCTATTGCTGTGGACTTTGTCAAATGGTTGGGATTATAGCATGGGAATCCATCGTGAAATGTGCAGTGATTTACATTTTTCTACTCCTAAGAGCTAGCATTTACTTTTTTCATTAGTTTCAATTATCCCTCACACTTTGGAGTTGCACAAAGGAAGATAAATCTAATATAGGAGTATAACAGTGTATAACAGATATTCTAAATGGATAGAAATATGCAATTTCTGAACAGGAGAGGGGGCTTGATCAAAGGTGATTTGGTACTGATAGTACAACCACAACTATTTCAACAGAAAACACTATGGATTAAGAGGCAATTGAACATTTTTGTGCAAGTTATGCAGGTTCAGTATGAATCAGAATAAGTATCAGTTTGTGGAAACAAGAATAAGTATCAACATGCTCTAAAGCAGTCTTCCCCGACCTTATGCCCCTCAGATGTTTTGGAGTATAACTATGGGAAAGCTGGCTGGAGCTTATAACCTAAAACAGCTGAAGGGCCCCACTATGGGGGAAGCCTGGCCTAAGACATCTTTTTCAGCATTCCCTGCCTAAGGAGCTATTCAACAGCTTGACTCCACCTGCTGTACTGTGTGAACCTTACAAGAACTGTATTCTGAAATTTTGAATCTTCTGATGTGAGTTTCCAGCTTCGCTTCTTTTTCCTTGTGTAACAATACGTTGTGTGCCAACAGTAAAGCTGTAGGAAGAACTATGATTCCTTCAGACCAAGTAGTCCATGAACCACAGGTCTAAAAACTGGGCGGTCATTACCACCTGGAATACTTAAATAGGCTAGCTTTTTTTTAAAAAAAAGAAAAAGCCCACAACCATAGTTGATTATTAGCCATGGTAATATTGGTAACTAGTAGTTTTCATTAAGAAAGCTCCGTAACAGCTAATGATTTTACTAGGGTCAAAGGCTATCAAAAATAGTACCCAATCTTTAAATGAGGTCATTGATACTTTGTTGATGGATTATAGTATCAACACCATTTAAAGACTAGCATTTTTGGAAAGAGGAGCGCTGACAGATGAAGGGTGGAAAGTATTGTTTTAGATCAGGATTTCACTACAATGGTTGATAAGTGTCAGTAGGCCAAACATGGAAAATTTGGGTGGATAATATACAGATGAACTTTGGCTTTTGAACAACTTTAACCATAATGAAAACCCAAAAGACAATGGGTGGTATTCAGTGCTAGTTCTACAGATAGTAAACTAATTGAAGATAGTGGACATGACCAAGTTAGGTTCATCAATTTCAGCGGGGCTACCCTGAGTAGGAGTAGCACTGGCTTCAACCAGGTTTTGCATAGTCCTGAATATTTTTCAGTGTTGCTCCCCAAAATAATTTCAACACATTACTGGATCTTCTCTGTTCAAATTGAGTTCTCATGGGTTCTAACTGGGCAAAAAGTATTAAACTTCTATCTAGTCTATGGACTCTTCTGTTCCCTTGACTCTACATGTAACTGGCAAAATCAAGACAACCTTTTAAGCCATAATGATGAAGGAGCAGAGAGTCTAAGCCAGACATGTCCAACATGTCAATCGTGATCGACCAGTCGATTGTGGGATGGATTTTGGTTGATCAGACAACCAAGGCTTCGTCGCCTCCGCCCCCAGGCTCTCCCATGGCCTCCGGGTGCCCTCAGCGTGTGCTCGGCCTTGGCCGGAGCAACTCCTCAGCCGGCATGGCCAGTCAAGCCGGGCTTGATCACTGCCGCTGCAACAAGCTCTCTGGCTGGCACTGGTGCCGCCACCACCTCCTTGCAGTCCCCTCAATTCCCTCTTCCCTGCTCCAGGCACAGCTGATCCTCCACGCTGGCGGGCAGGTGCTGCAGCGGTGCAGCTTTCTTCTCTGCTCCGCTGCTTCCTCCGCGCCCCACTCAGGCCACCGGCTTTGCCTGACATCCAGCCAGCTGGCCAGCCCCAGAAAGGCATGAGGCACTGCCTCCGCCCCTGGCACGCTGCAGCCCTGGGGCAGGGAGGCGGGGGGCAATGACGAAGTGCGCAGGCTTCGTATGGGCTGCAGTGCTGCGGAGGGAACCACAGGAAGGGCAGGGTGTGGAGAGAGAATATGACACCCCTCCTTCCTCTCCCCCCTCCTGCTGGTTCCTGTGAAAAAAAATGCCGGGTCCCTCACCCCTCCGCTCTCTCCCCTAGTTCTTTGTGGACGCTAAACTTTGTCCACCTTTCAAGCTCCAGTCTAGCTACGTATCCTTGAAAGTAAGCCACCTCCCCACAGAGCCAGGGGGACCTGGGAGGGGGCTGGTGTTGGGGTAATAATTTATTATTATTTTTATCATAAGCTCAGCCAAATATAATATGTCTAAGTTGAAGAATGATAATCGGAGAGTGTGGTAGATCACTGCCAGTTTTTGACACTGGATAGTAGATCATAGCCTACTTGAAGTTGGGCATGCCTGGAAGCATATCAATGTACATTTTGTTATAACAACCCTGTAAGATATGTATTATCTATCAATTGTAGCTGGGAGGACTGAAAACCTGAGAAGCTTGTTTATTTTCGTCTAATAAGTTCATGCCAGAGAGGTGGCCCTCTCTTACCTACCATTGTTAATCAGAAATGTATACTTTTCTTTCTTTATTTCATAAAAGTTATAACCACAAGATTGTAAAAAAACTTCAAAGCAGTTTCCAAAAAAGATATAACAATGCAATTGTCAATAATTAAAATCAATAAACTAAAAGCATTCAAAAATTGAAATAAACAATAAACTAAGAAGAGATTAAAACTTACACCAAAACTCTAAACTGTGGGTAGGCAACCTAAGGCCCGGGGGCCAGATGCGGCCCAATCTCCTTCTCAATCCAGCCTGTGGATGGTCCAGGAATCAGCGTGTTTTTACATGAGTAGAATGTGTGCTTTTATTTTAAATGCATCTCTGGGTTATTTGTGGGGCATAGGAATTTGTTCATTTTTTTTTTCCAAAATACAGTGCAGCCCACCACATGGTCTGAGGGACGAAAAAGGTTGCTAACCCCTGCTCTAAACATCTGGATAGGCCTGTCTAAAAATTTGTGGTTTAACGTTGTAACATAACACATTTTATATGACATAATGTTATAGTTGCAACAATAAATTTCTTTTATTTAATATATTTTATCCCACTTCTCAGCCAAAAATTGGTTTCCAAAGCAACTCTTAGGAATTAACATTTGCAGTGTGAGAGCAACAAAAGTCCTTTCTTCAGCTAACTTTTGAGGATTTGCAGGATCTTCTGTCTTGCCAAATTTATCCAACACTGTGTTCAGTATTGCATTTCTTTGTTTTTCAAATACATCCTTTCTATAAGAAATAAACTATTCCAAGCTATATGCCTGATGTAGATTTGGTGGCCACAGTATCTTATCACCAGTGCTTATCACCAGTGCACATATTCTCTCCCCTTTCCCACGAGCTGCTGAACTTCAGCGAAATGTGGATGAAAATAGGCCTTAAAGTTATATTTATGTCTATAGTATGAAATCTGCTCTACACAAATATTGCACAAATCATGCACATTGAATGCATGAATTTATACAAATTATTATTTTTGAAACTTAGAGGCTTGGGTTAATAACATCTGGAGCATTGCTCTATCAGAATCCTCCCATACCATCAGCCACTAATCAAAGGCATCTCCCAAAAAGATACCTTTGACACAATTTGGTCTCCCCTTTTCTCTTTTATTGAAGAACAGTGGAATATTTTAATGTCATCATCATTGCAGAGGTGTCTGTGGAGGGGATATATTGATTGAAAAGCGGGGGGGGGGGGGCCCACTAGATGGAATACCATGTTTAATTAATCCTTGTTAATAGCTGTCAGTTGGCAAGCAGCCACATCATCTATCCATCTTAAGTGCAAAGGTTTTAGAAATTGTGCTAGAAACCTGTTAAGTATTATATTTCAAAAATTGGTGGATTGTAAAGTGATTCAGCATAGGCAAGAATATTGTTTAGATCTCTTGGTAGTTTTACATGAATGCTTAGCATGAAACTGTTTTTTTAAACATTGGTTTCTAGTAGCAAGACTTCAGGTTTAATCATTGAATTGGTTAGAGATGACAGGTGGAAAATTGTCCTTTAAAATGTTTTATTAGTATTAAACAATACATATATTATCAGATAAAGTAACCTGATAGACACTGAATATTTGTTGTTCATCGAAGTTGCATTGTACATGGGGACAGGTGTCTGAAAGCTAGTGCAAGCAGTCTGAAAGCTTGTAAAACGATAGATAAAGGCGGACTGCATTCTTCTGAAATCACAGCCAATTATAATAGTCAAATAATTCCATTACAATAGCATCTTAAAATGTTCTCTAACTGCACTATAGTGATAAAATGTCACAGTCCTATGCTTTACAGCCATTTTTATTCCTGAGTTAAGATACCATTGAAATAGCCTCATCTTATTTTCTTTCATCATTTCTTCAGAATTCAGCAACAAAAATAGTAGAGAGTAAAATGCTGACATGACTATGAACACTGAAATTTTAATTCAAATTCGGTTGGGATCCTTGAAAAATCATCCCCTAAACATATGAGTAAAAGCATGGGAAAATGCCTCATGATACACTAGTCTCTAAAGTGAAAACAGGGCCAACTCATGCAGCTCTTCTGGATTTTAATAGTAGTAGCAGTATGGTTGAAGTACAGTAGTACAGTCGTACCTCGGAAGTCAAACTCCTTGCAAGTTGAGCATTTTGGCTCCTGAACGCCGCAAACCTGGACGTGAGTGCTCCGGTTTGCAAACGTAATTTATAACCTGAACGTCTGGTGTGGGTTCCGCAGCTTCCGATTGGCTGCAGAATCTTCCTGCAGTTAATTTGAAGCCACGCCTTGGTTTCCAAAAATTTTTGGAAGTCAAACGTACTTCCAGAAAGGATTCCGTTCAAATTCCAAGGTACGACTGTATACTACTACCACCAAAGTAGTGAATGAAATGCTGAATCAAAACTGAGGGCATGTTAAAGAGAGAATGTGTCATATGATTCTTTTCTTAAGAGGCAGATAAAATGGATTTTTGTTTGACAGGTAAACAAAACCATTTTGCACATCATGGTGTGAATGAGAGAGATTCAAAGATATGCATGACTTTCCTGCACATGTATCCAGCAGCTGTAATATAGGCTTCAAGCTATGACTCCTCTTTATATATAAGGGTTGTGCAGTGAAAGATCAAGCTTGCATTAACAGTTCTAATAAAAATGTTGCGATGAATTTTGCTTTAAAATAAGGAAGTCTCATTTAAATGCTTGTGCATAGTGCAAGTGCAGGAGCTCTTTCAAGTGGCAATGTATTCACTGTAAAAAATGCAAAATATTTTAAGCTATTTGCTCATAGCTATTGAGATTCTAGTTTGCTGAAGACAGATTTTTTTTCTGCAGGAAATGTGTTTTTTGTCTAAAACCGCTAAATGAAAAGATTAGGGTTGGTTGATTGAGGATTTTATTTAATTGAACCAAGATGTAGCCTTTGCAGTTTTGAAAATAGGAAACTAATCTTAAGCAGTTCGTTTTAGTGGGGCTCTCTAGAATGTATTTCCTCCAGCAGCTGTTAACAGTGCTATTCATAGATCACTGTTGGCATTAATCAGTTGTACTGCTGCCATTGCCATAAATCTGTATTTCCAAGCTGCATAAGATTTTGTTACACACTGCACTGGATTTAAATTTAAAGGGGCAAAAAATGTATTGATCTGGTAATCATATCCTTAAACCATTTCTTAGAAAATAGTTCACAAATTTGAAGGACTTGGTCTCATGGTGGGTTTTTTTATTACATGAGCAGTTCCTGTTCACTTTGAAGTGCTTGATGTTCAAATTCCAGGTAATTCGCTAATTTTTCCATTTCTTCAAAGCCTTTGCAAATATTTAAAATATCCATATCTAACAATATAGTTGCAGACTCCTTCAAAGAGCTTTCATCCCTTTGAATTATAATTGTGTACTGGTCACACAGTTTATATGTTATTTGATTAATAACATGATTGCTTGCATAATGCTGGATACCAGCCTTCTGCAGAAAGTCTTCCATGGTCATGTTTGCTTCTTCCTCAAATTTCAAATCTATGTTAAGAAAGTCTGCCAGATGTGTAATTATCTCTCTCTCCCCAACTAGTTCAGTATATGCAGAACTGGCTGCTGCACATGTATATGTACTATCTGTTTCAATCAAATCACGTTGCTGGTCATTTTGATTGTTAGGCTCAAATTGTGTTTGCTTCTTTTCTTCATAGACAGTAGGTTTAGCACTCTGAATATTTTCTGGTTTGTTCTGGTTTGCAACATTATCTCTATCCATCTGCTCCTGAGATTCTAGTATAAGATGCCACTGTTGATTTCTTTGACTAAGCCATAATTGAGCCATTGCTAGGTCATCTGAAGTAGTATCGTAATAATGTTCTCTGTGAGTGACTATCTCCAAACATTTAGCACCAACCTCCAGCAGTTTAGCTTTACTATCTTCTGTTACCCAATACTTCTGTTGAAGTTGGACTTTTGGGATTGAGGAGAATTCTTGTGTTGCTTCCATGTTCCTGTTGAGGAAAAGGTGTACATTAAGGCAACAGCTTGATTTATACAAATTCTGATTACTATATAAAACAGCCAATAAAAGGGCTGGGAGGAGAATCATTTTAATTCATAGAATTGTAGAGTTGGAAGGGACCCTGAGGGTCATCTAGTCCAACCCTCTGGCATTCATTCTTTATTCATTGGATTTATGTCCTATTTTTCAGCTAGAGTCCTCAAAGCAGCTAACAACTTTTGTAAAACACACCAAGAAGCACCAAGAAGCTCAAAAACACAACACAAACAGCCTCACTGTTCTTCTAAACAGGGCAGCTACTCTTAAGTTGGCCCTATAAGTGGGTGGGGATGGCATAGTTTGAGTAGGCCCTGAGGTTGTCTTTGTCTCCCTCCCTCTTTTCTACTTGCTGTGGTGGTGTAATTTGCTCTTCACTTATTTGACTGGGGGGGGAGCTTTAAACACTTCCTTTATCACTCTTCTCCTTTTAGCCAGCCACATATGATTTTCCAATCCCTAGGGATGGGGAGAAATTCAAATTCAGTTCACTTTTAAAGGTGTATCTATCAAATTTGCACCTTTTGAAACAATACGTGAACTGAAATACAGCTGTCCTTTGAAATTCACACTTTTCCAAATTTTGCAATACAATTCTTCATAAGAATGTAAGAAGAGTTTGCTGGATCACGCCAGTGGCCCTTCTAGTCCAGCATTCCATTTCTGCAGTGACAACCAGATGTCTATGTGAAGACTAAAAGCAGGACCTGAGCACAATAGCACTCTCCCCACTTGTGATTCCCAAAAACTAGTATTCAGAAACATACTGTCTCTCGAACAAGCTATAATTACAAAATGCAAAAAATGTACCTAAAAATTAATATATGAGTGAAAATAAAAATGTATGTATGGGGAAATTGCTTGCAAAGGGGTGTGTGCATTAGTTAAAATTGCATATAAAATGTGTGCGTTATATTCTGAAAAACATGGAAACTTTATTTTAAAAATGCAGATTGAGCCAAAACATGGACAACTGAATTTAAAATAAGGAAATTAAAAAACCAAGAAAGCTTTGGATTTTCATCAGTTGTTTGGATGATGTCTAAGATATATAGCATTTATCTGAATGATAGGAATAATAAATATTGTGATAGGGAGATGGCAAATTTAAATAAAGATATATTCCAGAGAAGGTGAAGGGTATTGTAGTAATTTTATCAGGTTTTTACATTTGCTTTATTTTTGGTGGTGGTTATCTAACAAATGGCAGTATAAAAGTGAAGTTATGCTTAGAAATGTAATTTCTTTCCTCTTAAAATTAATTTTAAGTGCACAACAGAAGGCTAGAATCAAAACAACAGTTCAGTTACTTCTATGAGCTTAGTGGGGATATGTATCCTCAACAACAACCCCCTTTGTCACAAGCAGAAACCCAGATAATTTGAAAAGTAGTGTGTGTGATATGGAATATGGTCTGCTGTTTAAAGGGAAATAAGTTCAGACATTTCACTGCAAACCCTTGCATAAGCCTAAAGTAGTTACTGGACTCCAAATATATATGATCATGTTATAACATGGACAATCAATGTTTAGTGTTCCCTTTTCTTTTTTTAAATGTATTTTTCACTGAAGCTTTAAAAAAATACACAAACAAGAATACAAAAATATTATGAGGCCCTAGTATATGCACAGCTCTTTGTTGTCAATTCCCCTACCTCACATCAAACACATGAATAAACAAACATGACTATGCTGTCTTGTTTAGTTTTATCAAACTTTACCTAGGGAAATGGGGGAGCATCCTAATTTTCCCCCCATCTGATATATTCAGGTATGGAAGAAAATATATAGCCGCACAGTCTCCTAAGAATTTGGTGTCAACAGAGCTGTGAAGGATTTTATGTAATATGTGAATGCGTTGTTATCTAAAAATAGGTGCTGATTCCAGAAGCATGTCTGGCATCCTACCCTGAACATGATGACTTTACCCTGAAATATTATGGTTTTATCAAGAAGGCTAAAACTTTGTGATAGTTGTCGGGCATGCTTCCAGATGTTTTGGGACTACAATTCCCATCATCCCTGACCACTGGTTCTGATAGCTAGGGATGATGGGAGTTGTAGTCCTAAAAAACATTTGTAGGTCCAAGTTTGGTCATGTCTCGTTTAGGCGAACTGTGATCACTAACACTGGATACTAAAAGGGGTTCAGAAAGCCCACACATACATTTAAAGAGTGTGTGAGAGAGATGCAGGGCCACATGAGCAAGCCCCACACACTTGCCACTGATGTACTTGGGATCACACAATCTTTCCATGAGAAGGGACTCTTGTGTACGAAAATGCATATGTAGAGTTCCTCCATGTGAGGAGGGAATTTTGACCCAATTCAGATCCCCTTTTGTGTGGAGAATCTTTTCACATGTACAGTGGTACCTCGGGTTACAAATGCTTCGGGTTACAAACACTTTGGGTTACAAACTCCGCTAACCCAGAAGTAGTACCTCAGATTGAGAACTTTGCTCCAGGATGAGAATGGAAATTGTGCGGCAGCGGCGCAGCAGCAGTGGGAGGCTCCATTAGTGAAAGCGTGCCTCAGGTTAAGAACGGTTTTGGGTTAAGAACGGACCTCTGAAATGAATTAATTTGTAACCCGAGGTACCACTGTACCTTGGTTTGTGCAAAGAACTATATGGCTAGTGAATGAGTGCCTCACAGTCTCTTCCCAACCTATATGATGAGATGCTTAGACAAAGAATAGAGAAAGGCAGCCCAGAATTTGTCAATATGTTCCTTGGCAAACTCTGGAATATTGTTACAGCAGAGCTGTAAAATCATTGGGGATTTAAATGTCTGTATGCTCAACCTTTCAGTTGTATGAACCTGCAATCATAGTTCATAGAATCATCTGAATGCAGCTAGGGTAACCTACATCATTAAAAAAAATATGCTAAGTGACTCAAGTAAAAGAATTTTGTTGTTTAGTCATTTATTCGTGCCCAACTATTCGTGACCCCATGGACCAGAGCATGCCAGGCACTCCTGTCTTCCACTGCCTCCTGCAGTTTGGTCAAACTCATGCTGGTAGCTTCAAGAACACTGTCCAACCATCTCGTCCTCTGTCATCCCCTTCTCCTTGTACCCTCAATCCTTCCTAGCATCAGGGTCTTTTCCAGGGAGTCTTCTCTTCTCATGTTGTGGCCAAAGAATTGGAGCCTCACCTTCAGGATCTGTCCTTCCAGTGAGCACTCCGGGCTGATTTCCTTCAGAATGGAGAGGTTTGATCTTCTTGCAGTCCATGGGACTCTCAAGAGTCTCCTCCAGACCATAATTCAAAAGCATCAATTCTTTGGCGATCAGCCTTCTTTATGGTCCAGCTCTCACTTCCATACATCACTACTGGGAAAACCATAGCTTTAACAATATGTACCTTTGTTGGCAAGGTGTGTCTCTGCTTTTTAAGATGCTGTCTAGGTTTGTCATTGCTTTTTCCCCAAAAGCAGGCGTCTTTTAATTTTGTGACTGCTGTCACCATCTGCAGTGATCATGGAACCCAAGAAAGTAAAATTCTTTGTTGTTTTAGTTTTCATGGTGGTGTCCAGCAATGTTTGCATAGAACAACTATTAATAAATATGGCAACATTTAGATAAACTGCTTCAAAACTTTTCCAAATCTTCTCTCCTTTAAAGGTGAAGATAGGCAATTTTTCACACACCCTGTACAGAAGTTTCCATTTGTTTTATGCAACTTTATTGTCTTAACTGAACAGCTCATTTTAGCATATATAGTGTTTCTTAGTACAGTGGTGCCTCGCAAGACGAAATTAATTCGTTCCGCAAGTCTCTTCGTCTTGCGAGTTTTTCGTCTTGCGATGCACGGTTTCCCATAGGAATGCATTGAAAATCAATTAATGCGTTCCTAGGGAAACCGCCTTCAGACCAGGTCCGGGGACAGTCTGTCCCCGGACCTCTTCTGAAGGCTGGGGGGCAAGGGCTTTCTTCCCACCCCCAGCATTTTAAAACCCCGGGACAGCGGAGGACTTCTCCGCTGTCCGGGCGATCTTAAAATGCTGGCGGGCGGCATTTAAAATCACCCCGGGACAGCGGAGGACTTCTCCGCTGTCCGGGGCAATTTAAAGCCCCTGGGAAGGCAGGCAGGGGGACAAAGACTTTGCCCCCGCCAGCCTTCAGAAGAGGTCCTGGACCTCTTCTGAAGGCGGGCGGGGCGAAGTCTTGCTCCCCGCCTTCAAAAGCCCTCCGGGACAGGCAGGCAGGGGAGCAAAGACTTCGCCCCCGCCCGCCTTCAGAAGGTCTTCCCTCCCCCGCCCGGCCCGGAGCACCGTTCCGGAGCCGGGCGGCGGCGGAGGTCTTCCCTCCCCCGCCCGGCTCGGAGCACCGCTCCGAGCCGGGCGGCGGCGGAGGTGTTCCCTCCCCGCCCGGCTCGGGCACCGTTCCGGGCCGGGCGGCGGGGAGGTCTTCCCTCCCCACCGCCCGGCTCGGAGCACCGTTCCGAGCCGGGCGGCGGGGAGGTCTCCCTCCCCCCGCCCGGCCCGGAGCACCGTTCCGAGCCGGGCGGCGGCGGCAGGTGTTCCCTCCCCCGCCCGGCTCGGAGCACCGTTCCCGAGCCGGGCGGCGGCGGCAGGTGTTCCCTCCCCCGCCCGGCTCGGAGGAGCCTTCCGGCCCGGCGGCGGCGGGAGGAGGTGTCCCCGCCCCGCCGCCAGGCTTCGGAGGAGGTCCGAGGACAGTGGGAAGACGCGCTGCGCTTCCCGCTGTCCCTGAGATTTCCTATGGGCTGTCGTCTTGCGAAGCAAGCCCATAGGGAAATTCGTTTTGCGAAGCGCCTCCAAAACGGAAAACCCTTTCGTCTAGCGGGTTTTCCGTCTTGCGAGGCATTCGTCTTGCGAGGTACCACTGTACTTATTTGCAACTGTTCTTAAGTAGTTCCATCCACATATCAAAAGCCTACAATAGACCAGCCACCTCCCTCTTTTTATGCTGCTTTATCACTATTTTGACTAATAGGTGTTAATTATGTGGTTCCCTCCATTTTTAGCAAATCATATTATACAATCGGAAGAGAAACCAGAGTATCAATATTTACTTTTATTTGAAATGTTTGAAGTGGCCTACCTTGTCATCTGTCTCAGAATGAAAGGGTATAGAAGAAGTTTAGGAGAGTTCCCCCGCCGCACCACTGTTTAGTTCAATTTTTTGAGTTGTAAACCCAAGTTTTCTTGCCAACAATCCGCTTCCTTCAAAGCAGCATGCATGGATCACCCCGACCCCTGGTTTATTTTTAGTTACTAGTTGAGGCTACCATAGAAACAGTGCATGTGGCAACAGTTTATAGTTACTGTTTATAGATTGACACAGAGGTGCTTTGAAGAACCAGCCCAGTACATTTGGCTGAAATCAATGTTACCGGTAGATAGGTAACTGGGTAGATACTCATAATTTCTTAACATAATGTATGCTAAGCTAGTGGAGAAGGGAGAGAAGGCCTTTTTAAAGAAATATTTTTGTTAGGGTTAGAACTCCAGCTGTTAGTGAAATCAAATCTTGTTAATTGCCTTTTACTGACTGCATTCAAGTATTCCTGATGTAAAAGCCAGACTTCATTAATGGCATCCTGGTGTCATTTGATTGCAAGGGCAAGAGTGGTCTTTTTTTGTGCAGCCCTCACAGAACTAATTTAGGCTTGCCAAAGCATTTGGACATGCTCCATGGCATTTCCCCTCCCTTTGCTTTGAACTACCCACCATGGCTGATTCAATATGGCCAAAGGAGGTTTTCTGAGTAGCTCCAGAGCAGTGATGTGGACTTTCTAGAAAATATTCATATGCAAATCAGGGTAATTTGCAGTTTGAAAACTAAATGCTCTAGAGAAGGAGTGGGAAACCTCCCCCCCCCCCCCGGCAGGCTAGATCAAAAAGTGCTCACCCCTCTGAGCCACTTTTGACAGGTTGGTGAATCCACCCACTTGATATTAGGTGAATCTGAGCCTGCCAGAAGTCAGGAGAACTTGTATCTGGCACCTATTGATTATTAGTAATAAGTTTATGAAACTGTTTTTTTCCTTGTGGAAAAACAAAGCACCAGAAAATTTCCTTCTCCATATCACTGGTTTAGCAGATGATTAACACTTCTTTGCATAAAGGAATGATGTCTACTGGCTACTACCCTTAAAGCGCTATGTTTGAAGAGTTATTTTCAGACCCTGACCACTTACACCTGGGACTAGAGTGTCCTTTACAGAGGACAGTCTTATATTTGAATGGCTGTCCAGTTCAAGCTTCTTTTAAATATAACCATTAGGAGGGAGAGAGCAGGGTTTTTTGAAGTTGCCCGGCAAATGTTAGCACCTGGACAGTAGCATAAGCAGGGATATGGGTCACCTGGTCATAGTCTTGCTCACTATGTTGAGATACAGTGTATTTCTCTTTATATTGCAGTAATTAGTTCTAAATTTGCATCTGTGCATATAAATTAGCACAAGCAAATATTTTGCATATGTGTTCCCATTTGCATTTACAGTGGTACCTCGGGTTACATACACTTCAGGTTACATACGCTTCAGGTTACATACGCTTCAGGTTACAGACTCCGCTAACCCAGAAATAGTACCTCGGGTTAAGAACTTTGCCTCAGGATGACAACAGAAATCATGCAGCGGTGGCGCAGCAGCAGCAAGAGGCCCCATTAGCTAAAGTGGTGCTTCAGGTTAAGAACAGTTTAAGAACAGATCTCCAGAACGAATTAAGTTCTTAACCCGAGGTACCACTGTATTCTCTTTTTTGGCACTGTATAAGTGGCTGCCCAGTTAGGACTTCCAAACTGTGGTTTGGCCATGGTCTCTGAAGAAGACAAACTGATTCTGGCAGCTCATTTTAGGGCACATTTTCTTATATCATATGCAGGTGCAGCTTGAAACCAGAAATATGTATATAGAGCAGGGGTTGTCAACCTGGTCCCTACCGCCCACTAGTGGGCGTTTCAGGATTCTAGGTGGGCAGTAGGGGGTTCTACGGCACAAGCTGAATCCTCCTTCCATTGAGCACTGGTGGGCGGAAAGGAAATTTTACCATCAAGAAAGATGCATTAGTGGGTGGTAGGTATAAAAAGGTTGACTACCCAGATATAGAGAAATATAGTGTACAATCAGCAATATATTAGCTTGGGACATAGGTGAATGAGAATTGGCAATTACTCACAGGAAGGTACATAACCAGTTAACCCAGTAGGCCAGTCCATGTTGAAAATCTTCATTTCCACAGTTATCACAACATGGCTTTTAGGAACTTAGGTGAAGGGAATAAAGTGGGTGATTATTATTTTTAATCCAGCTGTCCATATACAGATGAAATATCCAAATGAACTGGGTATCAGAAGCATTTTTGATAGGATCATGTACCAGTTGCAGTATACATAGTTTGATTTTCACTGCTGTGTAAGCCAGCTAATTGTGACCATTTATTTGCATATTGCCAAGTCAATGGTGATTTTATTTCTACCCTGATTATTGAAAGTGATATGAAGCTTTCTTACTGCATTCTCAACTTGAAGCATGCTAATTATATTGAGTGGTGACCACCTATTGTATTGAAATTTGTAAAGAAAATTCAGGAGAGGTCACCCATATCACCCCTTCTACTGCTGATTACATCTTATTCTTTATGTTACCTGATTGTAGCTGGCAATAAGGAGATGGAGAACAGTCTCACAGTAAAATGACCAAACTTCCATAGTCAACTCAGATCAAATCAAAAGTTGAAAAAAACTGCAGTGTGGGGGGAAGTGGTCTGTTATCTAAGATCTTACAGGTTAATCAGAAAGAGTACAATATTATAGTTAGAAGATACCACAAGGAAGGTGAAAAACATGCCTTTCCCCAACTAATTCAGATGACATTAAAAAAAAATGCCTCCTGGCCCTCAAAAAAAGCAACTGCTTATAACATGAGGTAGACCAAATCCAGGGGAAAGTGGCCTGTACCATCCACTCAGCTCCGACAGAACAGTTTGCTTGTGTGCAGTATGTATGTCCTGCAGATCGAAACCTCAAAGGATCCAGAGATCTTGCAAGATTCTGGCCTTTTATTTGCTCTCATAAAAGGGGAGAGGCTGCTTGGGCAGTAGCCACTGTTCTACTCAGAGCAGACCCATTGAAATTGAGAGACATTACGAATTTAGATACATTCATTTCAATAAGTCTACTCTAAGTGGATCTTTTGAGGACATGGCCTCTTGTCACTGTGAGAGTCATATGCAGTCACATCACTGCTGAGGAAAAAGCAGGGAAGTACCATGAGATGTTTCCTCCTGTTGTGCAAACCTCCCCACTGTACACAAACACCACTGCAGGCTGGGTGAGGGGACAATTTGGCTATGTTGTGTTGAGGCTGGAAGCAGGGATAGATGCTAATGTTATGGAGGCTATGTCTAACCTAAGAGCTAGTAGCACTTCCTTGTTCCCTCCTAGCCTTACATAGTAATTGTACCCAGGAAAAGCAGCAATCAATTAAAAATAATATAATACACACACACACACACACAAGTCAGTGCTGCTGTAGATGTGCACCTGGCTTTATCCCAGTTGCCAGTGTGCAATTATTTGTTGTTGTTGTTTAGTCGTCTTAGTTGTGTTTGACTCTCCGTGACCCCATGAACCAGGGCATGCTTTGGAAACTCACTTTCTTCTCAAAGCTTCTCCTTTTTTATGTCCATGGAGTTTTCTTGGCAAAATACTGGAGTGGTTTGCCAATTCCCTCTCCAGGTGGATCACATTTAGTCTAAACTCTCGGCTATGACCTGTCTGTCTTGGGTGGCCCCCCACAGCATAGCTCATTGCTTCTTGGAGTTATTCAAGCCCCTTCGCCACGACAAGGCAGTGATCCATGAAGGGGTGCAATCATTTACTGTAGGCCTTTTAGAGAACTTTGTTACAAATGTTACAAACATAGTTAAGATTAATAAATTATGGTAGCCATAGAGATGTGCCTGAACACCAGGCATCCCTCTCTTCATTGGCATAGCCGCGGGGGGGGGGGGAGAGGCAGCTGCCCCCATCAATAAAAAGCAATAAAAATACATAGCTAACTGAGGTTCTGCCCTCCCCCCCAACAAAAGGCCTGCCCCCCTAACAAAAATCCTGGCTACACCCATGCTCCTCTCCATAGGGTTGTACCATTTATCTTGGACAGAACCCTGCCATTCTTAAGGGACCCAAAAAGGAGTTACCTCCTAGGATCCCCTCTTGCCATTCAGCTCTTCTCCCTCTGTACTGCTATTGCCACCTTTCTAGTCTCATAGTGATGATCTTTTCCTCCTTCTGTCCCTGGCTGAGGAGTTGAAGGGTAGCAAGCAGGAAGGGTGGGTGGTGAGGGCAAGGCTACTTGCCAGTCCTCATTGCAAAGCTCTTTGTCAGCCAACTTCTCTGAGTTTCCAGCTGCCCACCATAATAAATTAAAACATTTGTGTCCCCAAGGAGAAAGCTGCAGCAAGGTCAAACAATCTCTTACCACCATTGGAGTTAAGGGATCAATGAGATTGCCGCAGGGGTGAGGGAGTAGGCAAAATTCCCTTGCGTACCCCCCCCCATAATAGTGGACACCTGGAGTTTCATCTGTCAACACAGCCTTTTGTTTCCACAGGCATTTGAAAGCCATCTGGGCTATGAGGACTCCTGATTGAATCTGGTAGTCTTATCCTAGCAGTAACACTGACTTAGGAGAGCCCCCCCCCCCCCCCAGTTGATACAGTATTAATTTTTCATGCATTTAAAAACGCAGTTCAAATGGTTGTGGCTTGAAAGTTTTGTAGAAATAAATGTGGATTGTGGTTAATCAGATAAAGGAAGGCAAGGTTAAGAAATGGGGGTAAGGACTGTGCAAAAACTTTTCAGTGGTTCAGTTTTACAGTTTCATTTCCTTTTAGTTAAGTGAGAAATGCAGGCCAGTTATGTTTTGTGTACATATATGTAAAATATACGGTGTGCATAAAAGCTTCTGAGTATAAGGGGAAAACTTTAACACTTCAAGTACAGAAATTCCTAGGTACCAAAATCATATATTTAGGGAGCTTGGACAATGGGTGACTGAGGTTCTTCCAGTCTGAAAATACAGTTTTAAAATAGATCATAAAAGTATGTGCAGGAAAGCAGTTGAAGGTGATCAAAATCTCATCTGCTGCAGATGCTTTGTAGCATCTGAAGCATCAAATGTTTACAGTTTGCAATATTGTTGTAAGAGTGGTTTAAAAGCTGTATGTTGAGTATATTGAAAGATTAGGCATAACATATCTATTTGTGCTCCAGTGGGTTAGTTCAGAAAGCCTTCGTCTGTGACTTCCTCCTTTTAGTTGCAAGTTGAAAAGGCAGCAAATTGTGTTATGTCCTGGATGATGAAATTTGATTATCTAGTTCACATTGTAAAAACAAAGCACAAGTTTGTACAGCAGCCATTATCTATTCACATGATTTTAAAATGTTCCTTGAAAATTAATTTTCTTCATCCCATGTAAATTATTTTTTCAGGAAGTGGGTTGTCTGGGGGGGGGGGATTCACTCTGGTTAATAAGTAACCATATGGTGCATTTGGTAATGAGAATGCACCTCGCTATACCAGTGTTTCCAAATTGGTGGTCGGATCCACATAACCCAGCTAGGGAGTCCATGACACGTACCTGTCAACTGCCTGGGACATCCCATCTTTGGGCATTATGCTCTCATGAGCGTGACCTGGAAGACACACACCCCAGTTTTGCACTAGGAGATGTGGGAGGGTATGGTGGCAGCATTCACACAGAGATATAAGTATTTTCAAAAGTAGAGGATCCATGGCTTGGCTTTTGAAAAATAGGGGGTCCCCAGTACTTGGCTAATTGGGAGCCACTGCTCTATATGTTATATACCCAGTCATTTATTTTTATTATTTTATTATTTATTAAATTTATATACCACCCTTCATCCAAAGAAGGATGTTTTGTTAGAACAAAAACAAAACAATCACCACCACCACCCCAGAAACACATTTAAGAGGCAGTAGAATATTAATCATCCAAAGGCCTGGTTGGAGAGGAAATATTTGAAATATTTGTTATAAATGACAATCATAACTAAAAAAGTATAAAAAGATGTATAATGAAGGGACCAGACCAACCTACCTGGGGAGAGCATTCTGCATATGGGGAGCCACTGCATAAAAAGGCTTATTCTGGTGTTGCCACCCTCCGGATCTCCCGTGGAGGAGGCACACGAAGAAGGGCCTCCAATAATGATTGCAGAGTCCAGGTTGGTTCATATGGGGAGAGGTGGTTGTTGACATATTGAGGCTTTAAGAATCAAAGCCAGCACTTTGAACTTGGCCTGGAAGTTAATTGGCAGTCAGTGCAGTCACACCAGGATTGGTGTCATATGCTCAAACCATCATGCCTCTTTGATGGTTTCTGCACAAATCATCTTCAAAAGCAGCCCCACATATAACGCGTTGCAGTAATCCAACCTAGAAGTTACCAGAGCATAGACAACAGAAGTTTGGCTATCCCTATCCAGATAGGGGCGCAGCTGGGTCACCAGCCGAAGCGGATGGAAGGCAGTCTGCACCATCAAGACCACCTGAGCCTCAAGCAACAGCAAAGTATCCAGGAGTACTCCAAGCTACATACCCCATCCTTCAGAGGAAGTGTAACAGCATCAAGAGCAAACAATCTCCCACCCATCTGGTCTAGGGAGCCACTTACTAACAGTGCCTCAGTCTTATTTGGATTAAGCTTCAGTTTCTTGGCTTTCATCCAGTCCATTACCAAGGCAAGACAACGGTCTAGCACATCCACTGCCTCATCTGCAGATGTAAAGGAGAAGTAGAGCTGTGTGTCATCAGCATATTACTGACAATGTACTCCATAACTTGGGATGACCCACTCAGCAGTTTCATGTAGATATTAAATAGCACAGGGGATAAAATTGAGCCCAGAGGAACTCACTTATTGAAGGCAGCATCAGATAAAAAGGTTTTACTGTGAACAGTTTGATTTAATTATATTCCATACTTGCCGAACGGGATACATAAAAGTCATAAGTTGGTTGACTGTTGAGGAACAAATAGGAAGGTTTTGTCTTGTTCAAGAAAACCCTATGGTCTAAGCCTAGTCTATTTATATATCCATTTTCCACAGATACATTTCTGCCCAAAGTTGTTTTCATAAAATAAAGCATAAATATAAAATAGTATTATTGCCATTATATATAATTTTTTTATTATTATTTTCCCTTTCCAGAAATGTCCATTCTGAAAGATGTGCTGCAAGACTTCATTTGTGTTTGACTATTGGTACTTAAAACTGGAAAGGAAAATACATAATGGGTAAGTTAATCTGCTTTCATTTTATCACTGAAGAGGAAACTGATTTGTAGAAGAGTGGCAGCATAGTACAGAGGCATTTTTAGAATATCATATTGAACTAAAGCTATTGAGGCTTGAAATATGTTTGCAGGATGAGAATCTGAATAATGTATGAGATCTGAACATAGCAAACATAGGGAAATGCATGTTTTTTATGTTCTGTTAGTTTCTAACAAAAGGCTTTTCATGCTAGGGAAAATTGGAAGTATCAAATGAGGGACTTTCAGAATCTATTGGAAGCCAGTTTGCTACCTTATATGAATTGCTTCCCACGAAACATCCTGAACTGATGTAACAATAAAAGCATTTTAAAACCATTTCAAGTCCACTACAAATAAAGACTGGGGTAAAAATTTCTTCTAAAAAGGCTTGTTGGGAAAGGGTGGTGTTCAGTTGGCACTGAAAAGACAATAGAGACAGAACCTGTCTAATAGTAATGGGAGGGAGTTCCAAAGGGTAGGTGCTGTCACACTAAAAGCCCAGTTCCTATATAGTCCAGAACATATCCTCATGAGAGAAAAGGTCTCATGGGGCTCTAGTGACAGAATGGATCCAGCAGCCCCCTTAGACTATGAAAGGGGAGTATGACCTTGTACTAAGCAAGCAATTGGCCAGTTATCTGGGCTTGGGAACAGCTCACCTATAGTACTTCAGTCTTACTAGAACTCAGACTCAGTTGTTTGGCCCTCATCCCATGCACCACCAATTTTATACAAGAAAAGGAAAGCAGTACAAATGTTGACTTTGTTCCCCAGATATCCTTCTTACAGATCAATGGACTGCTGTCATAGGGAAAAGGTTTCCTGATGTTTCCCCTAATCACAAACTTGAAGCCAACAGAGAATTACTAAAATTGATTGTGCAGGCATTGAAATTGGAGACCAGTGCTAGGCACTCCTGTATTTTTGTTGAACCATGAATGGATGCTGTTACTATTGGTCTCGGAACTCATTCATTGCAGTGTGGATTATGCTATCACTGGTTTTCCAAATTCTGAGTTCTAGCATTTCTATTTTTTATTCACTAGATGGCACTGCTGAACAAGATAAGATTTTAGGATTCTGTTTTTGTAGTACATGGCAAGTCTAGTTTTTTTTAAATGTGACAAATGTATGAAGAACCATTTGTTTGTCAGGGCCATCAAATTTAAATGTAAACTATAATTGTTTTGATTTGAAAATTATTTTTGAAAGCTTTAGGGTTTCTGATACTGCTTTTGTATAAAGAGCTATGAAATTTTCAATAACATATAAATGTGTAGAAAAATGAGTAGCCTTCTGTTGAAAAATATGTTTGTCATTAGGCATTACATTGGAAATATATTCAACCATATATTAAAATACATTTTCATAAACATGAGACCTTATATTCTTATTGGTGAACAACTAATTATATCTCAACAACAATATACTGTACCATATTTACTTGATTGTATTTCACACCTTTTTTGGCCAAATTACATCATGGAAATTACGGTGCGCATTAGATTTGATGGCACATTTACATTTGCCATCAAATACTTTTTTGGTTTCAAGGTCTTGAAAATTGGGGTGCACATTAAATTTTATGGCACATTATATTCAAGTAAATACAGTATAACCTGGGACGTGGGTAGCGCTGTGGTCTAAACCACTGAGTCTTGGGCTTGCCGGCCAGAAGGTTGGTGGTTTGAATTCCCACAACAGGGTGAGCTCCCGTTGCTCGGTCCCTGCTCCTGCCAACCTAGCAGTTTGAAAGCACGTCAAGTGCAAGTACAGTGGTACCTCAGGTTACATATGCTTCAGGTTACATACGCTTCAGGTTACAGAATCCGCTAACCCAGAAATATTACCTCGGGTTAAGAACTTTGCTTCGGGATGAGAACAGAAATCGTGCGGCGGGAGGCCCCATTAGCTAAAGTGGTGCTTCAGGTTAAGAACAGTTTCAGGTTAAGAATGGACTTCCGGAACAAATTGAGTACTTAACCCGAGGTACCACTGTAGATAACTAGGTACCGCTCCGGTGGGAAGGTAAACAGCATTTCCATGCACTGCTCTGGTTCGCCAGAAGCGGCTTAGTCATGCTGGCCACATGACCCAGAAGCTGTCTGCGGACAAACGCCGGCTCCCTCAGCCTATAGAGGGGATGAGTGCTGCAACCCCAGAGTCATTCGCAACTGGACTTAACTGTCAGGGATCCTTTACCTTTACAGTATAACCTACAGTATTTTTTCCATTTATCTAATTGAGAATAAATAATGTCACCATATCAAAACAATGCTATCTATCTAAGAGTGTCTCTTAGTACAATATGTACATTTTCATGGATTCTTTCTCCAATATATAACAAATCATAGAACCAAAAAATTCTAGAGTTGGAAGGAACCCTGAGGATCATCTAGTCCAACCTCCTGCAATGCAGGAAGATGCAGCTGTCCCATATAGCGATCAAATCTGCAACCTTTGCGTTATCAACTCCATGCTCTAACCAATTGAGCTATTGAGGCATAAATTCAAAGTTTCAACAAACAAGTTACTGCAGGCATTTTCAGCCTTTTTGAATCTGTGGTTCCCTTGAGTCCACTGCTCCCTTTACATTCTTTTTGCGACTCCCCTGTGTGATACAGGGGAATCCCCACTTAAGTGGGAGTTCCTTTCTGGGCCACTGCACATGTCACCAGGACACCTTCCTTCCTTGTTTTTGAAGGTTGCTGAGGAGCTCCATCTTGCTAAGTTCTAACCCCTGACTGGTTTACTGCAGAACAATGACACTGCCAATCATAACCATCAATTTCAATGGGCCTACACTGAGTGAGATTAATACTTGCTACAACCCAATATAAATTGGTTTTATCCTACTCACGGAAGACCCATTGGAGGCCAGTGATCCTTGAGTCAGCCACACCCATCAATTTCAGTAGATCTCCTCTTGGATATTATTATTATTATTATTATTATTACTATTACAGTTTATTTCCCATCTATTACCTACCTATTTCAATGGGTTTCCTCTCAAGCAGGACTCAACACTGCCTGCAACCCAGTGAGGATGGGCTTCACCCAACAAAGTTCTGCTCAAGAGTAGAACCCACTGGGTTCAATGGGTCACAGTTGCCTCACTATCTTCCAGTGGGTCTCCTGCCAAGTAGGACTTACACTAGCCACCGCCCAGGCAAGAAGAAGTTGCCTTGTCAGGTTCAACTATTGCCTCACACTCACCATACTGGCCCCATGAACCATCCGCTTCCCTCCTCTCTTCTCCCTCCTCTCCCTCTTGCAGGCTCCCCTCATGTCCCCCCTCAGAAGCTGGGATCATAGAGATGGGCTAGAGAAGTGCACACTTGGGCAGCACTCTTTTGAAAGTGACTGGTGTCACATAGCACAGTCATATATGGAAAAGTAAAGACGCTCATCTCATTTGTCTGAGTAGGGAGTTTCCAGCTTTGTTGGAAGCCATTTTTTTCATCAGAGGAGGGAAGGAAGGAATGAGGGATGGTGCCCATTGCTGCTTATGGTGCCCCTGATAATCATTAAAGGTCTCAGTTACACTCGTCAATTATATCATTATAACTGCATTATAAACATGTGACACCAGATGACGCTGTAGAGCAGTGATCCATTTTTTTTCCTATAATTTTTTTAAATCGGTATAGATCCAGCCCAAGTCAGCCCAGGGTGCCACGGCACACTGGTTGAAAACCTGGGTGTTACTCAGTTGTCTTCTTTCCCTTACTCTATATTAACTATACAGGTCAGATCCTACATACTTAAGATCCAGTCTAATATAAGTGTGCCTGATTTTTCCAACTGGAATTCATGGTTGAATATGTTGCATTTAATAAATGAGTTATCATTTCAATATCCTCAACTATGGAAAGCCCGTAAGTAGGACCTGAGTGCAACACCACTTCTCCCCAGTTGTGATTCCCAGCAGCAGGTATCAGAGGCATACTGCCCTAGACAGTGGAGGTGTGGGTCAAAGCCATTGTAGTTAGTAGCCATTGCTAGCTTGATCTTCCATGAATTTGTCTAAATCTCTTTTAAAGTCTTTCAGGTTGTAACCATCACTACATCAAAGCAAATTCCACAACTATGCCCTATATCAGGCATAGGCAAACTCTGGCCCTCCAGATGTTTGGGACTACAATTCCCATCATCCCTGACCACTGGTCCTGTTAGCTAGGGATTATGGGAATTTAGTCCCAAACATCTGGAGGGCCGGAGTTTGTGTATGCCTTCCCTATATGAAGACTGACTGACTGATGCTTTTCAACATCTTTATGCGCCCCCTCGCCCAGCTTGTCTGGAGTTTTGGGCTGGGTTGCCATCAGTATGCTGATGACACCCAACTCTATCTGTTGATGGATGGCCATCCTGACTCGGCCCCAGACACACTGACCAGATGTTTGGAAGCTGTGGCTGGATGGTTACGTGGGAGCCGGTTGAAGCTAAATCCTTCGAAGACAGAGGTCCTGTGGCTGGGACGGGGCGATATGGGATTGGGGGGGCAACTCCCATGTCTTGCGGGGGCGCAATTAGTGCCAGCACTGTCCGTTAAGAGTTTGGGTGTAATCTTCGACACCTCCCTTTCCATGGAGGCGCAGATTACACCTACAACAAAGGCGGCATTTTTCCATCTCCGCCAAACTAAGCAGTTGGCTCCTTACCTCTCTCACCCTGACCTAGCCACTGTGATCCACGCGACGGTCACCTCCAGACTGGATTATTGTAACTCGCTCTACGTGGGGCTGCCCTTGAGACTGACCCAGATTAGGCCGAATTGCTGCTATTAAGATGAATGTATTGCCAAGGATGTTGTTTTTATTTCAAACACTTCAGGTTTTGGACAAAACGGAGTGCTTTCAGAAGTGGCAGAGAGATATTTCGAAGTTTGTCCGGCAGGGCAAAGCCCAGAATTAAGTTTAAGATATTAACTGATGTAAAACAAAGAGGGGCTTTGCCCTGCCGGACTTAAAGTTGTATTATGAAGCCGCAGCGTTCTGCTGGCTAAAAGACTGGCTACTTCTTGAAGACACTGATGTGTTGGACTTGGAAGGGTTTAATAATGTTTTGGATGGCATGCATATTTATGGTATGACAAAGTTAAAGCAAATAAGGCCTTCAAGAACCATATTGTCAGAAAATCATTGTATAATGTCTGGACAAAATATAAAGACTTGCTGGAAAATAAAACACCAAGGTGGCTTTCACCTTTGGAAGCTAAGGCTCGAAAAGACCCAATATGGAGGCTAAATGGCCAAAATATTGGGAAATACTAGAAAAGATGGAGACAATTGGAAATTGCAGAGTTTGGAGAAAATGAAAGACAAAGTGCGAGATTGGTTACATTACGCTCAGATTAAAGAAGTTTTTAAAAATGATAAGAAACTAGGGTTCCAGGTGGAGAAATCGAAATTAGAAACAGAATTGTTAGAACCAAAGACTAAGGTACTTTCAAGGATGTATAACTTGCTGTTGGAATGGAATACACAAGATGAAATGGTTAAATCGGCTATGATAAGGTGGGCACAGGACATTGGGTATAATATTATGTTTGAGGACTGGGAAAAGTTGTGGAGTAAAGGATTGAAATTTACTGCATGTAACGCTCTGAAAGAAAATGTAATGAAAATGATTTATAGATGGTATATGACCCCAGTTAAACTTGCAAAAATTTACCACCTGTCTGATAATAAGTGTTGGAAATGTAAAGAGTGTGAGGGAACGTTCTTCCACCTCTGGTGGACCTGCCCTAAAGTGAAGGCGTTCTGGGAAATGATTTATAATGAATTGAAAAAGGTATTTAAATATACCTTTACCAAGAAACCAGAGGCTTTCCTTCTGGGTATTGTCAGCCAAGGGGTGGCAAAGAAGGACCAGACATTTTTATGTATGCAACAACAGCAGCAAGGATACTTCTTGCAAAACATTGGAAAACTCAAGATCTACCCACACTGGAAGAATGGCAGATGCAACTGATAGACTACATGGAACTGGCTGAAATGACCGGCAGAATCCGTGACCTGGGAGAAGAGAGAATCGAGGAGGATTGGAAGAAATTTAAGAACTATCTACAAAAATATTGTGATTTGAGTGAATGCTAAATAAGATGCTAGACTAAATAACTGAGCACCACTTAACTTAGAAGTTTTTAAGAAAATAAGTAAGACTGTGAAAGTTTAACTCTTTATGAGAACTATAAGATTATGAAACATTGAAGAGATATAAGAATTTAAATAAGATGATAAATTGCTGACAAAATGTTATAACGATGAAAGTGGGAGCGGGGGATGTGAGGAAGCCCAAAGAAAATGTGAAACTATGTTAAGACAAATGTTATATTGTTTATTATGCTTATTTTTATTGTAAAACCCAATAAATTGCTTTAAAAAAAAAAAAAGAGACTGACCCAGAAACTCCAGCGGGTGCAGAATGCTGCAGCGAGACTCCTTACGGGGTCTTCGCTGCGAGATCACATTCACCCGGTGCTATACCAGCTGCACTGGCTCCCGGTGGAGTACAGGATCAGGTTTAAGTTGCTGGTTTTAACCTTTAAAGCCCTATACGGCCTAGGACCCTTGTACCTACGGGACCGCCTCTCCTGGTATGCCCCACAGAGAAACTTACGGTCTTCAAATAAAAACATCTTGAAGGTCCCAGGCCACAGAGAAGTTAGGCTGGCCTCAACTAGAGCCAGGGCTGTTCGGCCAGGGCCCCGATCTGGTGGAACCCTCTGTCACCAGAGACCAGGGCCCTGCGGGACTTGACATCTTTCCGCAGGGCCTACAAGACAGAGCTGTTCCACCAGGCCTTTGGCCAGGGCACAGCCTGACTCCCTCCCTCGGCAATCTTCGCGGAGCTCTGGCCCAATGGTTGCCAGTGGTTTGCTTTGAATTAATTTTATAATGAATGATTTTAGAGTGTTGTTTGTGCTGTACTTTTGTACTGTTTTATTGTTGTTAGCCGCCCTGAGCCCGGCTTCGGCTGGGGAGGGCAGGATATAAATAAAAATTATTATTATTATTATTATTTAGCTTTATCGTATTAAAAAAGAGGAAGAAAAAGCACTCCGTTGCTACTTTCTCCTTACCATGCATCTTTCTATCATAACAACACCTTTGCTACTTTTTTTGTGCCAGAGAAACCTACTCTGACTGAAAGGGGTTATTTCAGCAGTTTGGCTCAAAAAAAGATCTGCTAATTACATAGTGTCTGGTAAGTCCCATTTAAAATGGCACATTTTAGGCATTTGTATTGTATGCATTTTAGAACAGGCATACACATTTTTGGAGCAAATCTCCTGTTTATTTTGTATGAAGCTCCTCAAGTTGAACTCTTTCTTTGAAACAACTGCTTAGTACTGGGGGAAGTTATATTGGTTCTTTTAGAACTGGTGCTCTCATTAAGTTTTCCATGATGCTTCCTTGTATCATTTAATTGGTTTACTTGTATCATTGAAAGCCAGAACTCAAGCTGGATTTGATACAAGGTCACATATGGAATTTTC